ACACCTGACAAGGCTTTTTTTTATTTTTTGGTGAATATCAAATTATAATCTAAACAAAGCAGCAGCGGATATGTGGGAACAAATCATGAGTTATAATGTAATAATAAACTAAATGTACTTAGATGTGTGTTATCTCCGTGATGTCTATCGTATGGTTTCAGAGCAATAAAGTCGTATCTCGATCATACATAGGCGAGTCTGTTTTAATGATACCAATTCATGAAGTGCTCCGACATTGATCGTGGAATCAGTTCGTTTTGAGGGTGTGCAGTAAATTTTTAGTTTAACCAATTTGCTGGTGCCTGAATGCCGATGGAGGCAAACAAGCGCACGGCCTGCTTGACGGTGAGCGAGCACCGTGGCTCATGAACGCCAGCCAACGCCAGGGGTAGAGCCAAGTCGCTGCCTGCCGTTGAGCACTTTTCGGATGCTTCGTTAGAAGAAGCATTTTATAGCATCATAGGAGGAATTCCTTCCTGAGCTGAATGGTACGTGGCAGAAAGGTGCCTGGAAACGCACTGTGGATGAATGCAGTGGTTCCAGCTAGAACTAGAAATAGAAGTAGCTGATACTCGGGTGCCCTAGTCCAGAGGGCGTCGTGGCCTAAAGGATAAGACATCCGGTGCATTCGTGTTGAGCGATGCACCGGTGTTCGAATCCCACAGGCGGGTACCAATTATTTCTAATGAAATACGTACTCAACAAATGTTCACGATTGACTTCCACGGTGAAGGAATAACATCGGATAATAAAAATGAAACCCGCAAAATTATAATTTGCGTAATTACTGGTGGTAGGACCTCTTGTGAGTCGCCCTGCCTATTTCTGGCGTGAAGCAGTAATGCGTTTCGGTTTGAAGGGCGGGGCAGCTGTTGTAACTGTACTGAGACCTTAGAACTTATATCTCAAGGTGGGTGGCGCATTTACGTTGTAGATGTCTACGAGCTCCAGTGACCACTTAACACGAGGTGGGCTGTGAGCTCGTCCACTTATCTAAGCAAAAAATAACTAAATAATGATATTGAGGCATCATATAGCTGTCGGCGACGATTGTGATGATCTGCCCATACATAAGGGAACCTTTATTACATGTGCTTTATATTTGGATGCCTTATTGCTCAATGCTATCTCTGCCAGGCAACCTCGGTCAAGGAATTTAGCGTTGAATAATGTTTGTGACTTGAACTAGAAATGTATTGTTTTGATTAGAGTTTATCACGAAAGCCAATCGGATAAGCGTCATGCTCATCGAGTGATTCATTTTAATATTGTGCAATAGTGTTGGAAGGCTAGAGTGATTCAGTATCGTGTATCAGCGTCAGGTTGGCCGAGTGGTCTAAGGCGCCGGGTTTAAGTTCCGGTTCCCGATAGGGAGCGTGGGTTCGAACCCCACACCTGACAAGGCTTTTTTATTTTTTGTGAATATCAAATTAGGTATAATCCGAACAAAGCAGCAGCGGTTATGTGAGAACGAGTTATGTATGTTTGTGTAATGATAAACAAAAGTACTTCGATGTTTATTATCGCCGTGATGTCCCTCATATAGTGTCAGAGCTATAAAGTCGTATCTCGATGATATCGTGGGGTGTAAGGCTATTTGGTTTTAGCGACATTTCGCTTTTTTTTTCCTACCTATGCTGATAGCCTTGAGAGGCTATTTTAGCTTCACTATAACGTCTAGGTGAGCTCTCGGGGCTCAAACCGGAATATTGCTAACACTGGCCCCAGCAAGAGCAGTGCTTCCCAGAATCTACCACCGGATCGGAAACGCGACCCACTGAGAAGATCCGGCGAGAAACTCAGGGGATCAGTTACTTCCAATTGACTCCATATAAAAGAGAGCACTTTGCTCAATCAAAAATCCCATTATCCCGGATCGCTTGGAACCTCTGGGTTTAGGGAAAGACTTCGGTTCTCTCTGGGTTTTGCACCGTATGTTCCACAGGGGAATGGTCTGAGGAATTGTTCGAGATGATCCCGTCATCTCGTTTTTACCATAACACCGCCTCCTCCCGAAGCGGAGTTCATCCATACTAGCTGGAACCACTGCATTCATCCACAGTGCGTTTCCACGTACCATTCAGCTCAGAAAGGAACTTCCCCACGATGCTATAAAATGCTTCTTCTAACGAAGCATCCGAAAAGTACTCAACAGTAGGCAGCGACTTGGCTCTACCCCTGGCGTTGGCTGGCGTTCATGAGCCACGGTATTCGCTCACCGTTAAGCGGGCAGTATTCTTGTTTGCCTCCATCGGCATTCAGGCAAATTGCCCAAATACAAAATTTACTGCACACTCCCAAAACGAACTGATTCCACGATCAATGTTGGAACACTTCATGAACTGGTATCATAAAAACAGACCTACGTATATAGTTGTTGCAAAGTATGACTGCGTGCCGCCCTTAGTTTGTTATTGACATGTGTGGGCGGTCTTCTGCGTGTTTTTTTATTGCCCTTGTAGGCAGACGAGCATACGGCCCACCTGATGGTGAGTGGTTACCGTCGCCCATGGACTTCAGCAATGCCAGAGGCAGAGCCAAGCCGCTGCCTACCGCTTAATACTCTCCACAAGTCTCGTTTGAAGAAGGACATGTCATAGGACATGGGAAACACCGTGGAGGGGAGCTCATTCCATAGCCGGATGGTACGTGGCAAAAAAGATCTCTGGAAAAACGCACTATGGATGACCGCAGTGGCTCTAGGTAGTATGGATGAACTCTACTCCGGTGGCGGGCGGTGCGATGGTAAAAGCGAGATGTCGGTATCGTAAAAACGAGATGCCGGTATCAAAACCACCTGATGGTGAGTGGTTACCGTCGCCTATGGACTTCAGCAATGCCAGGGGGAGAGCCAAGCCGCTGCCTACCGCAAATTTCTTCTTTCTTCAAATAAAAATTTCCACCACAAAGCGTTTAAACCAAAATCGCGCGGTGGGTTCATTAGCAGTCCCCTCTCCGAACGCAACATTGATATTGCGAGCTGTTTCTCTGCAGCGTTAGTTCTGCGGCGGAACTCGTATTAAAAAAATCACTCGATTACCCATCTTTCTTGTCTAAGCTGAATAAATAGAACAACTGAAGTCTGTAATCGAACGTTGCACAGTTTTTAAAAAAAGAACTCTTAAGTTCTCTTAAGTCTTTGAAGTCGTCGTGGCCTAAAGGACAAGACGTCCGGTGCATTCTTATGTAGCGATGCACCGGTGTTCGAATCCCGCAGGCGGGTACCTATTTTTCTAATGAAATACGTACTCAACAAATGTTCACGATTGACTTCCACGGTGAAGGAATAACATCGCGTAATAAAAATCAAACCCGCACAATTATAATTTGCGTAATCACTGGTGGTAGGACCTTTTGTGAGTCCGCGCGGGTGGGTACCACCACCCTGCCTGTTTCTGCCGTGAAGCAATAATGCGTTTCGGTTTGAAGGGCGGGGCAGCCGTTGTAACTATACTTGAGACCTTAGAACTTATATCTCAAGGTGGGTGACGCATTTACGTTGTAGATGTCTATGGGCTCCAGTAACCACTTAACACCAGGTGGGCTGTGAGCTCGTCCACCCATCTAAGCAATAAAAAAAAAAACATTATTATAACTCATGATACGTTCCCACATAACCGCTGCTGCTTTGTTTGGAGTATAATTTGATATTCACCAAAAAATAAAAAACCTTGTCAGGTGTGGGGTTCGAACCCACGCTCCCTATCGGGAACCGGAACTTAAACCCGGCGCCTTAGACCACTCGGCCAACCTGACGCTGATACACGATACTGAATCACTCTAGCCTTCCAACACTATTGCACAATATTAAAATGAATCACTCAATGAGCATGACGTTTTTCCGATTGTCTTTCGTGATAAACTCTAATCGAAACAATAAATTTCTAGTTCAAGTCACAAACATTATTCGACGCTGAATTCCTTGAACGAGGTTGCCTGGCAGAGATAGCATTGAGCATTAAGGCATCCAAATACAAAGCACATGTAATAAAGGTTCACTTATGTATGGGCAGAACATCACAATCGTCGCCGACGGCTATTTTTTTTTTTTATTGCCCTTGTAGGCAGATGAGCATACGGCCCACCTGATGGTGAGTGGTTACTGTCACCCATGGACTTCAGCAATGCCAGGGGCAGAGCCTAGCCGCTGCCTACCGCTTAATACTCTCCACAAGCCTCGTTTGAAGAAGGACATGTCATAGCGCTCGGGAAACACCGTGGAGGGGAGCTCATTCCATAGCCGGATGGTACGTGGCAAAAAAGACCTCTGGAAACGATATATGATGCCTCAATACCATTATTTATTTATTTATTGCTTAGATAGGTGGACGAGCTTACAGCCCGTCATGACATTTATCCGATAGATGCTTTTAATTGAACTTCAATTAAGTTTACCCCATTCAAATAGTTGAAGAAGTTTTGTTTTGTTATATTTGAAGCTTTAAATGGCTCTCCTGTGAAATTGCAAAGATGTCACTTAAACCAACTAAATCTTTCAACCTTCGATATGTACTTAGGTATATGTGAGTCCGCTTTTAGGATACCAGTTAATAAAGTGCTCAGAGAATTGTTGAAAGTTCATATCGGCGACTTTTTTAAAAGTGCTTTGTTACTGGTGGTAGGAACGCGAGTCCGCACGGATAGGTCCACCGCCCCGCCTATTTCTGCCGTGAAGCAGTAGTGCGTTTAGAACTTATATCTCAAGGCGGGTGGCGCATTTACGTTGTGGATGTCTATGGGCTCCAGTAACCAGTTAACACCAGGTGGGCTGTGAGCTCGTCCACCCATCTAAGCAATAAAAAAAAACCCGATGGAGTCCTTAAAGCATCAGAACCCCATCTGTTCTGTTCGAAACAGGGAATGGAATGGCTTGTGCGCTTCTACCATCTAAGACCTAAGTGAATGTATTCAAACAGGCCGCGTAATTTTGTCCTTCTCAAAACACCCGTATGATTGTATATAGTTGTTGCTTATCTAAAACGCGTCTTCCTCTCCTCCAGGTTGGCTTCAAAGGCTACGGCCTGAGTCCGTCTCAGCTGTCCGCCTCCGGGGACTTCACATACAGCGACGGAAAGACTTACACCATCACCCACGGCTCTGTTATCATAGCGGCCATAACTTCGTGCACGAATACGTCCAATCCAAGCGTGATGCTCGGAGCTGGTGAGTTCAAGGGCTTTTAAAGGAGTCTCGGATGAGTCGAGGGTCTTAGGAGGCGCCCCCTCCCTATTTTTATTATTGCTCCTTATTTTGTTATTCCTTCACAGTGGAAGTCAATCGTGAACATTTGTTAAGTCAGTATTTCATTAGAAAAATTGGTATCCGCCTGCGGGATTCGAACACCGGTGCATAGCTAGTTAGGAATGCACCGGACATCTTATCCTTTAGGCCAAGACGACTTCAACATATGATTCGGAGAAGTTAATCCCTGAGATTCTTACGGATGCTTCTCAGTTGGGGCACTGTATTCAGAATCGACGACAAAGTCCTGATGTATTAAAAGCGTCGATAAAAGCTATTCGAACAAAAAGCCCTTCGATGCTGAAGGGTTAACCGAGAGAGCTCCGTCATCTTCTTTCTATCATCGCACTGGCCATCATCCGAGCACCAGAAATCGTGACAAGCTGTCATTCATGGTACGTCACAATTACCAGTCTTCAAACCGGAAACCACCCTTCACCTCGAAATCACCCATCAGTGTGGGACACCTGATCTATGGCGCTTCTGGGTGAAACGACAATGCGAAGATCTTCCACCGAGCGAATTAAATTGCTTGCTGATACGACGGTCCGAATGTTTTGAAATCGTCTATAGAGCGATTCAGGCCTCTGTCAGATACCTCCTGTTGTCTGGCTCCATATCTTTACATGGGTTCGCACCAAGCTAACACTTCCGTCTCAAACGCAGGGCTCCTCGCAAAGAAAGCCGTTGAGAATGGACTATCCGTTCTCCCGTATATCAAGACATCGCTGTCTCCGGGCTCCGGTGTGGTCACGTATTATCTAAGGGTGAGTTCGCTTGTGGCCAATTTGGTTTGCTATTTTGTGAGGGTGCGTAGAAATTGGCCAGAGTGAAGATCGTGGATGGAGATGTCTGTATGTGTGTGTAAGTTCATCGGATAATGGGGGCGTTCCCGTTCGCGTGGGGTTTCACGCACCCACCTCGAAACACTGATGGCTGTGCCATCCATCATACCAGAGGACAGGAGATCTTCGCGGCAGAAATAGGTAGAACAGTAAAAGCTCTTTATTCGCTTGGCCCACTGAGTTCCTCGCGGGATCTTCTCAGCGGGTCGCGTTTCCGATCCGGTGGTAGATTCTGATAGATAGATTCAGATAGACCAGAGTTAGCAAAACTCCCGGCTTAAGCCTCGAGAGCTCACTTATACGGGAGGGTAAAGCTGTAAAATTGGCATTGCGGACGTCCATGAGCGACGGTATCTACTTACCATCGCGTAGGGCCGTATGGTCCTCTGCCTGCTAAGGCAATAAAACAGAAAAAATAGCCTCTCAAGGCTATCAGTATAGCTAGGGAAAGTCGAAAAAGGCGTCTTCGTCAAAAGACCAGTTCGTTTCAGGAGTCTGGCGTGGTCCCGTACCTGGAGAAGCTCGGCTTCAACACGGTGGGCTACGGGTGCATGACCTGCATCGGCAACTCCGGACCCATCGACGACAACATCGCGAACACCATCGAAAAGGTAAAACCTAGATTTGGTTTCTGTGTCACAATTAGATGAGCTGAAGGATTTTTAGGTCCGCGTTGCTCGTGTGAGACTGGCGTTGCATAAACAATTGAGAGTTTTTTTTTATTGCTTAGACAGGTGGACGAGCTCACAGCCCACCTGGTCTTAAGTGGTTACTGGAGCCAATAGATATCTACAATCTAGATACCGCCACCCACCTTGAGATATGAGTTCTGAGGTATAGTTACAACGGCTGCCCCGCCCTTCAAACCGAAACTCATTACTGCTTTACGGCAGAAATAGGCAGGGTGGTGGTACCTACCGATTTAGCGAAATTTCGCTTTAACCAAATTGCCTTCCACGCCTCTCCAACCACCATTGGGCCCTGGGACGAGATCTTCCTCCGAGGTGCTAATGTCCTCTTTCAAACGAGGCTTGAGGAGAGTCCTTATGGCAGAGTCATTTTTACTGGGGGTAGGACTTCTTGTGAGTCCGCACGGGTAGGTACCACCGCCTTGCCTATTTCGACCGTGAAGCAGTAATGTTTCAGTTTGAAGGGTGGGGCAGCCGTTGTAACTATACTGAGAACTTAGAACTTATATCTCAAGGTGGGTGGCGCATTTACGTTGTAGATGTCTATGGGCTCCAGTAACCACTTAACACCAGGTGGGCTGTGAGCTCGTCCAACCATCTAAGCAATAAAAAATAAAAAAAAGGCAAAGGCAATAACACCAGGTTCTCGTGTAACAGAACGAGCTGGTCTGCTGCGGCATCCTGTCCGGGAACAGGAACTTCGAGGGCCGCATCCACCCGAACACCCGAGCCAACTACCTGGCGTCTCCGCTGCTCGTCATAGCCTATGCGCTGGCCGGGACCGTGGACGTCGACTTCGAGACCGAACCATTGGGTGAGCGGGGGCTATAGCTCATGGCATGGACCGAAAATCGAAGCAAGGGTATTAGTGATGGGCCACTATGCCTACTTCTGCTGCGTTGTCAACCAGTTTGTACCGAAAAATGCTACCGCACCTGAAGACGCTGTGTAGACCTAGATCCAGTGACGATGGCGACTGCGGTGTAGACCTATGTGTAGCAGCAGAGGTTGATGATAATATTGATTCCTTATATTTTTTTTATTGCTTATATGGGTAAACGACCCACCTGGTGCTAAGTGGTTACTGGAGCCCATAGACATCTACAATGTAAATGCCGCCACCCATCTTGAGACATAAGCTCTAAGGTTTCAGTATAGTTACAACGGCTGCCCGTTCAAACCGAAACGCATTACTGCTTCACGGTAAAAACAGGTAGGGTGGTGGTACCTTCCCGTACGGACTCACAAGAGATCCTATCACCAGTAATTAAAATTATAATTTTGTGAATTTGATTTTTATTACACGATGTTATTCCTTCACCGTGGAAGTCAATCGTGAACATTTGTTAAGTACGTATTTCATTAGAAAAATTAGTACCCGCCTGCGGGAATCGAACACCGGTGCATCGCTCAGCACGAATGCACCGGACGTCTTATCCTTTAGGTCACGACGACCTCAAAACTATACGAAGAGTGGGGGGAAGGTATGAACTGGTTTAAATTGAATTCCCTCTCCTAAAACAGGGAAGCGCCCCGACGGCTCGGCGGTGTACCTGCGCGACATCTGGCCCACCCGCGCGGAGATACAGCGCGTCGAGAACCAGTTCGTCATCCCCGGGATGTTTAAGGAGGTAGGCCAGTAGTAGACCAGTTGGAGCTTCACCTCTCCACAGCTGGTGTGGCGGGTAGCCATCACAGAACACAAGATATTTGACAGATGCCTGAATCTCGCTTACGACATTTTCAAGATAAGCTTGCATATATACAAGTTCCGAACAACAACATTCGGACCGTCGGTCTACCGAGCTATATCACCCGCTCGGTAGAAGATCTTCCCTTTGTCGTTTAAGCCTCCCCACAGCTGGAGGTTCCGAACTCATCAATGAATTTGTGGGTAGTTTGTCATTTCCTCTCTTTCCTTGTCATTTCGGGACTTTTTAGCGGGAACGCGAGGAGTGAAGTTGTGTGATTAGTTTTATTTTGTCTATTTAGTGTTTCTTCAGTCATCTAAGTCGCACAACTCGAAAATGAAAAAACTCGAACTCAACAACAAAGTCAGAACTGATACTTTTTTTGCATGTAGTACTTACGCGTCGTGTGCGACTAAAGACAGCAATAGTTTAGAGTGAGAGCGCATGATCGCAGCCGCCATTTTAGATTCGTTTCTTTATTGGCGCGGCTTTTACCTGCAACACATTGCGAACAGAATGGAGATGGATTGTCCATTCTTATTAATACATAATCGCCTACATGTGGCGGGATAAGTTTATCATTATGTATTTCCAAATCGTATTTTTATATATGGGCTAAAATGTGGTCTGAAATAAATGATTTTTATTATTATACAATGCCACATCTTATTACTTTTGAATTTTCACACTGCTATCGAAAGGCACTATGATTTGGCGAATGTTACGTTGCGTCAAGGAGCGTTGGGCTCATCTATAATCATTTTGTCCGTGCAGCTTGGGTCATAAAAAATCGGAGCGGTGCAGCGAGTATTTCGCTCTCTCTTCCACTCACGAGCCTTATGGACGGGCATAGTGATGCGCATTATTGCTGTCGATAAGCGTTATCGATAATGTATTTAGTTTTGTCATTTTGTGGGTTAGTGATAAAAATGAAAGAAAAATCACTAATCAAACACTTACACCATATATCGCCGTAGCAAGTTAACGAGAACGGCAGAAATTAACACTTTGTATCTTTTCGGGATCTATTCTCATTTCAGTTAAAAATGTTAACACATTGTTAATAATAACACGTGCTGGTGTATTTTTACCAACAAGCAAAATATTTGAATAAATTCTGCCGTTTTGGTACAAAACAAAGGAATAGCCATTGTGTCACTTAAGAAATTCAGAGAGCGAATGCACAGAACCACATTTCTCTTCGACATATGTACTATAATTTGCAGGTAGGTACAACAAATGACTCATAACATAACAATGTCTCACCACCCTTCGTATACCACTCCGCCGCCGTGTACCTGCCTACCTTCGATGACTCATCTGTGTTTATCGATAATGGCGTTACGCCCGCGCAACGTGCTCACCGCCCTAGCCGGGCTATGTTTTATGACCCAAACTGCACGGACAAAATAATTCTACTATAGTCAATCTGTGTGACATGAAAAGACCACAACGCTAAAACGCAGCGCTAAGTACGCGTTCTGTGTGACGGAGCCTTAAATTCGTCTAAACTCTTCCTGGAATGGAGGTCCATACCCGTTTCCTCCGTCCAGGTGTACGCGCGGATCGAGCAGGGCTCGGCGGCGTGGCAGGCGCTGGACGTGCCGCGCGGCCGCCTGTACAGCTGGGACGCGAACTCCACCTACATCAAGAAGCCGCCATTCTTCGACGGAATGACCAAGGTAACGGACGCGCTCCCGTCAATCGGGGCACGGAACCTCATGAATGATTCGTGTAGCCAAATAAACCCCATAATTTTGAACAGTGACGTCATCGTTCAACAAAATCTACAACAGTATGGAGACGCTCTTTTGCTAGTGGTAGGACATCTTGTGAGTCCGCACAGGTAGGTACCACTAATCTGTCTATTTTTGCCGTGAAGCAGTAATGAGTTTCGGTTCGAAGGGTAGGGCAGCCGTTGTAACTATACTGAGATCTTAGAACTTATATCTCAAGGGAAATGGCGGCATTTACGTTGTAGATGTCTATGGCTCCGGTAACCACTTCACACAATAGTTCTCGGTTAAACAGAATAATTATACTCAGAACGCTTGAAGGAAGGGCTCGGCGAGTAAATTAACCCTCAGACACAGCCCACTGAGTTTCTCGCCGGATCTTCTCAGTGGGTCGCGTTTCCGAGCCGGTGGTAGATTCTGCGAAGCACTGCTCTTGCTAGGGCCAGTGTTAGCAACGTCGTCAGATTTGAGCCCCGTGATCTCACCTGCTTGTTAGGTTAAGTGGGAAAAAATCAGGTTAAGTAGGAAAGAAATACCTCATAATTAGTATTTTATTTTTTCATTGCTTGCACCTCACGGCTCACCTGATCTTAAGTGGTTACCGGAGCCCATAGACATCTAAAATGCACCACCCACGTTGAGACACGAGTTGTATAGCCTCACTTTTAACAGTACAATGGCTGTCCCACCCTTCAAACCGAAACGCATTACTGCTTCACGCCAGAAATAGGCAGGGCGGTGGCACCTACCCGTGCGGACTCACAACACGTCCTGCGACCAGTAGTATATTATAAAGCTTGTTTTCGTATATGGTACAAACACGTGTGTTGTAAGAGTGTGGTCTGTGGAGTTGCGCCCCGCGACCACAGATGTCGCTGGCGGCGCGGGGGCAACGACCTCGCACAGTCCAAGCGCGTCTCTGTAGCCTACCCGCCGGTGTGTGGCAGGAGCTGCCGGCGGCGACGAGCGTGCGGGGCGCGCGCTGCCTGCTGCTGCTGGGTGACTCGGTGACCACGGACCACATCTCGCCGGCGGGATCCATCGCGCGGAACTCGCCAGCAGCGAGATACCTCGCGCAGCGCGGGTACATCTCACTATAATATCACTCACTATACTAGGGGGAGGGGGAGGAAGGTGGGAAGGTTACGACCTCTCCTCACTGGGTCGCGTTCCTCGGTTTTTTTTAATGCCCTTGATGGAAGACGAGCAAACACCCCACCTGATGGTAAATGGTTACCGTCACCTATAGACTTCAGCAATGCCCGGGGCAGACGGGGCAGAGCCAAGCCGCTGCCTACAGTTAAGTACTCTCCACAAGCCTCGTTTGAAGAAGGACAAATAATAGCGCTCGGGAAATACCGTGGAGGGGAGCTCATTCCTCATTCCTCATACTATGGGATCCAGTAACCACTTAACACCAGGGGGGCTGTGAGCTCGTCCACCGATCTAAACAATAAAAAAAAGTGGCGACGTCTACATAGAACCGATCCCATAGACACGGGTACGCCTTTACGGAAGAAAATTCCGATATGATGCTTGCAATAACTTCTACTATAAAGGAAAAGCATAGTGTGATTATAAAATGTAATCATACACAGTGATGTCCTTGGACTACTCTGGTGCCGAGCAGCGAGCCTACACAACGGATGTGACAATAAACAAACTAAAAATCACACAGGCTGACAGCCAGGGAGTTCAACTCGTACGGATCTCGGCGCGGGAACGACGCGGTGATGTCCAGGGGCACGTTTGCGAACATCCGCATCGTCAACAAGATGGCGCCGGCCCCCGGACCCAAGACCACCCACCACCCGTCCGGTGACGTCATGGACATCTTCGATGCTGCCGAGAGGTGAGAGCGGTGACCAGCACCAGCCCTCGAGTTACTCCTGATGAACCACAATGATGACCCCACAAAATAATACTTTCAGATACGCGTCAGAGAACGTCCCCCTCATTGCCATCGTCGGGAAGGACTACGGATCCGGGTCCAGCCGGGACTGGGCGGCCAAAGGACCTTACCTCCTGGTACGTTAGGTGCTGTCCCCGCAGCCGCGCACCGCCTGAACCGCTCGTACTATCTCACCTCCAACTCCTCAGGGCATAAAGGCGGTGATAGCGGAGTCGTTCGAGCGGATCCATCGCTCGAACCTGGTCGGGATGGGTCTCCTCCCGCTGCAGTTCCTACCCGGGGAGAGCGCGGCCACGCTCGGGCTGACGGGGGCGGAGCGCTACGACATCATCCTGCCGCCCGCGCTGGCGCCCGGCCAGACCGCGACCGTACAGGTACCGTGACAGATGCCTTAACTTCGCAGGGTCGTGGAGCGGAGGGTGGACAACAGCAGGGAGCAGCTGTATGCTCGAAAAGCTGTCTCCAAAATATTCTGTAGGATTCATATATTTTGGAGAAAGTGGACGAGTTTTGCTGGTGGTAGGACCTCTCGTGAGTCCGTACGGGTATTTCTGCCTTTCACCCTGCCTATTTCTGCCGTGAAGCAGTAATGTGTTTCGGTTTGAAGGGTGGGGCAGCCGTTGTAACTATACTGAGACCTTAGAACCCACAGCTGCCCATGTCTGTGGGCTCCAGTAACCGCATAGAATTTGCGTTATAGGTGTCTATGGACTCCGATAACCACTTGACACCGGGTGGGCCGTGAACTCGTCCACTTATCAAGGCAATAAATAAAAAAGTTCTCCAGTACCGCATCTCCTGAGCGTCGTATTTTCTTCCTGTCCACATCTGACTATTGATGTCCTCGGACTAGTCTATAAGCGGTCGGAGGGTGACGTGTGTCTGTCCGCAGGTGGACAACGGCACCTCGTTCCAGGTGGTCGTACGGTTCGACACGGAAGTCGACCTGACCTACTTCAAGAACGGCGGAATCTTGAACTACATGGTGCGGAAGATGCTCTGACTCCATCCGGCGCAGGACTCCACCGCGACCGAAGCTCAGCGACGACTCCGGACTCCACCAGACCGGTCATGCCGCTTGTAACACGAAGACATGAGCGGATGAAGGGGTTAAGTACCGTTTTTAACACTAATCATACCAACACTTACTGGTTAGGTACCACAGCGGGTAGATAACAGTACCTATACGACAAGTATTACTCAAAATAAGCAAAACAAAATAACAAAAAAAAAGTATGATAACTGTTGATTAATTGGTTAAAAAAAGTCGTGAAGTCAAGTGTGCAAAAGCATGGCATTCAAAATGGGTCATTTGACCCATTATGGTATGTTTAGTGTTAAGATTTGTGGGTTTTTACATTGATAAGTGGCTATAAACCATATTAGACCTTGAAACTCCAAGTTTGAAGGCTACAAAGATACGAAGATAAAGTACAGTAGATTGGGGGGAATACAGACTAGAGTTAGAATAGGGACAAATCAGGGATGTCACAATACATTTGTTGAGTTGTTTGATTTAATTTTGTTGAACCGAAAATGACTTTTATTTATTTAGTGTTTAAGAATATTAAATAGTTTAATGTAATCATCAATATTTTGTAATTCATTAAAGATATTAAAAAGTTAATTAAAGTTAGGTACCTACCTAACAATCAAATAGTGCCAGCCCTATCGAAAAACGCTAATGTCCCCATACGTAACCTGATTCACCCCAAAGCCAAGGTGAATCGGGTGAAACTAGTATTTTTCAGTTTTGTGTATATTTGTAATTAATATAATAACGCATCGTATATAAAAATTTAAGCATCCGGAACCATTTTAATCTCAATTTTATTGGTATTACCCTAAGAAAAACCATTGAAAATTTGTGTTGGATTTGAAAAGGGTCCCGATTTCTCCCAATCTACGGTAACAAAAGTTTGTTATCCGTTTTCTCTGAATCAACAAATTGTATCATATCCCCTTCATCCACTCATGTCTTCGTATAAACGCGCTGGGTCTTTTTTTAAGGGATGTTATGACCTGTTAATTGACCTTTAGGTCATGTCTATTTTAATTTATATTCTTATTTTAATAAAAAATGATAATATGGAGTGAAATGAAATGAAATGAAGAATTTGATACATTAATCAACAGGGATGAAATTAAATAAAATGAGTGAGATGATATGGGATGAAATATAATCTAAGTAAAATGGTGGTCATTTACTGAGATTTTTTCAGTGGACTTTTTGGAGGATCCCTAGAAGTTACGTCCAGCGGCTTTGTTTTATTTTCCCACATTTGTGCACTGTCACAGATATTAAACAGTTAATAAATAACGGTTAATACACATTTAAATCTGAAGAAACACTAAATAGACAAAATAAAACAAATCACACAGCTTCACTCCTCGCGTTCCCGCCAAAAAGTCTTCTCGAAATTAACAAACCGTATCATATCCTCTTCATCCACTCATAAAAGCGCGCCCGCGACTCTTAACACTGTTAACAAAAATAATGTAATACTTCATACGCGTTCCTATGTCGCGTTAGGACTGTGATGGAACCTCAGTCGAAGTAAGGTATAAGTAACAAAGTTAATTGTAAAATTATTATTACGCGCTGGGGTTCGGGATAAATAAAAATTCTACCGAAGTATAAATTAAAACTTTATTAACACTTAGAACATTAAAATTCTTAATTCCATCTTCCGTTTCGCTTCGATTAGAAGCAATTACTTACTGCCTTCGTGTCATCTCTGCAATGCTTTTACAGTCGATACAACATCCCTAGAATTATCGAGAACATTCCTCACAAGTCGACTAGCTTCGATGTGTGTGTGTTCCGCTATCTGAAAATAGATGGCGTTGTACTACTTTTTCGATGTTACTAGTTCCTTTGATATTCGTTTCTGCTATTCGAGGATAGATGGCGCTACTCTTACCGGCGTAACAATATATAATGATATGGAATGTTCTAAAAATGATTGAACTATAATAAAATACTTAATTGCGAACAAAGGGCACTATTTATGAAAAATCCTTTTTAAAAAAAGTATATGAATATATATATATATATTTTAAACTAAAAATGCTTTATATAAAAATTATATAAAAAAGCTTTTTCTTTACATAGATACATAATATGTTATGTACATATACAAATGTATCAGCTCATGTGGGTCTCTTTAAAAAAATCATACAAGATGATTTTGATTTTTTTTTAAAATAATATTTAAATAGTACCTACAACTAACAGTGTTGCTTACTAAATACTAAATTTATTAAAATCTAATTAACTATACTTAAAAATATATATTTTAAAAATACATATTTTTTATATATCATTATTATATTATTATGGAAGTTGTTTTTGAAGTCGTTGTGGCTTAAAGGATAAGACATCCGGTGCGTTCGTATGTAGCGATGCACCGGTGTTCGAGTCCCGCAGGCGGGTACCAATTTTTCTAATGAAATACGTACTTAACAAATGTTCACGATTGACTTCCACGGTGAAGGAATAACATCGTGTAATAAAAATCAAACCCGCAAAATTATAATTTGCGTAATCACTGGTGGTAGGACCTCTTGGGAGTCCACACGGGTAGGTACCACCACCCCGCCTATTTCCGCCGTGAAGCAGTAATGCGTTTCGGTTCGAAGGGTGGGGTAGCCGTTGTAACTATACTGAGATCTTAGAACTTATATCTCGAGGTGGGTGGCGCATTTACGTTGTAGATGTCTATGGGCTCCAGTAACCACTTAACACCAGGTGGGCTGTGAGCTCGTCCATCCATTTAAGCAATAAAAAAAAAAAGTTGTCGATAATATAAATTCAATGATTTTCTAAAATTAAATCTAGTAGCTTAAACGGAAAATGTATATAAAACATAATAGTCTACATTATATTATAAAGGTTTTTAATATCAAAATGTTAAATCGATTAAAATTTACTTTATAAATAATAAAATCGATTGTTTCCTGTTGAAATCGATTCGAACTTTTGTTACACGCATAAGTATGAGGCCGCAATAAACTTAATTAAGCGAGCATATACACAAATTTTTATACAGTTTATAATTCGACGCTTGAAAGGCAAAAGTTACTAAGCGACAATAACTACTTTGTACATAAATGATAGCCAATAACCATATTCGATGCGCAAAAAAATATATTTCTAGCTCTATTAAAATCATTTCAATCCTACAGCTACTAGCTAGACTCTACTACAGCTAGATTCGTTAAAATAAATTTTGTTTTCAGGTATTTCAACTTTAAATTAGTCTACTGTAAAGTTCACGCATTGGCGCTTAGTCACGTTTGCCTTTCAAGCGTCGATATATTCCATTTTATTTTGTTGTAAAAGTTATTTCAACTAACCTTATTTATAAGTCAGAGAAACCACATTATTAACACCATCGTCAGACAGGGGCGAATAGGTTGATCGAGCTAAGAGAAATATTGAGTGCACCAATCACGTTTGTTATCTTAGAACAATTTAGAAATCTTCTCTTGACGTTAGCGAACGAAAACGAATGACAGTTCTTAGGACGAAGGCGCCGCTCTTCAAGAAGGCTGGTTGGTAAGTGTGATGCCGTCCACGCGCCTCCATCGGCTAGGCTCTGTCGTAGCACGAGGTTAGCCGAGTTCCGACGGCGCTGCCATCTCTCGGGAATCGTGCTGCGTTTCCTATAGCTACCAAACTAATGACCGTCTCCGACATATATTTTTCATAAACTAATTTATGATATGCCACAGAGTAATGTAAAGTTAACTGGCCAGTTGATTTTTGTATAACAACGCCATCTGTCGGTCGGGTGTCGGGTAGTTGGCGACATTTACGTTGTAGATGTCCGTGGACTCCGGTTACCACTTAAAACCAGGTGGGCTAAGTAATATCCACCCATCTAAGCAATAAAAAAATGATTCGTAGATGCCGTGGCGATTTCTGAAAAGGAACAAAATGTAATCAGTATGCTTATTTTTTTTTTTTATTTTTTTTTTTTATTGCTTAGATGGGTGGACGAGCTCACAGCCCACCTGGTCTTAAGTGGTTACTGGAGCCCATAGACATCCACAACGTAAATGCGCCACCCACCTTGAGATACAAGTTCTAAGGTCTCAGTATAGTTACAACGGCTACCCGACCCTTCAAACCGAAACGCATTACTGATTCACGGTAGAAATAGGCAGGGCGGTGGTACCCACCCGCGCGGACTCACAAGAGGTCCTACCACCAGTGTGAGTGAGTTAGTGTGAGTTTTTTAACATTAACATTCTCGATAGCGTAAAAGTTAACTCAAATTTATATGCAGTTGGAACAGCGTCTCTAGCGGCTAACATAGGTAAACGTTCCAAGTCTTGTATGGAGTTCGAGTATTCGAGTTAACTTTTACGCTATCGAGAACGTTAAGAAACTCGCACTAAGTACACAGCTGACGCACGAGGTCAACGAACTCGCAGTTTCTTGCGTTACAAAAACGGTTCGCTTCACATTGCTGGCTCAATATTAAAGTGAATTATATCTGAACAAATGTATTTGTTGTCGAATTAAGGGTAGGTTTATTTTCAATAGTAGGGTTAAAGGGTTTTAAACGTATTTAAATACTTCATTCGAGGCCGTCAGCGCAAAAGTGGCCTAACCTACCCTCATAATCATGCTTATTATGTATATTGCAATGTATTTAAAATATAATAAATATTGATACAAAACCGGCCTATCCATAGTTTCACCCATAGATAACAGATGGCTTTGTACACATTATTTTTGCGCCTACCTACTTTCTTACCTACTGAAATTAAAATACAAGAAACCATAAACCTCATTGCTCCATAATGACTTTAGTAAGCTTAGGCCACTTTTGCGATGACGGTCTCATTTATGAATAGGTTGTTGTGAATTTTATGCAGTTTCAAATTTATGAAACTGAATTGCACGTATGTCTGTCTGTTTATAAAAATGTCATTTTATATGTTAGTATTATAAGGGGATGGTTAATAAAAAAATAAATATATATATACATAAATATAATTTTTGGTAATATTTGGTTTTATTTCAATCCCAACACTATGATTATTTTTTCTAATGTAATTTAATCTTTGCTAAAGGCGACATGCCTTCGCTTCCGGCGTTGCTTGTTCGCGAGCAACGGTGACCATTTACGGTTAAGCGGGCCTACCGTTGGCCTATGAACCCAACAAAAAGACTATCGTAGAAAAATTTCGTCAAAACCTTTAGGACTGTATTGTTATGGACCAATACTAAGAATAAATTGAATTAATCCATACATTGAAATTACTATGATTTTTAGGAAATTTACCTTTTTTTTCCCTGCCTATGCTGATAGCCTTGAGAGGCTATTTCAGCTTCACCCTAACGTGTAGGTGAGCTCACGGGGCTCAAACCGGAGTGTTGCTAACACTGGCCCTAGCAAGAGCAGTGCTTCGCAGAATCTACCACCGGATCGGAAACGCGACCCACTGAGAAGATCCGACGAGAAACTCAACGGACTGATATATGGATTAGTCAGTACGGCTACAAAGATTCCCATGCCTGCTCCTAGTCTTAGAGTTGCAGGCGTTTAATAAAAGAGCTAATGGATTGGGTAGATCTGTAAGAACGTGTTCCTACCGAGATGCTATGCTATGCTACGATTTCCAAGTTAGGTAATCGGTAGAACCGACGGTTCAAATTTGTTTCTTTTTCCTACCTTTTTGTTTTTATTGCTTAGATGGGTGGACGAGCTCACAGCCCACTTGGTGTTAAGTGGTTACCGGAGCCCATAGACATCTACAATGTAAATACCGCCACTCACCTAGAGATTGAGTTTTAAGGTCTCAGTATAGTTACAACGGCTACCCCACTGTTCAAACCGAACTGCTTCACGGCAGAAATAAGCAGGGTGGTGGTACCTAACCGTGCGGACTGACAACAGGTCCTACCACCAGTAAAAATACTCTTAGTTTCCATACATAATATTAACATTATTCTGCCGATGCGTGCGAATATTTACAGTAACACCGAGCATCATCCAACACTCACATTGTGTTTATAAATTCACATTAACGATTATAAATTCGAAACATTAATGTTTTTATAAACACTCTTGTGTTTATTCAATAAAATGTTAATACAAGAATCATATTGTATTTTGTAAGAATTGCATTCAGACTTGACATGAAGGGACATTGAAAAGTAAAAGAAATTCCCATAAATCGATGGTCATTTTAAAGAAATTGATAATGTCCTGTACGTTTTCTCACGAGGAATTGGTTCTGTGTTTGCTAAGCAATTACTTCCTGGTTGTGTCCTGGTGTATGACTCCAGAAATCAAGGATATGCTCACGCCGCTTAGTGAGCACGGCGAGGCCTGCGGCTACCAAGTAAGTGTCACACGTGTCCTATTGCAGCCACTCATCGTTCCCTTCGAATGAAGAGTTTACTGGTGGAGTCTGTGGTCAAATTGAGAATAGATTAATATTGTTTATCTTTAATATTATTTCTCTATAGTGTAGTCTTTCGAAATCTGTGATTATAGAGGTACAACAGTCTTTGATAATAGAACCATAATAACGATCAAACTTATAATTTCAATGAATTATAGTCGAACTTCGACTACTGCGGGACCACTGGTCTATATAATTATATCATACAAACACAATATATTTGACAGATGCCTGAATATCGCTTAAGACCATTTTCGAGATGCGTTTCGGTTTGAAGGGCGGGACAGCCGTTGTAACTATACTGAGACCTTAGAACTCATATCTCAAGGTGGATGGCGGTCTTTACGTTGTAGATGTCTATGGGCTCTGGTAACCACTCAACATCAGGGGCTGTGAGCTCGTCCACCTATCTAAGCAATAAAAGAAAAAAGATAAGCTTCTATATATACAAGTTCCGAACAACAACATTCGGACCGTCGGTCTACCGAGCAATAACACCCGCTCAGAGGAAGATCTTTCCCACCATCGTTACACCTAGAAACTTATCAAACACTCTCGTAAACCTTACATATTTCCATAGAAACATTCATCCCCTATTTCCTATTGTTATTTTAGACCCTTGAGGGTAAGAATATTACAAACTTTAAATGTCATATTTATTTATATCAAATCCATAGTCTAAAAACGTATATAAGTATGTACGTCCGTAACACAGGGAATCCTGAATTGGAGTCAGATGCGTGATTTGTTTCCAGCTATTTATCATTATTAACATAAACCATAGACAGCCCAATGAGCTTCTCGCTGGATCTTCTCAGTGGGTCGCGTTTCCGATCCGGTGGTAGATTCTGCGCAGCACTGCTCCTGCTAGAGTTAGTGTTAGCAACACACCCGGTTTGAGCCCCGTGAGCTCACCTACTAGTTAAGGTTACGCTGAAATAGCCTCTCAAGGCTATCAGCATAGGTAGGAGAAAAAATAATAGAAAGATGCCTGTGATAAGTCGTTTGTGGAATTTGTAATAAACGAAAATCATTAATGTAATGTTGAATAAGACGAGGTTAGAGAATAATGTAGCAAGAGAATGCGCAGTGGGTAGCTTTTTTATATCTACTGCCAGTTAAGTCGATGGATTGATTGAAGATTTCTTATCCAAATCCAAATATAATCTGAATTTACCGGCCCTGGTGGTACTCAGAGCTGCCCGGCACCACGCCCGGATATGTTGAACGTCCACATCGTCCCCCACACACACGGAGAGCTGGGATACACCAGGACCTTCCCACAGCACTACACTGGTGGTGAGCATACTTTAGTTTTCTATTACGGTAAAAATGCCGCCACCCACCTTGAGATATGAGTTCTAAGGTCTCAGTATAGTTACAACGGCTGCGGAGACCTTAGAAGTCATGTCTCGAGGTGGGTGGCGGCATTTATGTTAAAGATGTCTATGGACTACGGTAACCACTTAACACCAGGTGGGCCGTGAGCTCGTCCATCCATCTAAGCTATAAAAAAAGGTATGAATGTAAAATTTCAGTACGAGAGGGTACTTAGAAATTTGCTTAATTACATTTGCAGAGTTCATGAAAGGGCAACAACCTTCGTTGATTAATATGAAGCGAATATTGGACTATACGATCAGCGAACTATGGGCGCAAGAGCACAGGAAGTAAGCCTTATGTCTATTCACATAAAGTATATTATTATACTGGAACATTGGAGCGAGTCGCGAGTCGAAATTACTTTTAAGCAATAGCTCAAAGCTATACAATAGTATGATACATATATATACAAAAGTATAGCTTTGAGCGCGGGCTTTGAGCGCGGCGACCGAATCAAGAAATTCCGTAACGAAAAAAATCTAACACCCCCACTCCGTCTACCATGTAGCTCGCGTTCAACACATTCACACGTTGCGCTTGTGTAGTGTTTGTGAATAAGCGCGCGACTTGACGTCGCACTGCATGTGAATCATGAAAAGTCTGCCCATCTCTCTCTCGCGCGGTCTAGTTTATTAGTGTGAAGGGGATAGTTAATGTTTTGCTTTTGTTAATGTTTATAAATATAGCGTGGTCTTATTTTATTATTGTTTTAATATTAAATTATTATTGTTTAATTATAATTGCCTAAATTGATAAAAAATGCTATGCAATAGCTTTACCGCGGTAGTCTCCAAGTGCCACACGTGTTTTTTTTTACGATTCAGTCTCATATTTGTTATTGCCAATTGAGCGGTATATTGAGCGGTAGTTACAGAAGAGCACACAAGATGTGTGACAACCATTTTACTGAGATTATATTTCATCCCATACATCTCATTTCATTTCATTTAATTTCATCCCAGTTGATTAATGTCTCAAATTAATCATCTTCATTTCATTTCATATCATTTCACTTCATATTATCATTTTTCATAAAAATAAGAATATAAATGAAAATAAGACATGACCTGAAGGTCTTAGTTGCCAGGTCATAAAGTCTCTTAAAAAAAAAAAGATGTATGACAGGACATTTTGGCGGGAACGCGAGGAGTGAAGTTGTGTGATTTATTTTATTTTGTCTATCATAATGTAATCAGGATTGTCTTTACAGGTTCACGTTTTCTGACACTCCTTACTTGTTCCACTGGTGGGCGAACAGAGATGCAACGGGTGAGAATAGCGGAGGACGTGTGTGCTCGATCCTTCCATAGACACATATTGAGGAATGAAAAGCTGTTTGATTTGAGCGACATTTTCGCAACTTTACAGGAGAGCCATTTAAAGTTTAAAATTTCGAACCGAAATGCATCACTGCTTCACGTAGGAAATAGGCAGGATAGTGGTACCTACCCGTGCGGACTCACAAGAGGACTCACCTACCACCAGTAATAGTAATAGTCCGACATCAGGTCTGGTTGGCTCTGACTTGTGCACCGAGGATTCGATTCCAGCATTAGGCAAACATGGGCTATGAGATATCTATAGGTCGATGAGAGCCTCCGTCTTTTCTGAAGTCTGATAAAAAATTTAAAATAAAACATAGCTTGACAAACAATCAAGAAGATGGTACTTAACCTTTTCTGTTTGCTGATAAATATCGAAATGCTATTTACAGAAGAGTCATTTAAAGTTCAAAATTTGGAAGAAATATCTTAAACAAAAAACGCTTGCTTGGCTATTTGAATGGAGTAAACTCAATTGAAGTTCAATTAAAAACATCGAACTATTGATGCTGATACCGAATAAAACGGACATTTAATTACAAACATAAATGTCGCGTGTTAAGCGAAATGTCGCTTTAACCAAATATCCTTTCACCCCTCAATGTATTGTTGAAGCGTGCGTGTTCTTTGTAGACTCCGAAAGGGCTGAACCTATTTTTATGGAATCTTCTGCTTTTTTTTCCTACCTAAGCTGATAGTCTTGAGAAGCTATATCAGCGTCACCTTAACTAGTAGGTGAGCTCACAGGGCTCAAACCTGATGACGTTGCTAACACGAACCCTAGCAAGAGCCGTGCTTCGCAGTATCTATCACCGGATCTGAAACGCGACTCATTGTCACCGATTTATATATTCGAGAAACAAACTGTACAACAGATCAGGCAAAGATAGAAAAGTAAAGACCAAACAAGTTCCCACAATTAATGCAACAGATAATGCGAATAGCAAACGAGAATATCTGAAACGAATGACTTAAAATGGACAAAAAAGTCACAATACACAAAAGTGTGTCAAGAGCCAAGCCGCTGCCTATCGTTAAGTACTCTCCACAAGCCTCGTTTGAAGAAGGACATGTCATAGCGCTCGGGAAACATCGTGGAGGGGAGCTCATTCCAAAGTTGGATGGTACGTGGCAAAAAAGATCTCTGGAAACGCACTGTGGATGAACGCAGTGGCTCCTGGTAGAATTGATGAACTGTTTTGTATTGGAGGGTCGGTGTGTTAAGGTTCAATCTTGGATTTTTTTAAAATCATTCTGAAAATTTCGAATGCTTCACAGTTATCTTGGTCACGGACCACAGAGACTTCTCATCCTAGACCTCACATCCTAAGGGGTCAGTCTGTAATACCCTTGGATGTTTGAATGGGTTTTTTTATTGCCCCTATAGACAGACGAGAATACGGCCCACCTGAAGATCTGTGATTACAGTCGCCCATGGACTTCAGCAATGCCAGGGGCGGAGCCAAGCCGCTGCTTACCGTTAAGTACTCTACACGAGTCTCGTTTGAAGTGTAAATTGTTAATGACAACATGTCTCCGTAGTCCGCAGGATGGTGTACACGCTGCTACGTCAAGGTAGACTCTTCATCGTGGGCGGGGCATGGGGGATGGTGGACGAGGCCACCACCAACTACCACGCCGTGATCGATCAGTTCACGTACTCGCTAAGGTATCCATCGAGTCATTCGTACCAGTCCCAAGCTTTACTGGTGGTAGGACGTCTTGTGAGTCCGCCCGCGTAGGTACCACCGCCCTGCCTTTTTCTGCCGTGAAGCAGTAATGCGTTTCGGTTTGAAGGGTGGGGCAGTCGTTGTAACTATACTGAGACCTTAGAACTCGCATTTCAAGGATGGTAGCATTTACGTTGTAGATGTCTATGGGGTCCTGTAATCATTTAACACCAGATGGGTTGGGAGCCGTCCAAAAACCAAATCAATAAAAAAGTCCTCGTCTAGTTAGACATTGAAATTCGACAGTCAACTGTTCGAAGGGTGACAAACTAATGGTGATGTCTCAAGGTCTATGGGCTCCGGTAACCACTTCACACCAGGTGTACCCTGAGCTCGTCCACTCATTAAAGCAAAAAAAATGTGGCAAAAAAGATGGCGGTACACCCATCGCAGTAAAATGGTATGGTCCAGTGGTATATTCAAGATCATAGTCCAATACTACCCTCATTTTAAAAGACAGATTGCCAAACCAGTAGAGAATATTGTTGGAAAAACCTACAACGCCATCTCTTATTCGAGCGTCAAACTAGTATAAATAAATTATTAAAGCGCCATCTGCAATCGCTTACAGGAAACTCAACGCTACGTTCCTAGAGTGCGGGCGTCCACTGATGGCCTGGCAGGCAGATGTCTATGGGCACTCCCGCGAGATCGCCTCGCTGCTGGCCCAGATGGGCTTCGATGGGCTGTTCATAAACCCGATCAGCTTCGACGATGAGCTGGACAGAATGAGGAGGAAGTCCATGGAGTTCTTGTGGAGGGGAAGCGATGATTTAGGTAAGGCCAATACGCTTAGTGCGAGTTTTTTAACGTTTTCGATAGCGTAAAAGTTAACTCGAATTTATATGGAATCCGAGGCGGATTATTTAAGCCGCCACTGTATGGAGTTGAACGTTTGCCGCTAGAGGCGCTGGTAATTCAAAGGAACAATGTCCAGGCGCGGAGACTGATATCTACACCCACAAGCTGTTCGACGGGTACTGGTCTCCGCCAGGGTTCTGCTTCGGGAGCTACTGCGACGACCCCCTCCTCATCACTTCGGACTCGGTCTTCAGGAACATCGACGAGCGGGTTCGATGCTTGACTAATATTTTCTTGAAGTGGAACTTCTGTAGGCGCGTTGTGAATAAAATTTAATTAGCTACAGATTCGTTACGGTTAGTGAGAAAAGATACAATTTAGGACGAGTGAGAGTGAGAGAATAGACAGAGCGTCTCGCGAACCACTCGACCGCGGAGAGAGGGAGAAAGCGAGCTAGGTCATTTCGTTTATACACAGCATTCCCTATTACAAGAGAAATTTGATTTAAGGATGAAAAATGAAGAGAACCACACTACTACACACCGCAAAAGAAATTTCACTTCTTTCACGTACGCCATTTTATTTACTCATAAAAAAATGGATTATTTTTTTATATACACTACCATCAATTAAAAACATCGAACTGTTGATGCTGATACGAAATCAAACAGACCTTTTATTAAAGGATAAATGTCGCTTGTTAAGCGAAATGTCGCTTAAACTAAATAGCTTTTCACCGCTCGATATGTTAGAGTTGTTAGACAGAGACCTCAATATATTTTACGGTAACGTCACCGGTTAAATTCTGTCTCAAAAGTCGTTCTCCGAGAAAGAGATTGAGAACTATCTCTAGATTTTCTCTCAGTCCCCCCTAAAACCATCAGAAGCTTACACATCACAGATTTGTGTTCCGCAATTCTTCGCAGTTTCTGTGATGTAGTGTCGATTTATTCGCAGGTCGACCTGTTCATAAAGTCGATCCTCCACCGCCAAGCTCCCTACTACTCCACCAGGAATGTGATGGTGATGATGGGTCAGAGATTCGGCTACTATGACGCCTCTATATGGTTCGCCAACGTGGATAAATTGATCAAGTAAGTATTTGGGAGGTTTCGTCATGGTCTACCTGCGCGGGTAGGTGCGGTCTTACCTATTTCTCTATTTCAGTAGGTCACTGTCTGGCCTATTCAAGTAGGTCATTGGCTTGCCTAATTCAGTAAGTCAATGTCTGGCCTATTTCTGAAGGTCACTGTCTTGTCTATTTCTGTAAGCCACTGTCTTGTCTATTTCTGCTCGAAGCAGTCGGACGTTATGGCTCGAAAAGTGAGACTATTACATAACCTAATTGAGACTCCGACGTATCCAAAAGCCCCGGTAATATAAAACATAATAAACACGTTTCGTATTAAATGCATAAATATTTTTGCGAACACGTAATGTATAGTGAAGATTCATACAAGGTCACCGACCGCATGTTGATTGAGAACGCATTACATTACGCGTTTTTCTGAAATCGCGTTAAACAAATAATGTTTATTTCATTGTTACTGTGAACCGCTAAAGCGAGGTAGTATCTAAATTTTTTTATCAAAAAACATGCTCACGTGCTCTTAGAGTCAGGGCAGAATCTCCTTTGCCTCATGTCCAGCCTGACGTACCTTTAAAATGGAGTTTTCTTTACAGCGAAGTGAACAAAAAGAGTTATGAGACCGGAGCCAATATCAATCTGTATTATTCAACGCCGGCGTGCTACCTGAAAGCGGTCTATGACTCCAAGTAATGAAGTGTTTATACAGCTTTGTCGGTTACTTACAAGGGCTCACAGGGGCTCACAGCACAGTGGGGGCAGCAGTTCCCCGCTCCGATTTGTAGGGACCCGGAAGGGGGGGCGTGTCGTAGGTTACCATTGGAATTTAGAAGCTCACGTCCGAGGTACCTCTTTGAGCTGTGTTGAAAGTTTTAGTGCTTTACGAGGTTGGTAGCTGCGGGAAGTTCCATAGTCATTGGAACCGCATGTTCCAGCTTCAGTTTTATGTTACATTGTTATATCTTTTATTTAGAAAATATTTGGGAGAAACGTAAATTGCTAAGAACAATGATTATCGTTTGAAATAGAAGACGAATGACACTTTTGTCTTGGTCTAATTATAAGCAGGTAACTTACTAGCTTTATGAATATCGTATAATTGACCGATTTGGGGGCGCAGCAGTTTTCGGCTTTGACTGTTTGGCTGAGAACCGTGGGTTCGATTCCCTAGCAAAACATTCCTTTGGCGAACGTCTGAGGTTTAATACCTACATACGTACATATATGTATATTAATATTTAAACCGATATACTTATACTCACGATCGAAGATGGACTACACTGTAGCTATTATTTCTTGTCTTGCAGCCCGACTTTGGACACGAAGCAGGATGACTTCTTCCCTATGGCCTACGACAAATTCTCTCACGCTACCGGCCTGTATACCTCGCGACCCACCATAAAGTACATGGCGAGAGAGGGACATGTATACCTGCAGGTTATACACATACCGTACATTTGTTTAGGTGTGCCTGCAACTGATGAGTCAATTCAAATTGTGTAAATGCGTCATCGTGGCCTAAAGGATAAGACGCTTAGTACGTTTGTATCGACGATACGACTTTTTCGGCCAATTTTTTCTAATGAAATACGTACTTAACAAATGATCACGATTGACTTCCACAGTGAAGGAATAACGTCGGGTAATAAAAATCAAAAACCTGAAAAATTTTAATATGCGTAAGTAATTACTGGTGGTAGGACATCTTGTTCTCCCGGATAGGTACCACCATTGTCCTTGGACTTCATATCTCAAAGTGGATGAGCTCTTGTAACCACTAAGTGAGATCAGGCTGTGCCATTGCAACTGAAGCCTGTAGATACCAACTCCATTCTATTTGCAGATGGCCAAGCAGCTTCAGGTCCTGGCCAGACTGTGGAACAACGACCAGCTCTTTGAAGAGTTTCAGTGGGTCATGGGTAATGCTTATTAAACACATAACATATTACGTCAGACATTCGGGGAATAATAAAAAAATAGACTTTATTTCAATGATTATTTAAATGGACACATTTCCGCACGAATATAATTTGAGCATGTGTCTACCCAATGTTGAGTGTTGGTTTCTTCATTTGCACTCCATTCTTTTCGGTCTCTTGCGTTTCACAGTCTATAGTCTCTACCAATTTTGGTATAAGGTCTAATTGTCTAAAGGTCTAAAATCTTTTTTACCGGTGGTGACCTCTTGTGAGTCCGCGCGGGTAGGTCCCACCGCCCTGCCTATTTCTGCCGTGAAGTAGTAATGCGTTTCGGTTTGAAGGTTGGGCAGCCGTTGTAGTTATACTGAGACCTTAGAACTCATATCTCAAGGTGGGTGGCGCATTTACGTTGTAGATGTATATAGGCACCTGCAACCACTTAACACCGGGTGGGCTGTGAGCTCGTCGACCCATCTAAGCAATATCTTGTGGTAAGCTACTCTGTAATATAGCAGAGGTTACTACTGTCAGGGGACCGCACATTATAATCGATTCAATGCCTATTTCTGCTGTGAAGGCACGCATTCCTAACCTTCAGCACTATAAAGGGGCTCTGCTGAAGCCCTCCGTTTTACCTCCATACCACCTCCACCTCCTGCCATGGGACCAGAGTTCACTCACACTATCCGACATCGTTTACCAGAGATCACTTTTGCCACGTACCATTCGGTTCTGGGATGAGCTGTCACGGCATTCCCCGAGCGCTATGGATATGTTCTAGAAACGCCGATGCGTAGAGTCGTCAAGGGTATAGATGTGCCCTTGGCATTGCTGCCATCCATGAGCATTGAAAACTAGTAACTACTAGGCGGGCCGCACGTCAGCCTACAAAGGTAGCATCAAAGTTCCTCCGTAGACCCATAAAATTCGATCCCTGTGATATGTTAGGACTAATCAGGACTTACTGTTAGAAACTTTAGATCATTGTGTAGCTAGACGACATCATTGTCATTACAGGAGCCTTTCAAGACCACAACATCATCACGGGAGCCATGCACGACTACGTAAAGGAATATTACACGGACAGAATGTATTCCGCCGTGCAGAGGTCAACGTTACTCCTGAAGCAGGCGTTCAAGTGAGCTTTCTTGGTTCTAACGCGAGCTTAGCTATCGCAATGCACGTGCCAGGCTAAAAGTCAATTGCGAAAGTCGTTAGCGGTCGTCTATGATGGGAAAGTCGACATTTAGTGGTGGCCGTATAGCTATTGGCTTATCTTCGGCCAACCCGCGGCCAAGTCCACCTAATTGGCCACAAATGACGTCACACGTTTACCCCGTCATTTTTTAAAACAAGAGCCGAGCTTAACAAGCCTGATTGCCTCGGCGGTGCAGTAGTTAGAAGTCCAGACTGATGCGCTGTGGATCGCGGGTTCGATTCCCGCATCAGGCAAACATTGTGATTAACAGGTTTGTTTGCTCTTCATCTGGTTATTTATTATCTACATATATATTTTACTGGTGGTAGGATCTCTTGTGAGTACGCGCGGGTAGGTACCACCACCCTATCTATTTCTGCCGTGAAGCAGTAATGCGTTTCGGTTTGAAGGGCGGGGCAGCCGTTGTAACTATACTGAGACCTTAGAACTCATATCTTAAGATGGGTGGCGCATTTACGTTGTAGATGTCTATGGGCTTCAGTAACCGCTTAACACCAGGTGGGTTGTGTGCTCGTCCGCCCATCTAAGCAAAAAAATAATAATTAAAAGATGGTCAGTCTTTTTTTTTAAAGGGATTTTATGACCTGGTAACTGAGACCTTTAAGTCATATCTTTTTTTAATTGATATTCATATTTTTATAAAAAAAACGATATTATGGAGTGAAATGAAATGAAGATGATTAATTTGAGAAATTAATCAACTGGGATTAAATTAAATGAAATGAAATGAGATGAAATATAATCTCAGTAAAATGATGGTCATTTACTAAGATTTGTTCAGTGGACTTTTTGGAGGATCCCGAGAAGTTACGTCCAGCGGCTTTGTTTCATTTTCCCACATTTGTGCACTTTCACAGATATTAAACAGTTAATAAACCACCGTTATTACACATTTAAACCTGAAGAAACACGAAATAGACAAAATAAAACAAATCACACAACTTCACTCCTCGCGTTCCCGCCAAAAAGTCCGATGGTCAGTCTCTGGTACTAATAACACAGAGAATCCTAATTTAGAGCCCGATGTCTGCGCGTTATTAAGGTTATTACTATTAAATAAAACCTGATTGATTTCCTTCCAGCAAATTGCGTAGGAGCTCACAATCGAACATTTACTACCGGTGCTCTTTCAACGAGTCGAGCTGCGCCAACACGGAGTCACCGCAGTTTTTCGTGAGTATGAATTCTGAGATCCTAAAGCTAAGTTCACGCTTCAATATCACACAGCGCCACTACCATAGTATAATCAGCGAGAAGTCAGTATTGTAGAGTACCCCCAAATTAGTCGGGACCTTCTTGGGAACAGATCGGACTAACAGAAGTTCGAGTTAAGAAGATGGCAGGACTCTTATAGAGAAAAACGTTTGCCAGTAGGGTATTCGGATAACGCTACCCATACTGGTCATCGTTCTGGTCAAACCCGTCGCTTACGACGCTGGGCTCGGCGAGTAAATTAACCCTCACACACAGCCCACTGAGTTTCTCGCCGGATCTTCTCAGTGGGTCGCGTTTCCGATCCGGTGGTAGATTCTGCGAAGCACGGCTGTTGCTAGGGCCAGTGTTAGCAACGTCCTCAGGTTTGAGCCCCGTGAGCTCAGCCACCAGCTCGGTGAATCTAAAATAACCTCTCGAGGTTATTAGAACAGGTAGGAAATAAATAAAGTTACCAGTATCAGTCTCAATAATTCGTAATCTTAGTACACAACACGTATGCTTTAAAGGAATGGTGAGAGAATATTCCTTATCTCTGTGTTTGATGCGAGTTTTTTTTTTGTATGAAGTTGAAACTTTAGTCCTTTAGTTTGCCGCTAGGGGCGCTGTTCCAAGTTGAAGTTGGAAAGTTTGAGTTAACTTTTACGCGATCGAAAACGTTACAAAATTCGCATTAAACAAAGCTTAGTGTTAGCACGATAATGCTTTATCCATATTGTTTATTTATTGTGTAATAGGCGACATATTTACAACTTCACAGGAGATTCAGTTAAAGTTTAATATTTCTAAAAACTATCATGACAAAAGAAACTTCTTCAATTATTTGAATTAAAGATCAAGAAGTCCTACTACCAGTACTAAGTCTTATCCTTAAGGCCACGACGACTTAAACAGGTTCAACAGGCGGTACTTCTCTTGCTTCTAGATCGTGATATACAATCCGCTGGCGTGGCCGGTGTCCGTTCCCGCGCGACTCCCCGTCGGGAACCACGTGTACCAAGTGTACGGACCAAAACGTCAGTATCAGGAGGAGACCCTTATAAATTACTAGCTGTACCCGCCTGCTTCGCTGGGCATTTTTTTTTTTTTTTTTTTTGTTGCTTAGATGGGTGGACGAGCTCACAGCCCACCTGGTGTTAAGTGGTTACTGGAGCCCATAGACATCCACAACGTAAATGCGCCACCCACCTTGAGATACAGTTCTAAGGTCTCAAGTATAGTAACGACGGCTGCCCCACCCTTCAAACCGAAACGCATTACTGCTTCACGGCAGAAATAGGCAGGGTGGTGGTACCCACCCGCGTGGACTCACAAGAGGTCCTACCACCAGTAATTACGCAAATTATAATTTTGCGGGTTTCATTTTTATTACACGATGTTATTCCTTCACCGTGGAAGTCAATCGTNTAATTACGCAAATTATAATTTTGCGGGTTTCATTTTTATTACACGATGTTATTCCTTCACCGTGGAAGTCAATCGTGAACATTTGTTGAGTACGTATTTCATTTGAAAAATTGGTACCCGCCTGCGGGATTCGAACACCGGTGCATCGCTTCAACACGAATGCACCGGACGTCTTATCCGTTAGGCCACGACGACTACAGAGACGACGAGAAATAATGTTAAAATTAACATTATTTCTCACCCCCCCCCCCCCAAAGATTCTCATCATTAACGCCCCCGCAACTGGTGTAGGGGGTCCAACACTCATATAAATATTAGCCTATCCATTAAGTATATGTATTTTCTACATGGGTACCAAGTTTCAAGTCAATCGGGTGCACGGTTCAGTAGTTATAACGGTACATCCGTAAAAATCACTGTAGATTTATATATTAGTATAGATATTGCCATTCTGATCTACTGGTGGGTGCTTGCGTGTAGCGACCATAGGGTTCTTGGTAGGGGCGCGCCCTCAGCCGCAGCTACCGATTCTCCCCTGACTGAGCCATCGAAACTGCTTAGATTGGCGAGACTAACGTCATCTACTCTTTTTTTTGGTTAGTTTGGTGGAGCTCACAGCCCACCTGGTCACTGGAGCCTATAGACATCTACAACAAAAATGCCGTCAACCACCTTGAGATATGGATTCTAAGGTCTCAGTATAGTTTCGTTAGATCTTACGTTAGAACGGACGACTTGGAGACGGTGGAAGGGGCCTTCGAAGATTCAGTAGCACACATGCGAAGCTAAATAAAAACGAGTCATAAACATCAGGCTACATTAATTAGGAAATATATTCTCTATCCACAATGCTTACAGTTGAGAAGATTAACTCTTCTATCGTGAGGATCCCGGGCGCCATCTTGGCCATCCCGGAGCGAGCCGCCACAGCCGACCACGAGCTGGTCTTCATGGCCGAGAACGTCCCACCACTGGGATTCAGGTGCGAAAATACTTATTTAAAAATGAAAAAAAAAGTGTTCGTCTCAGAACGCGCGATAGAAGTGACAACTTAAACTAAGAGAGAGAGAGAGAGAGAGAGAATACACTTTATTGCACACCAAAACACAATTTCTTATCGCCAAAAGCGATCTCTTCCAGACAACCGTTTACATTAGAGAAATTCTGTAAAATATAAAAATATAGCAGGTATGTTATGGTTTACTATTGACAATACATTAATAATAATATAGAAAATGGATATATATCGAAAACTAATCTAAATTGACTATTTAATATTGAAATTGTTTAACTTGCAACAAAACTTAACTTATTACTTAAATTTATTGTGTATTAATATTATTATTTATTTATTAAGTTGCACCAACAAAGTGATCATCAATACAAAACATTAACAAATTGACAAAAGTTCATGGCAGATGTCACCTCAATTATAGGTGCAATCGACAGTGCATTAACATCAAAAATAAAATAAAATATACAGCTAAGATTTGATTACAGTTCATTCATTGCTTAATATGTTAATGTAAGGAAAATTGTAACATAAATTGAAAAAGATATATGAATAGTTAGGAGTCACATACCTTCTCACTACCGTTACCGTGTGCGTGAGAGAAAGGGACGCCAGACAGAATGGCGCCGTAACGCGTCACGTAACGAAGCGGTTTACCCTCCCATCAAAATCGTTTTACCTAGAATAAACTGTTATTGTAACAACTGTGTTACACTCTATTACAATTACGAAGTCTCATTTGACAGATATTATTATTAAGTTATTGTGTGTGTGTGTGTGTGTGTGTGTGTGTGTGCGTGTGTGTGTTTTTTTTTTCATACCTAAGCTAATGGTCTAGAGAGACCATATCAGCGTAATCTTAAATAGTAGGTGAGCTCACGGGACTCAAACCTGACGATGAGCCCCGTGAGCTCACCTACTGGTTAAGGTTACGCTAAAATAGCCACTTAAGGCTATCAGTTTAGGTAGGAAAAAAAAACCTACCTGATGGCGAGTGATTACTGTCGTCCATAGACGTCAGCAACGCTGTTATTTTTTTATTCCTTAAATGGTTCGACGAGCTCATAACCGTACTGTTGATAGGCGGCCACAGAAGCCCATGGGCATCAACAGCGTAAATATCGCCGTTCACCTTGAGAAACGAGTTTCACGGCTCAGTTCTAAAGGACTGACTTGCCTTTTAAGTCGAAACGTATTACTGCTTCACGGCAGAAATAAGCAGGGTGGTGGTACCTACTCGTGCGGACTCACAATACTTCCTACCACCAGTAATTACGCAAATTATAATTTTGCGAGTTTGTTTTTTTATTACACGTTGTTATTCCTTCACCGTGTAAGTCAATCGTGAACATTTGTTGAGTACGTATTTCATTAGAAAAATTGGTACCCGCCAGCGGGATTCGAACACCGTTGCATCGCTAGATACGAATGCACCAGACGTCTTATCCTTTAGGCCACGACGACTTCAAAAATTAATTGCTTGATTGGCGAATAGTGAAAACCCAAGCTTTTATCTATACATATAAATAAAATTAGAGTGTCTGTTTGTAATATTAAAATAACCGCTTATTACTACATGCATATGAATATATATACGGTACATACACCAAAATAACATTTTTTACAATTTTTGTCTGTCTGTCTATCTGTCTGTTTATTCCGGCTAATCTCTGGAACGGCGGGGCCGATTTTGATGCGACTTTCGCTAATAGCTAGCTGATAATATAAGGAGTAACTTAGGCTAATTTTTTTAGACTAGCTTCGCCCCGCGGCGTCACCCGCAGTTATTGTCGTACCGCGCGCAACATGACGGGACTCGCCTATCAATAATAAAATTTAATGTTTCCGAAGCGAAGCGAGGGCGGGTCCCTAGTTGTATATAAAAATGACTTACAGCACTAAAATCGTTTGATGTCTCACAGATCTTACTACATCGAGAGGTCGCGGACGAGAGACGTCAGATCGACGATCATAAAAAAAATCAAAAACAAAAACAAAAAGTATCTAATCAGACAAGTCAACCCCAAAATGGCGGACGAGAATCTAATGAATGACGATGATTATTATTATGACGATGTTACTAGCACAGCTAGAACTGCAAACAGAATTGTTTACGGCGATTTCGGACGCCATAAAAATTATACAGACGGATACGTTATAACTCCGAGACCTAGAAATAAATCGTATGAATCCACCACCGGTCCAAAAATTATAGATGAAACAACAGAGATTAAAATTACGACCATAGACGACACTGACGAAGTGATACAGAGTAATTTTAGCGCAGAGACCACAGCACAGCCATCGACAGACGCAGTTCCAGAATCTGATCAAGAACCCTCTGCAGTTGAGAAGGATTCTGATATCAGCACTGATCCGAGAAGATCCGATATAGATAATAATGGATATGTCGTTTCGAAGGATATGTTTATTTCTAATAAGGTAAGTTTTTATCTTTAAAGCCTTTTTTTATTGCTTAGATGGGACGAGCTCACAGCCAACCTAGTGTTAAATGTTTGCCGGAACCCATAGGCAACCACGACGTGAATGCGGCACCCACCTTGAGCACCCACGCACGACCCCAAATTAACTAATTAAATACCAAATTAACTAAACACCCCATATCCCGCACGACCCCAAAATTAACCAATTAAATACCAAATTAACTAAACACTCCATGTCCCGCACGACCCCAAATTAACCAAATAAATACCAAATTAACTAAACGACCCTTATTTTCCAGTACATCCGTATCAATCTGGACTCCACGCGAAAAATAACAAACCTGACTCTGTCGAACAACGTGTCTCTAGCTTTGGACGTCCAGTTTTACTACTACGCGTCCGACAAACCGACGGATACTGGCCGGGCGGACAAAAAGAATCCGGGCGTCTACCTCTTCCGGCCGGTCGATTCAAATCCCATACCGATCTTGGATTTCATCGAGACAATTGTCTACAAAACTCGTGTAGTAGAAGAGATACACTGCGCTTATTCAGATTACGTCTCGTTCGTGGCGAGATTGTACACAGACTTGCCTTATATTGAGGTGGATTGGGTCGTGGGGCCAGTGCCGGTGGAAGACGGGTGGGGCAAGGATGTGTTCTTGAGGTACACGACGGATCTGGGTAACGACGGCGCGTTCTACACAGACGCAAATGGCCGGCAGACTTTGAAGAGGCTCAGGAATCTAAGGGCCACGTACGAGCCCGTCAATATGGACGCGATACCCGGTATTGTTTTTTTATTGCTTAGATGTACGGACGAGCTCACAGCAGACTTTTTTGAAGTCGTCGTGGCCTAAAGGATAAGACGTCCGGTGCATTCGTATATAGCGATGCACCGGTGTTCGAATCCCGCAGGCGGGTACCAATTTTTCTAATGAAATACGTACTTAAAAATTGTTCACGATTGACTTCCACGGGGAAGGAATAACATCGTGTAATAAAAATCAAACCCGCAAAATTATAATTTGCGTAATTACTGGTGGTAGGACCTATTGTGAGTCCGCACGGGTAGGTACCACCGCCTCGCTTATTTCTGCCGTGAATGCGTTTCGGTTTGAAGGGTGGGGTAGCCGTTGTAACTATACTGAGACCTTAGAACGTATATCTCAAGGTGGGTGGCGCATTTACGTTGTAGATGTCTATGGGTTCCAGTAACCACTTAACACCAGGTGGGCTGTGAGATCGTCCACACATCTAGGCAATAAAAAAAAAATTAAAAAAAAGACTTGGTGTTAAGTCCGGAGCCTATAGACATCTACAACGTAAATACCGTCACCCACCTTCAGATATGAGTTCTAAGGTCTCAGTATAGTTCCAATGGCGGTACCGTTCAAGCCGAAACGCATTACTGCTTCACGGCAGAAATAGGCAGGGTGGTGGTGCCTACCCGTGCGGACTCACAAGACGTCCTACCACCAATAAACTAATAGTAAACTAGTAGTAACCAGTAATATGTTTATTGTATTAATAGAAAAGCTCGAAGCTCGTTTCACTACCACCCACCCTCCACTTAGACCCACCTACCCTCACGGACAAGCCATCCCAATACCATACAACCCTCGTTTTATCTTTCCAGGCAACCTCTACCCGGTAACGTCGAAAATATACATAGAGGACGAGCAAAAGAACCTTAGATTCTCGATCTTCAACGACAGAGCCCAAGGGGGGACGTCGCTGACGGATGGAGAACTGGACCTTATGATCATAAGACGGATTCTGACTGACGAAACGGGAACGGAGATGAATCTGAACGAAACTGAATATGACAGAGGCCTGATTGTCAGAGGGAAGCATATACTATACGCGACGAAGATGAATCACAAACCAAACATGATTTACGAGAAGAGATTGGCGAAGGAGATCAGCTTGGAGCCGAAGGTCCTAGTTTCTGAGTACGGTGGCTACGGGCCCTACCTGAAATCGAAGTGGCTGGGGGAGACCAATGAATTTAGTGCGTTAAAGAAAAAACTGCCCTTAGGCATACATTTGCTGTCGATTGAGCAGTGGAACGAAGCCACGGTTCTGATAAGACTGGAGAATTATCTGGAAAAATCCGACGCAATCCGAAGCGGAATCAAAAGGGTCTATTTGAGAGACGTTTTCGTCAATTTGAAGATTAGAAGCATAGCGGAATGCGCGCTTGGAGGTAACGTGTGGCTCAAGGACTGGTCTCCGTTGAGGTGGAACAAGAAAACCGAATTCTTGAGGAGTTTCAACGAATACTACGGCCGTTCGAACACCAGTACTGTATATGCTGATGAGCCGAGAATGCTTAGCGAGGGTAGTCTGGAGAAAGGCCTGACGTTGAGGCCGCAGCAAATCAGGACCTTCGTGGTCTGGTTCGATTACGTCGACCTTAAGCTGGGTAATGTGTTGTGAATGCATTAACCCTTCGACTGGCGTGTAGGTCACCGGTGCCCTACGCGGCGCACTGAAGTAATTATGTCGGTTTCTATCACCGAAGCTCTGGGATTGCCTAACTTTTGCCTTATTTTGTTTCTTAATAAACAGTTTAGTCTTCTAAGCCTCTTAGAAATAGATTTGCTCTTATTGTGGTTCAGATTCGTCTCTCCCAGGGTAGAGCGGGAAGAGGTCGACCGAAGAAGACATGGATGGAGTGTGTGAATGACGATATGAGAGAGAGAGGAGTGAGTGTCGAGATGACGGCTGATAGAAGAGAATGGAATAGAACAATTCGCTGTGCCGACCCCACCTAGTGGAATGTGTGACGCGATTAATGTTATCTAATAGCTTATAGTTTAATCAGCCTTAGACGTTCTTGAGGTTTGAAGTATAAGGATTAATTGTAAAGACGGCTGCCCCATCCTTCAAGTCGGAAATCATTACTGCTTTGTGGTGGAAGCAGACAGCGCGGTGGTACCCACCCGTGCTCTCAAGACACCTTAGCACCGTAATTACTTGTCAGGACGTAATTAATAATTATTTTCGTTAATACCATTGTCACGATCAAAAATAAAACATTTTATTTGTAACAAAAAGAAACTTTATTTCCAAACCTTTAACGACCACAATCCTTTAAATAACCCAAAAATTTCCCCCACACGTGCCCCTACACTTTACAGCAAGTTTTACCGTTGCCACTCCCACCATCCCCTGCTCCACATCGCCCCCCTTTGTTATTACTTCCTTTCGTGGTTTTGTCTGCCTTGCCACAGCAGCCCCCCTCGCTGGGGGCGTGGTCCCCCTGACCTCTCCTCCCGCTGCCCGCCAACGGTTTATCTCGTTCATCCCACACCACTACCCCGTCGCAGGCGCATATCCGCTTCGGATTCTGAAATATTCCCGCCGACCTGGCTATGATGCCACACGCTAATCTGTTTGGAAACGAAACACTTTACGAGTGTACAAGCTAACAGCCCAAGGCAAGCGGTTACCGAAGACCGGTGATTGCGCCAATTAATATCATTTTTATATTCTACAACGTGGAATTCGTTCGAGAATATTTGAAGTACGTTTTTTTATTGCTTAGATGGATGGACGAGCTCACAGGCCACCTGGTGTTAAGTGGTTACTGGAGCCCATAGACATCTACAACGTAAATGCGCCACCCACCTCGAGATATAAGTTCTAAGATCTCAGTATAGTTACAACGGCTACCTCACCCTTCGAACCGAAACACATTACTGCTTCACGGCGGAAATAGGCGGGCTGGTGGTACCTACCCGTGCGGACTCCCAAGAGGTCCTACCACCAGTGAAATTGTATTTCATTGGAAAAATTGGTACCCGCCTGCGGGATTCGAACACCTTTGCATCGCTACATACGAATATATTGGGCATCTTCTTTTAAGCCCCGACTAGTTCATAATAATAACATAGCGAGAGAAAAGTTTGTTTTTATTGCTGCTTAGATGTGTGGACGAGCTCACGGCCCACATGGTGCTACGTGGTTATCAGAGGCCATAGACATCTACAATGTAAATGCCGCCACCTTGAGATATGAGTTTTAAGGTCTCCGTTTTAACAGTACAACGGCTGCCCCCCCTTCGAAACAAAAACGCATTACTGCTTCACGGCAGAAATAGGCAGGGTGGTGGTACCTACTCGCGCGGATTTACAAGAGGTCCTACCACCAGTAATTACACAAATTATAATTTTACGGGTTTGATTTTTATTACACGATGTTACTCCTTCACCGTGGAAGTCAATCGTGAACATTTGTTGAGTACGTATTTCATTAGAAAAATCGGTACCCGCCTGCGGGATTCGAACACCGATGCATCGCTACATAAGAATGCACTAGACGCCTTATCCTTCAGGCCCCGATGCCTTTAAAACTTCATGTAAGCGCGTGTTAAAAGAACTGAATGAGGGTAGCGGGGAGCTTTTCGGTGGCTATCCAATGGGGAATCCGGTTAAAAACGTTCAACTCACATCGGTCCCGAGTTCCCGTCGACCCTGGAGGTGCCGTCTCCGCGGCCGCAGTCGTCCCCCCGCTCGGTCACGCCCACAGACCTGCCGATCACGTCCCACACCTGAAGCGGGGGTATTCCCATTAGTTTTACATCTCGAACTACCCTGACTTAACTTTATCTGGTGCATTACAAACACACACGCGAACCACAAAAACTAAATATATTTAACAAGAGACAGTGAACCTCCAAGTAAGGTGTCAGGTAAATTTGGCTGCGAGTCTGGTGGGTAGTGTTGACCGCGGGAACCCCCCTACTCTGATCGGGTTCTGACACCGGACGGAGATCGGACGTCGGGTGTAAGAGTGCAGGGGAGTCGTTTAGTGCGGCAGGGAGGGCCCTTGCCATTGCAAAGCATCCTTGGGTCCGCAGTCTGCTCCCAAAATCAGCAGATCGTCAAGTCCCACATACCCCGCGCGCCCCCATGCCCGGCGATCTCGTAGGAGGTTTGGTCCATGGCCCAAAAAAATATATTCTAATAGTGTCGTAAATTGACTGTCATTCTTTTAATTTTAATTCATTTGAGAAAACAAACATTCAGATTCAATTTTTTTTTATTGCGTAGGTGCATGGACTTGCTCACAGCCCGCCCGGTGTTAAGGGTTTACCGGAGCCATTTACATCTACAACGTAAATGCAGCCACCCTCCTTGAAATATGTTTTTACAGTACAATAACTAACCCACCACCACACATCGCGACACACGGCGATCCAAATAAAATGCGCTCACTTTTAGGACATCATCGACAATCCTGAATGCAGCTCTGCCGTTTGCGTCGGCTGTAATGTTTCCGAGGTCGCCAGCGTGCCTCCGATCCGGGGGGTCGCCGGGCCCCCCGTGCGTTTCCCCCGACGGATTATAATGCCCCCCTATGGAATTGCAGCCCTGGGCAAAACAATACAAAAATGTACAAATTAAAAAAAATCGAATTATTGTACACTGGCGGTATGGTCGCTGGTGAGCCCGAGCCAGTTCCACCAGCCCGCATGTTTCTGCCGTGAAATGGTAATGCAATGTTGATGTCTATGGACTCTGATGACCACTGAACACCAGATGATGAGCTCGTCCAGCCTCCAAAACAATTAGAAATATGTAGGTCCCATGGAGGTGCCTCACGATCAATTTCCACTTCTCCTGGTTTGTGGTGAGCCTGGTACACTCATGTAAACAACCCGTCAACTGCCGACTTGACTTGTCTTTAGATAAATTTTTTTATGGCCCCTGTAGGCATATGTGTAGCATCTGTGCAATAAAGCTTACTATAAAGTCAATGATTATCTAGAAGATTGCACAAAGTGGGAATGAGTTGCTCGCTCCGGCATTTCAATATTGTAGTAATTGTTACGTTATAATACTCATTGTAAAAAATTCATATTTAAAAAAAAAAAGTAATATTAAAAAAATAATAAATAATAATTCCTTATTAAAAAAAAAAAAAAAAACATGCCCGCTGAGTTTCTTGCCAATTCTTCTCAGGACGGAGGCTAGTTCTTGTGAATTGGCGGTAGCTCTTTTGACGTTCAACAAGTATGTACTTTCATTTATGTTGAATAAAAAATTTTTGATTTCATTTGATTTGATTTATGAGCGCAAGGTCCACCTGATGTTGAGTGGTTACCGTCGCCCATGGACTTCAGCAATGCCAGGGGCAGAGCCAAGCCGCTGCCTATCGCTTAATACTCTCCACAAGCCTCGTTTGAAGAAGGACATGTCATAGCGCTCGGGAAACACCGTGGAGGGGAGCTCATTCCATAGCCGGATGGTACGTGGCAAAAAATACCCTGGAAACGCACTGTGGATGACCGCAGTGGCTCCAGATAGTATGGATGAACTCTACTCCGGTGGCGGGCGGTGCGATGGTAAAAACGATATGAAGGTATCATCTCGAACAATTCCTCAGAGCACTCCCCGTGGAACATGCGGTACAAAATACAGAGGGAACCGAAGTCCCACCCAGAGGTTCCAAACGATCCGAATAATGGGACTCTAATAAAAAAACAAAACAAAGAACTGCCTGAGACTGTACCTGACTTAAATCCCCGGACTCATATACGTGGAGCCCGTGCCTCCCGGGGCTTAGTCCGTCGATGCTGCCGTCAGCGACCAGGGGGCCCTCGGCCGTCTGCTGCAGCCTGACCACGCCCAGGATCTTATTGCAGCACGACTGGTCCGAGATCATGGCGACGGCCGATTGCGTTTCTATTTAATAACTACATTCCTTAAAGCTGATTTAAGACTAGACGAGAGGTGGCGTCCTAAAAAGACTAGGAAGAAAGGGAGGACACGCTTACCGACCCCATACATAGAGAGATCAGGACGAGGAGATAGAATCTTCACGGATTTATAATAGATCATCATCATTCTCCCAGTCACCCGTGGTCGGCGCAACATGTTTTCTCATTCCATGCTCCTCTATCATATACAATTTCTTCGCTCACTCCCCTCTTACATATATCGTCTTTCACGCAATCCATCCGTTTCTTCTTAGGTAGGTCGTAACCCACAGAAACAGCCCACTGAGTTTTTCAACGGATCTTCTCAGTGGGTCGCGTTTCCGATCCGGTGGTAGATTCTGCGAAGCACGGCTCTTGCTAGGGATGTGTGGACGAGCTCACAGCCCACCTGGTGTTAAGTGTCTACTGGAGCCCATAGACATGTACAACGTAAATGCGCCACACACCTTGAGATATAAGTTCTAAGGTCTCAGTATAGTTACAACGGCTGCCCCACCCTTCAAACCGAAACGCATTACTGCTTCACGGCAGAAATAAGCAGGGTGGTGGTACCTACCCGTGCGGACTCACAAGAGGTCCTACCACCAGTATAGTATATACCACTATATTTCGAAACATTCTTTATCGCTTGCATTGGTCTTAGCGTGATGTTATGTAGCCTATAGCCTTCCTCAATAAATGGGCTATCTAACTACCTAAACGGCTGGACTGATTTGAATGTTTTTTTTTTGTATTCCGTGGCGCCCTGGATGGTTTAGATTCACAAATCAGCCCGTCAGATAACGCTGCTGTGGGTACCTAGGTTATTTATCCTCCAACTAAACGGCTGCATCGACTTGAATGCAGGACAGGATTTGTGCAGAACAACGTCTGTCGGGTCCGCTTATACCACTCTATAACGTGAGTAGTCATTACCCCCAAAACCTTGGATCACGGCTGGTCTCCCCGTCACGGAGCCGACCACGTCCAGAACGTTCGCGCTTGGGAGCACCGTCTCCACGACAAACGCACCGTCCTTGAAAACCACCTGGAAATCAAATATGCACTTCATCCTTCGGGATTCAGTAGACATTGGAGCAGCACACGTGGTCTGGAGAATAAGACGCCCGGTGCATTCGTGTTGAGCGATGCACCGGTGTTCGAATCTCAGGCGGGTACCAATTTTTCTAATGTACTCAAGAAATTTTCACGATTGACTTTCACGGTGAAGGAATAACATAACGTGTAATAAAAATCAAACCCGCAAAATTATAATTTGTATAATTACTGGTGGTAGGACCTCTTGTGAGTACCCACGGGTAGGTACCACCGCCCTGCCTATTTCTGCCGTGAAGCAGTAATGCGTTTCGGTTTGAAGGGCGAGACCTTAGAACTCGAATCTCAAAGGTGGGTGGCGGCATTTATGTTGGAGATGTCTATGGGCTCCGGTAACCATGTAATTCCGGGTTCGCTGTGATCTCGTCAACCTACTAATGCAATAAAAAAAAAATCCAAGCATGATGTATTACTTATTTATGGGTGGCCGATCTTCTTGTGAGGTCGCGTACCCCCACCTTGCTTATTTCTGCCGTGAAGCAGTAATGCGTTCCGGTTCGAAGGGTGGGGCAATCGTTTTAAGTACTCAAAAAACTGACACTCAGAGCTCGTGTCTCAAGGTGGCGTTTATGTTATTGACGTCCTCAGGCTCCGGTGACCAATTACCACCAGGTGGGTCTTCAGCTCGTTCTCCCATCTAAGCAATAAAAATAAAAGGATACTAAAATAATACAAAATTAGGGAATATTGTAACGAAAAATACGTAGCAAGAAATAAGCAGCAAGGGGGGAAAAGAGTCGGACACCAATCAAAGTCACACACTAGCTGCAGAAGGGGGGCCGTGGGAGGTGGGGACCGTGACGGCAGAAGAAACCTGATCATGGCATAACAGTCGGTAACACTCCCATGGTGCTGCGATGTTTCACATACCTCCTTGATTCCGTCGTGAGTTTTCAATGTCTTAATAGTCTTCTCGAGGAACTGGTCATCAACAGACGAATCGAAGTTCACCAGGACCTCTAGCTGTTAAATGAAAGTATCGACTTCAGCCTTCACGTGTATATGTTTACGGTGTGCCTTGTAATTATATTATGACACTCCAGTTCAGAGGAAAGAATTCTGAAATGTTCTTCTGATATACATAATCATAAAAATTTGAAAGATTGTTTGAGATGATTGTCATTTTTGCCATCAGACTACCCACAATCGGAGCAGAGTTCAGCTATACTATCTAGAACTACTGCAATTCATCCATGGTGCGATTCAAGATATTCTTTTTCCATGGATCATCTAACTTTGTAATGAACTTCCCTCCAGAGTGTTTCCTGACCAGTCATTCTTCAACGAATTGGGATGGGCCCTGGCATGGCTAACCTCCATGTGTGACGGTGTAACTCACCATAAAGTGCTCTCTTTAACTAACTTTAATTCACCATAAAGTGCTCTTATAAGTTAGTTAAAGTAGCAAAAAAAGGAGTCACGGTTCTTCTTCATCATCATTTCCTCATTACTGAGGATAGTGACCACAAGTGTGAAAGTATTTCTATGGCCTGCTAGATGTGCCTCCAACTCCATCATGGTGGTCCTACTATTGTTTTGTTATGGTTTTCTTTTGTTTATTTAGCTTTTAATCAGAGCTACTATATGTTATCTACACTAGTACATTATGAAACTATATATTGTTTCTATAAAAAAATTACATAAAAAGTGGTAAGGTGTGTTGAGAGCCAGTATGAGTAGGTATCATCACCCTCCATATTATTGCTATGTAGCAGTTGTGTTTTTTGGTTTGAAGGGTGGGACACGCTATGTACTAAAAATATCTATTTAAATAAATCTAAATATTTAGATATGAAATTTCTAGATATGATACTGAAGTGTTGGAGTTTGAATGTGTAAGTAATGGCAGGCAACACTTGTCATCTACACTTTTCGAATATTGGAGTCTTTATTTAAGGATTGTCTTCTCTTCAGTCATGAGAATGTACTTCTCATTCCCCCAAAATACTCATTTCGTCAAAGTAGCCCCCCTCACATGCAGAGCTCAGTCTCCTCAAAAAGAAGCGTCTAACATGCGAGATATAGCATGGTTACTTGCAATAAAAACATTATTATTATTATAGCTCCAGGAAGGTCGACATCAGTGGCCAGGGGTATCATCAAAACAAACAAATAACAAATCAAAAAATCCCTATGCAGCATGATATGAGGGTAAAATGTGGAATAAAAGCATACGAGAAAGAAGAAGATAATAGTTATATTGATTTAGGATTGTCCAAAAGTTATTATTTACGCAATAACATTAAGAATTTTATTGTCATATCACATTTCGATAAACTATATTGTACTTATATGATATAAATCAAAAACCTTAGTAGTCAGCATCGTTGTTTGTAATATTAAATATATCTTCGGGTACACTTAGGTTTGTACGCATATAAAATAAAACCATACAAAAATCGGAAAATTTTATAGAATTCAAAACTATTCAAAACCAATTGTTTTCATCGGTTGACAAATGACTCGGCGGTGATCAGCTGAGTAGCGCTATTTCTCAAAGAAGAAAGACGAAAGCATCACACCATACTGCCTAATCTTTTATTCAGTTCTATGAAAAATGATACGAACTTAATGAAGTAAAGTAGATTTATTTGAGCCTCTAACCAATTGAAATGAAATATAACGAAATGAAATAGGATGAAGTAAAGTCAGTACAGTAAAATGGTGAGCATTTGTTGAGAGTTCAGGGGATTTTTCGGAAGAAACCGAGAAGTCACGTCCAACGGTTTTGTTGTTTCATTTTAATAATAACTGTTAGGCAGCTGTCAAAGATCATAAATATGGGAACATTAAACCAGGCCGCCGGTTCCGCTAATGACGTTATCACGTTAAACTATCGTCCGTAAACCGACTTTACAGACAACCAATTAATTTTTTACCTACCTATTACGACGGATAAATAGGCTGAATGGCTCAACCTGAGAGAATTTGCTGACACTACTACATTATTGGTGGTAGGACCTCTTGTGAGTCCGCGTGGGTAGGTACCACCACTCCACCTATTCCTGCCGTGAAGCAGTAATACGTTTATGTCTGAAGTAACTATACTGAGACCTTAGAACTTAATCTCAAGGTGGGTGGCGCATTTATGTTGTAGTTGTCTATGGGATCTAGTAACCATTTAACACCAGTTGGGCTGCGAGCTCGTCCACCTATGTAAGCAATAAAAAAAACAATGGCTCCAGCAAAGAGTTGTGCTTCGCTGAACCTACTACCGGATCGGAATCGTGACCCACTGATGAGACCCGGCGAGAAACTTATAATTTTCTCCATCAAACTCTTTCAAACATGCATTATCAGTCACATATCAAGTTTAGGGTTGTCAACATAAAATTTAAACTGTCAGAGTATAACAGTGCCAACTTGAAGGGTTTTAAGTTCATTATAAAAAAATATATAGTGAAGTTTTCATATAATTTATTATCATTTCCACAAAAAAATAAAAATACATTAATACAAAAGCTTACAAAACATTTTTAGCGCGTAATACGAAAAATACATTGAAGGTTATCTCCATCTAGAACTGGCAAGTGAACACCGGATTCTCTACTGTTGTGAAACTACCTCAATTTTCAAAGGGGCATGTCATCGCTGCGTTATCAGACAAAAAGTCAGTAACTACCCGCATTGGTACACAAATTTCAAAATCACTTAAATTCTCTTCGTAGCTTCATTTGGAATCCAAAACTCATCGGATAGCGACTGATCGACAATTTTTAGGTCGCTATATACGCCGCGCAATGTATGAATCGATATGAGAACATTTTACAGAACATTTTACACTGCGCGTTACCGTGTAAACAACGCGGGTAGGTACGTTGTCTCAAAAAGAATCGACACGTAATCAGTGTAGACGTGCCTTAATGTATTTGACATTTTATTTTTAATTTCTAAAAACTACTAGTGATGTTACGTTAATAACGAACTTATAATTAGGGCTGTAACTGCTGTGGAATTTTCGCATGGTTGATGATATTAGGCGTTCTGGAGCGACATCTCTGCGAAAAATATAAAATAGCTCAATTTATTTTGGCGAACCTCTGTTGTAGATTAATAAGTAAATATTTTAAATAGATTTTAATTTAATTACATTTTTTACCGGTGTTAGGGCGTCTTGTGAGTCCGCACGTGTAGGTACCACCGCCCTGCCTTATTTCTGCCGTGAAGCAGTAATGCGTTTTGGTTTGAAGGGTGGGGTAGCCGTTGTAATGTTAAAATTGAGACTTTATAACTCATGTCTCAAGTTGAGTGACGGCATTTACGTTGACAATGTCTATGGGCTCCGGTAATGACTTTAAACCAAATTGATCGTTAGGTCGTTGACATCTTCATGAAATAAAAAGCAGTGTTCTTAAAGTAATGTTTACATTAAAATCTTACTTCTCTGTAGTCTTCTTCGGCGATTACGGGAGTGAGGAGTTCCACCCTCCTCAGGGGAGTCTGTTCTTCATCGTGGATCAACTTGTATACCTCCGAGTGCTGAAGATGATCGAGGGAGACGGGTGGCTTCTCGTATTTCATGAAGTTGATCCTGATCAAGATTTACGCATAGCTAATAACACTAATTACATCATACCGGAGTAATAGGGGAATTCATCATTGGTCCAGGGGTAGATGCAGGGGAACAACGATGGATGAGATTCGAACACAAAAAGCTTTTACATCTTCTTTGCGTACATGGAAACGCTTTACGAATAAACTTCATGCTTAAAACCTCAAACGGTTCAAAATCAAACGTTAATTTTATAACGAAGCTTTTTAAGCCTTTTCGGTTATCTACATTATAAAAGTTATTATTAAACGGGTCTCTACGATTTTTTAGTATTAATTACTTCACGATATTTAGTATCTAAAACTTGTCAATTAAGAAAAACACAGTGGCCGCAGATTTCAGTTATAAAGTCTGAAAGACAGAACAGTATTGTATCAGAGTAAGATCTGAAGTTGGCTGTTTGAAAGGTAATGAAGTCTGAGATAATAAAATTCAAGTTATGGCACCGCCCTGTCTTTATCCTGCAATCTTTGTAGGGCAATCAATAAAATAGCTCTAACATATTAAGCTAAAACGAAATAGCGTTTTTATTAGCTGCTAACTATAAGCGCTTTAAAATTAAAATAAAAAGCTAATATAGTTCTCGAAAAAAACAAACTTTTTAGGTTCGAACCTGCATCACGGATTTTATTAGTGAAATGAAATGTTAATGACTTCATAAAACAGCACAATGTTAGTTAACATTGTTCTATATAACAACTTTTTTACTATACAATTGTGAATAATGAGATAAATGAGGAAGATTGACGTAGAAACAAGCATATATCGCAAACAATTATTTACATTCATTCGTCTATGGAAGGATGTTAATATCTTTATTACTTGTATACAATTAGTACGTTCTTTAACCGCATTTAATAACCCAGTTCGCGCGTAGTTGAAATAGCCCTTATGCTACCAACGAATAGATAGGGGAAAGAGACAAAAAAAAGATAGAATAAATCCTAATGTTTTTTTTTATGATTGAAGGATTGCTGGTGGCCCTGAGGACTTTCCAGTTTCACCAGGACAGGTGGGCGAGCAAAGGCTCAGCCAGGAGGGGTGGGATTTGCTAACAGCTGCCCGAGCGCCTCCGAAGGAGACCTAACAACTCAAGAGCAGCTTCTTCGCGAATGAATCTACTACCGGATCGGAATCGCGAACCCTAATGTCCGGATACAACGAGACGATTCCTTCAGTTATTTGTTTAACCTTTTAACTACGATGTAGGTCACCGGTGCCCTACGCGGCGCACTGAAGTATGATTTCTGTTACTAAGGCATGGGAATATCTAGTAGACTCTAAGAGAGACGAATCCGAATGATAATGAGAATGAATCTGCTTCTAAGAGACCTAAAGACTAAAACGTACATTAACGAACAAAAGTTAGGCAACCTGAAGCCTTAGTGACAGTAATGGGCATGATTACTTCAGTGCGCCGCGTAGGGCACCGGTGACCTACACGCCAGTCAAAGGGCGACGAGCTATTAGCGAATTCTTTGTTATTGATTTTGTTTTGGTGAGAAATACAATTAATTTCCTTATTCGAAAACACTAATCAAATCACTTTATAAGATTTCATTCACATTGGACTTTCGTTCTGTTCTGGATCGCTAAAGAGTCGATATAAATACTGGAAACTTCATACACATTCTTGAAATTTCCAGCACTAATTTTAATACTGGAGTAAACTTAATTCATACTGATTAAAATCACTATGTTAATCCACATTGCGTTTCCAGAAATTTATTTTGTCATTAACCATCTGGCTTTGGAATTAAGTACCATCCCAAATTTTCGACGCTATGACGAGGCTTGAGTACTCCGCAGTAACAAGCAGCTTGACTCTGCTATTGTCACCGTTAATGTCTATGAGCTACGTCGACCCTCACTACTGTAAAACTTTTGCAAAACTTTACTAGTTTCGTTAAAGCTTTTAACTATAGCGTCATGCTAAAACAAAAAAGCGTAAAACTTACATAAATTATTTTATTGTACATCCCTATGCGGCTGTCACGCAGTCTATGAAAATCGACTAAGTGACAATTCGATTCTCTGGAATTAATGAAAGTATGGTATGTTTATTGGAGGGTAAAAGTAAGAAACATCATCTCAGTTTAATAGAAAGTGTAAGCTGAATGGGAGCCAATTAAGATGGTGCCACAGTAGCAAGTGGAAGGATTTTAAAAATAGCACACTTCACTTCAACCCGACACACTTCGCTCTGTTTAAAGCTGTTATATTCACATCATTCCCACTTCCTACACTAGCACTATTTCGGTGAGTCTTCCAACAATAACGCGCTGTTTACAGGCGGACTTCAATTTGTCCCCTAAACAAGATGGCGCTCCTTACGTCTATACTCTATAATGTGTATGAAAATGTGTCCGCCTAAAAGCGACCGCTTAGTGCAACGTCGCAGTAGCTAGTGGCGTCATTTCGAAAATGGCGACGAAAGTAATTATATTAAACTGTTGAAATCAGCACTCTTCGCTACGGCTGCTACATTAATATCACGCGATATGCCACTTGCGCTGATGATTGACTCTAGAGCTGTAATGTCCGCTCACAGCTTGACACTGTCTCATCTCATCCCAAGCTTAAGACACTTCACTTGTACCAACCCATAGTATAACATTAAAAATACAATAAAGAGGTTTAAACTGTATTTATGGGCGATTACCGCCATTATTAACAGTAATTAATCACGATTTACTGACAGTTTAGTTTATTTTATGTTATTATAAAATTGTTATTAGTAATAAGAAGCTTTTATTCTACTTTTATTAATATTTTTGTAGATACTGTTTTGATGTGAAAATATTTCAGAAGATGTTTTGATGTTTAATTTATTGTTTACAAACACAAATGACTGTCAGAATACTCAAATATTAATAAGCATAATTATTAATAATAAATTATGTTATAATTGACTTTAATACTTTTATTACCTAGGTATTTTAATTGTTTAACGCAAACAATGTTGTTAGCGCCATCTATTATCAGGCTGGCTAATGATAATGTTTGTTTCAATTAGTTACATTACACGTAATTTATGTAAAATAATTTACTTGGGAGCCATGTGAAAATGACAAAAATATTTATTATAAATATTAAGCTAATTTTTTTTTTTTTTTTTTATAGCTTAGATGAGTGGACGAGCTCACAGCCCACCTGGTGTTAAGTGGTTACTGGAGCCCATAGACATCTACAACGTAAATGCGCCACCCACCTTGAGAGATAAGTTCTAAGGTCCCAATTATAGTTACAACGGCTGCCCCACCCTTCAAACCGAAACGCATTACTGCTTCACGGCGGAAATAGGCAGGGTGGTGGTACCCACCCGTGCGCCAGTAAATTTCCGTACCACCGTACCACCAGTAAATTTCACGAATTGTTTCGCAGTAATTTAATTTGTTTGTTTAAAAGAATTTTTATTTGCCGTTATAACCCAAAACAAAATGGCTAACTATGTAAACAATTAAACACCAAAATTCTGTTTTTTTTTGTTTTCACGCAATATTAATTTTTCATAAGATTGTTTTGTGTTTTCGTAGTGGATCGGTTATATTGTGTTGTATTTTCATAATGGATTCTATGTGTGAAAACCCTGATGTATCGTCGCCAACTTCGTGACTTAACGAATTAATATTTCAGCGCGGAATGTATGTATTTTACATACCTACGTTGGCTGGGATGTATCTTTGTGTCTCCCCATGGCCAGATGTCATTCCAGACGTCAATCTGATAGGACAATGAAAAAAAAATGGATTTTCAAACACACAAACAAACACAGATGTGATGAGGTTTCTAAACAAATAAAAACATTTTTTTTTTAATTAAATTAATTCTATATTAATCTATGAAAGCGCTTTGTACTTTATGAACCATATGAACATTGTGACATGACTGTCGCCATCCGTCTGGAGACATGACCCACATAAGGTCGAAGCCTCAAGAGTACAACAGCTTTAATTTACACATTGTGATTTGGCGGTGGATGTAACGAAAAAATGACACTGAAATGAGACAAACATATACGTCTATTGGATTTAACTTACGAGAGAATGAGATAGAATGTTCTTTATACTCTATATAGGTACAAACTACCATCTCATTTGCGCTGCATGGACTCTATCGCGCTTTAAAACAGTGGAAGCAAGCTAATTTCGAAGACAGTTCGGACAATGGAATCTGGAAACGCATTGTGGTTCCTAATACTCTGGTCTAAAGTCGAAGGGAACCTGTCAAGCAATTCCTCAGAGCACTTTCCCTCGTAATACCGTAACAAACAGAGAGAAATTTCGCTGGCTCGGAGGCGTTAAGCTGTTTGATTGTAACTTTCGATTAGACATACACAAAACATATTTATTTTTATATACAGACTCGTTCGGTCGACCAAAACCATAGACCAAAACCCTTTAAATAAACATTTGACAGGTTTAGTGACATTTAAATTGGCGCGAAAAAAAACGTACTAAACGTGGACGCATTCTTCATATTTCAATTTAATATTGATTCGTAGATCGCGAGCCGTCGATAGATCGACTCTCAATTAGCACGTATAGAGTGCGGAGCGTCGGAATATCAACTATTGCGCGGTTCGATTATAGATATCATATTGTATCAACCTGTACGGACATTGCTTAGCGCGTGCAAATATAACGCGTTTTTAATAAGGCAATTAACATTTGTAAATAACTATTTAAAATTATTTTGCTGTGAAATTTAGTAGCATTAATTGTGTTTTTTATGTTAAAGTATTTTTAAGGTACTTTTTTTTCTTCAAAAAAATCCTTTAGCAATTATTTCAGAATGAGTGAAAATAAACTCAGCACTAAAAGAGTTGAAATGGGTCCATGTAATTAAGGACTTTGATTACATTCTTCTCATTTATTTGTCTAAAATCTTTTCTTTCTCTTTTAAATTAATAACTATAGCAAGCTTATAAGAAAAAAGCATATCGACGCTTGAAAGGTTAACCTGACTAAGCGACAATGCGTGAACTTTACAGTAGACTAATTTAAAGTTGAAATTAATTTAAAATATACAAGAGACATATCTGAAAAAAATTCTATTTTAACGAATCTAGCTGTAGGATTGAAATGATTTTAATAGACCTAGAAATATATCTTTTTTGCGCATCGAATATGGTTATTGCCTATCATTTATGTACAAAGCAATTATTGTCGCTTAGTCACGTTTGCCTTTCAAGCGTCGATATTGTTATTGTTTTTACGAGACTTCAAAAACGAAAGGGAAAATTTTAAGCGAATCTAAGTCTTGAATTGTCGGTGGTTAAAGTCGAAATTCCTATGTTGACCGATTGAATGTCCAAATCAAATTTCCAATGTACAAAGCGATCATTCTAGAAAACTATTAAAATCAGTCGTCGAAATTAAATTATATTTCTCGCGAACATTAAACTCGATTTTAAATCTTGTGGATTACGTTCGAATTTTATTTTAGCAACATTTAATTTATGAAATATTTTACAATGAAATAATAATTCGTAACGTGTGTTTTTATCGAATAAGGCCGCCCACATACGTAGCTGCAAGCTTGACAAGCCGACATGACATTAAAAGAACTCATTATTGACAATAAAAGAACTCCTTCACTAATTTAAAATTTTAATTTTTTTTAAGTGAAACTTTTTTTCAAAACTTCTTCAGCTATTTAAATGGAGTAAATTTAATTGAAGTTCAATTAAAAATATCGAGCTGTTGATGCTGATACCAAATGAATGTGACTAGGAGATGTGTGGAAATTGTAGTGCGAGGTAGAGGGGGAAGAGGTCGACCGAAGAAGACATGGAGTGTGTGAATGACGATATGAGAGAGAGGAGTGAGTGTTGAGATGACGGCTGATAGAAAAGAATGGAATAGAAAAAATCGCTGTGCCAATCCCATCTAGTGGGATAAGTTGGAGACAGTGAAGAAGATGCTAATATCAAATAAAGCAGATCTTTAATTACAAAAATAAATGTCGCGTGTAAAGCGAATTGTCGCGAATAGCCTTTCGCCTCTCTAGCCATCGCCCATCTAGGGCTATGCTTGCAGCTTCTTACATGGAACCTTCAAGATAATCACAAACAAAAAATATCATAGGCATTATACATTCACACATCACATAAAAGTTAAATGCATTGTAAATCTTAAAGCGCATCAAAACAGATTTGTAAACGGAAGTTAAAAAAATGTACATTAGTCGTAATGAAAACATTATTGATTCTATGTTCGTGTAAATTAATACGATTTTATTAGCGCGTTACGTATGAGTGTCTGTTTGTGTCGGAATCTTTCAACCCTTCCACCGTCTCCAAGCCATCCGTTCAACTGGAACATTCGGCCGCGAGTCAATGACCGCTTACGACGCAACAGTTTTATAACTACCCTCTAATATCTCGACCGGCATCGACACGATAACAACAAGATGAAATTAATTGTTATTTTGTGTACTTTTGTTACTTTTAAATTAAATTTAAGTAGAATATAGATCGCAGGGCATAAAATAAAACTTCCACGGTTCCAAAACCTTCTGTTATAATAATAATAAATTAATTAACAATTTTATTACGCCTTGATCATTTTTAACCGTCTTTGCCATCTTCCTTTTTCTCTGTCATTCTCTCTGTCATTTTCTTCTCCCTTTCTTTCCATTTTCTCTCACTCACATATTAACGACCCGTTCCCTACGTTCCGTACTTACCAATCCTACATAAATTTTCCTTTTTTGTGTTGTTCAACTCTATTATTGTGATCATAAGGGCTACGGCGGGTAGTGATCATACAGCGCAAGATATTTGTCAGATGCCCGAATCTCGCTTACGACATTTTCAAGATAAGCTCGCATATATACAAGTTCCGAACAACAACATTCAGACCGTCTGTCTACCGAGCAATATCACCCGCTCAGTGGAAGATCTTCCATTTGTCGTATACATCCACAGGTCCATTAATCCGACCACTTTAAGATACGATTTCATTAAATCATTAATTTCATTAAATAATCTTTATAGTTTTTGTTAAATATATTGTCATAGCACCGCATGTTGTTACTATAAATTATTGTCATGTACTGCACGATCTGAATTAATTGTAACTATTTTAATGTTCTCATTTAAGTGAATTTATGTAATTCTTTTGAGAATAAAGAATATCTTTAACCCGAAATCATTGTACCAAAATGGCGAGTTAATTAATCTAGCATAAATATCCGAATTTGCTGTCCGAGCGATTCAAAACTATAGACTCAAACGCCTTGCGCTTCTGATGCGTGCAATGAGATAGAATCGTAAATGTTTTCATTAGGTCTGCAATCAAACTAAAGCTATATCCTGCGACAAACCTGTTATCGTATGGTAGAAGATCACTTTCATATGTTAACCTATGAACATGACATGAATTAAATAACGGACAATGATAACATAAAGACTAGCGTTCGTACCATGGAGGATAGAAGTAAGCACCACCATCTCAATGTATTGAAAAGTGTCCACTGAAAAGGAGCCAATTAAGATGGCGCCACAGAAGCAAGTGGAAGGATTTTAAAAACAGCGCCATTAAAGATTAGAGTAGAATATTAAATTAAGAAGGAAACTAATACTTCTTACGTAAATAATAATAAAGCAAACAGTTGTCATTTTAATTTTAAATCACGTAAAATATGAAATTTTTCAATAGGACACACTCCAGTCTGTTTAAAACTGCTATATTCACATCATTCCCACTTGCTACACTAGCGCCATTTTGGTGAGGCTTCCAACAACAACTCACTGTTTACAGGCGGACTTCAACTTGTACCCTATACAAGATGGCGCTCCTTGCTTCTACCCTCCATATTTATATGCACGCGCGGGAAAAGCAATTTCCTTTAACGTTTTTTTCCACAGCAAATGCGGGTGCTAATGGCGCGGTTAAAGAGATTTCTCTTCAATCGGATACAAATCGACAATCACGTTTTGAATGAAGACGTGCTCTTATTGAGACGAAGTTTCGTAATGTTATCGCGTTAAAGCTACACCAGACGAATGTATCACGCGACATATTTCAATGTGGCCTTAACTTTAGTAAAAGTTAGCGAAGTTTACAGCAATTTTTATAGTTTACAGCCAATGCCAACCGTAGTAAAACTTGCAGTCAATTTTGCTTGATGTCAGGATAATTTTCATTGTTTAAAATGAGTTGTAACTCACTCTGAATATTTCTATCTTTTGACAAGTAGTGTGCGATTGTGAAACGTCAAACGTCCAAAGACCACGTGTTTAGGCTGGTGGTAGGATTTCTTGTGAGTCCGCACAGGTGGGTACCACCACCCTGCCTATTTCTGCCCGGAAGCAGTAATGCGTTTCGGTTTGAAGGACGGGTCAGCCGTTGCCTACAACTCATATCTCAAGTTGAGTGGCGGCATTTACGTTGTAAATGCCTATGGGCTCCGGTAACTCGTTAACATCGGGTGGGTCATGAGCTCGTCCACCCATCTTAGCAAGAAATAAATAAAAAAGGCGGTTGAACATATATTGTGAGCTAATTACCACGCAAACTCACGTTTTTTTTTATTCTACAATATGAGCTGTATGACCACGTTAAAATATATTCGCTGGATTTTATCCCTATTCTCTATCATTTAATTTAACTACACTTATCAATCTAGTATTATTTATCTATGAAACAACATGAAAAAAAACATACTACCCTACTTACCTACTACCTATTTATTAAATATTAATCATAAAGTTTCTATATCAACAATTTTTACGGTTTAGTTATTTTTACGGCACGTTTTTATGCTATTGCATAGCTTTTATCGCGGGATTTGAGCGCGGCGACCGAATCAAGAAATTCTGTAACGAAAATAAAAGCTAACACTCCCCTCCGCCTACCATGTAGCCCGCGTTCAACACATTCATACGTTGCGCTTGTGTAGTGTTTGTGAATAAGCGCGCAGCGTGACGTCGCACTGCATGCGCATCATGAAAAGTCTACCCATCTCTCTCGCGCGGTCTAGCTTATGAGTGTGAAGGGGACAGTTAATGTTTTGCTTTGGGTAATGTTTATAAATATAGCGTGGTCTTATTTTATGATTGTTTTAATATTAAATTATTATTGTCTAATTATAATTGCTTAAGTTGATAAAAAATGCTATGCAATAGCTTTAACGCGGCAGTCGAGTGGGAGTGGGGGTGTTAGGTTTTATTTTCGTTACGGAATTTCTAGATTCGGTCGCCGCGCTCAAAGCTATGCAATAGCTTAAAAGTGGTTTTGTTGATACTACAAAATACGATATGTAAAGAAAGCTATGAGAATCTATTTCTAGGCGGATATTACATCGCCATCGCTCCCTCCCTTCTTATTCGAGTAGTGAGTGAGCGTATGTCACTATAATCCGATTACAGATCTCTGACTTCTAATGGGAGGGTTAACCACTTCGTTACGTGACGCGTTACGGCGCCAGTCTGTCTGGCGTCTCTTTCTCTCACGCACACGGCAGCGGTAGTGAGAACGTATGTGACTCCTAACTATCTATATATCTTTAACAATTCATGTCACAGTTTTCCTTACACTATCATATTAATATAAATAAAATTTAAGTAATAACCTAAGCTTCGTCTCAAGTTAAACAGAATATTAAATAGTTCAACTTAGATTAGTTTAAGTTATCACTTCTGTTGGGCGTTCCGAATCGCGTAATCTTTTTCATTGTACTAGTTTCATGAAGGTTTTCGAACTGATTACAAACATCCCATACCCCATAGCTTTTCCCCGGATGACTTCCAGTTGAGCATTCAGGGTCTCTTCGATAGCTCGCTCGTTGTAAACATCCCTGGGACCCCTCCACCGCTTGCCGCCGGGTAAAACTACAGGCCGATCCTCCGGGTTGAGCGGGCCGAATTTCGGCTTCGGTTTCCCGACCCTCGGCGTCGGATGCTGTCTGACCTGCCTCGACTGGTGTTCCAACTCTTGAGCCTACGTTTTATCATACCCTAATTATAGTCGAAGAGTTTCGCGAGAACGTCTCCTCGACATTCGTATTAATTGCTCTGGTCCCAGGACCGGTGATTGACTTAACAGAGGCACTTGAGATGCATTCTTAGACTTCCTAGTGCCGGTTAGACGGTTGTGAGTCAGATATACAAGGGGAGATTAGGGAACAAGACCTTATTGCGATAGAACGAGTAAGTTCAGTACAAAAGAGGCCACAGTCATGTCTTGGTTCAATTCAAAGTGGACCTTCACAGCCCATCCAGGGTAATTGTTCATTAAATAGGATCCGGAAGAAGTTCGTTGCTGGTTCTTCACCAGCTTACTTACTAAATATTTCAAGTTGTAGAGTGGTGGACCACGAGAACTGATGACCTGTCGGAGGTCACAGCGATTGGCTGGGTGTAGCGCAGAACCAGTCCTTGTTGTGAACCTTGGGCAGGCTTATGTCCAGCGGTGGACGTCTATGAGCCGATAGTAGGAGTCTAGGTCTTAGCATAGGCCTTCATCATTGAGCACTGATCAAAGTTACTGTTGCTAAGATAGATAGACTTACTGGTGGTAGGACCTCTTGAGAGTCCGCGCGGATAGGTACCAACACCCTGCTTATTTCCGCCGTGAAGCAATAATGCGTTTCGGTTTGAAGGGTGGGGCAGCCGTTGTAACTATACTGAGACCTTAGAACTTATATCTCAAGGCGGGTAGCGCATTTACGTTGTAAATGTCTATGGGCTCCAGTAACCACTTAACACCAGTACTGTGTGCTCGTCAACCCATCTAAGCAATAAAAAATAAGATAGGTGAAGGAGCTCGCAGCCCACTTGGTGTTCTGTGGTCACCAAGGCCCGTGGATATCAACAACGTAAATGCCACTACCCACCTTGAGACATGAGCTGTAAGTCTCAGTTTTCAGTTAAAGATATTTTATAGTACATATAGATAGATAGAGTCCATACCTTCTTTTGCTTTTCAATCCTCAGCTGTTCCTCTATCATCTCTTGCTCTTCTTTCTTCATCATCTCCAGTTCCTCCCGAGTGAGGGTCGCTTCGACCGGCGTCAGGACCTCCTCTTGGATCACGGGCAGCATCTCCTCTATTCCAACTTGAGACGGCTCTTTGTCTTTCGAAGATTCTTGTTGGAGTTCTATCACATATTTTACGTTAAGATAATCCGTAATTATATTTTAACTGTGTCTCAAAATTCAACTAAGCACATCCAAAAGTTATCGACTTAATTTTTACGAAGAAGCTAATGTTTATTACAAAAAAAAAAAACACGTGTGGCACTCGGGTACTGCCGCGGTAAAGCTATTGCATAGCATTTTTTATCAACTTATGCAATTATAATTAGACAATAATAATTTAATATTAAAACAATAAAAAATAAGACCACGCTATATTTATAAACATTAACAAAAGCACAACATTAACTGTCCCCTTCACACTCATAAGCTAGACCGCGCGAGAGAGAGATGGGCAGACTTTTCGTAATACGCATGCGGTGCGATGTCACGTCGCACGCTTATTCACAAACACTACACAAGCGCAACGTGTGAACGTGTTGAACGCAAGCTACATAGTAGGCGTAGTGGGGGTGTCAGGTTATTTTCGTTACGGAATTTCTTGATTTGGTCACTGCGAATAAAGCCCGCGATAAAAGCTATGCAATAGCTTAATAAACCCGAATAAAATGTGACATTTTGATCTTCATGATATTTGAAGATTCTAGTTGATTAGATTATAGTCTAGATTATAATGATAGAATGTAAATCATAGAACCAAAAATAGATGACTCAAAATAAACACGAAAAGAAGAAACAGATAACTAAGTTCCTTCTATAGGACGTTGCGATGAATGTACTACTGGAGATATGACCTGACGAGGGTTGACGTCGGGTGGCTGGTGATACTGCTCATATCCAGTTCCTATGGCAGCATGATTGTTTTTTTTATTGCCCATGTCGGAAGACGAGCATACGGCCCACCTGATGATGAGTGGTTACCATCGCTTATGGAGTTCAGCAATATCAGGAGCAGAGTCAAGCCGCTGCCTACCGTAAAGTACTCTCCACAAGCCTCGTTTGAAGAAGGATATGTCATAGCGCTCGGGAAACAAAAGAGGAGGATATGATGCGCCGACCCCCCTCTCCTCCCCCTAATATGGGATATGGGCACGCACAAGCTACGAACTAAAGTGACCTAAAGTCAAAAATATCCTGAACGCGTATACTTATGCATGCTTAAAGTAATAATAATAACCAGGATCAAGTCACGCCTGGTAACAAACCTGGATTTCCTGTACTATGAGATTAGGAAACCATTAAAATAGGTAACTAAAGAACAAATAAACTTGTACATCGTAAAAATTCTTGACCGTTCTGGGAATCGAACCCACAAACCTCGATACAGCAGAACAGACTATCGCCCTACCGAGTCAGTCCTGTTAGCACCCCAACCCAAATCTCACCTTGCACTTCCTCGTATTCATACTGCATCTTCTGCTCTTCTTGACATCTCTGTTCCTCCTGGAACGTATAAGGATAGATCAGCAGTCAGACCGACACGCCGTGATAGATATCGGTACCTTAAGCTATGGCTTGGCTCATTGCGACTGTATCCCCTTTTAGATTGAGCTTCATCAGTACTTTTGAAACAACAGTCCTGATTATGACGGCAGAATCAAAATGAATATGTATCTACAAGCACCATTGCTAATACGGTTTTTAAATATTGGAATAATACCAAATGCGGCCCCTCATTTGGAGAGGACACAAAAGATCCCAAGCATCGAAGAGTGGAAGACTCGTTGGCCCATTCTTAAAATCTCTAATAAAATAAGATCATCAAAATATGGCGCGAGTGGTGTTTAAAAAATTAAAATGTGTCGTAAAATTAGCAACAGCGAAACTTGTCCTAACGATTTCCAAAAGTCCGGATAAGTACCTATTCTGGTTGACATCATACCTGGTGTGAGACCTGCATGAGTTGCTTGGTGACCTGTTCCAAAGTCTGCTGGATGACGCACGGCAGCTGAGCTAAGGCGGCCAGCTGGGCTCGCATCTGGACCAGCTGCTTCTCCAGCGGAGCGTTAGGATCTGCAATAGTCACGCGAGACCAAGATTGATCAGTTAATAATCTATACTAGTATTATAAAGCTGAAGAGTTTGTTTGTTTGAACGCGCTAATCTCAGGAAGTCGTGAAGTCGTTTGAAGTCGTCGTGACCAAAAGGATAAGACGTCTGGTGCATTCGTATCTAGCGATGCACCGGTGTTCGAATTTCAGGTGGGTACAAATTTTTCTAATGAAATACGTACTTAACAAATGTTCACGATTGACTTCCACGGTGAAGGAATAACATCGTGTAATAAAAATCAAACCCGCAAAATTATAATTTGCGTAATTACTGGTTGTGAGTTCGCACGGGTGGGTACCACCACCCTGCCTATTTCTGCCGTGAAGCAGTAATGCGTTTCGTTCTGAAGGGTAGGGCAGCCGTTGTAACTATACTGAGACCTTAGAACTTATATTTCAAGGTGGGTGGCGCATTTACGTTGTAGATGTCGATGGGCTTCAGTAACCACTTAACACCAGGTGGGCTGTGAGCACGTCTACCCATCTAAGCAATAAAAAAAACGGATTTGAAAAATTCTTTCAGTGTTAGATAGCCCATTTATTGAGGAAGGCTATAGGCTATATAACATCGCGCTAAGATAAGAGCACCCATTAAGAATGTTTCAAAATCGGGGTATTTTTCCCTTTTGAGAGGTTCCGCTGCGTGCGCTGTGGAAACGGTTAAAGTCACGCTAAAATAATGTATGACAGAATTGTTCCCCTTTAAAAGTTTAAAAAAAAAGTGTGTGTGTCCGCTCCGACGCACGACTGGAGTTTACTGGATATAAAAAATTAAACGAAACAATACGAGAAATAGTTCTATATTACGACAACACGATACACTACAGATTATTAACAAATTAACGAGACACAAAACAAACGACTAACAAATATATGAAAATACAATAATGAGAGAAACGCGCGATCAGTACGAGGCTTTGTGGCGGACTGCCGGCGCAGCAGCCCGGCGTCACCTGCGATAACGCGGCCGCGCGTTGGCTCCTGATTGGCGCGCGCACGCATCACGCAATCAGGAGCCAATCAGGCGCATAACGCATTTCGTGTGACATGCTAGTACGATTTTGGTCCCCATAATTTTCATACCCCGGGCCTATATATGTAAATCGATTCTAAAGGAGTAAACTCCAAAAAAGTCCGCGGCAGCATATTATGTCTATATTTAAAGGTTGGCCCACTATAACGTTTTTTATGCTTACCAAATTTGTTCTAAAATAAAGCATTATTTGTGAAAGTGTTTTTATAAAGATTATATTAATCCCTATCCAAAACAAATACGTTATTCATTACAACATTGAAACACCCAAACCACTTCAAGATAGGCTTTGACAATTATAGATTTTTCTGGATTTCTCCAGGATCCCATCATAAAATCTTGATGATTACAGGACCATTCGCGAAGTCTACCCTTTCGAACAAAAAACAAAAGAAAAAAGAATTATCAGAATCGGTTCAAGCGCTCTCGAGAAATCGGCGAACATACATAGATAAAAAATTATGGTCGAATTGATAACCTCCTCTTTTGAAGTCGGTTAAAAAGCATGATTTTGGTGCCTTAAATAGCTCCTTAACATTCTCTATTATACAAAAATATTTTCACTTTCTACGTAAATGAAGAGGCGGGTGAAATTTAGCGTTATGCCAAAGTAACTATTCCACGTGGACGAAGTCGCGGGCAAAAGCTAGTCCGTAATATTTTTTATTGAAATACAGAGATCCAAATCCACAAAGTCGGAAAGGAAGATCGTTTACACTCACCGACCAAATTCTGCACATTCCTCATCAGTTCCTCGGCAATCCTGTTTTCCTCCATGTCGACAGCGATCTTTTCAGTTTCCTCCTCTTGATCAAGGACCAGCTCCTCGCTAGGCTCGGCCTCTGGTGGTAATTCCTCGACTGGAACGATTGGAGACGGCGCGTCTTCTACTACCGGTTCTGGTAGCGGTATACCTGAAAACATGGTTAGTAATAGTGCATGGATCAGATCGGCCGGTGTTATTACTAATTAGAGCCGCAGAGGTCCTGGCCTCAGGGCCCATCTAGAGCCTCTCCAGTGGTACTCCGGTCTTCTCTGTCTTTGGTTCAGTATGCTTGATTAGGTGGTTACCGTTGCTTATTGACGTCAGCAGTGGCGGAGGCACGGCCAGGCCGCTGCACGCATCAAAGATCTCTGCTATACAGCATCTTACGTGTGATCTTGTGAAGGCGAAGTTCTCAAGATTGCTCGACATGATTGCGTCATCTCGTTTATACCAATCCATATAATATCCGCCCCGTCCGTCACCGGAGCAGAAATCATCCATATTACCCGGAACCACTGTTTTCAGCCACAAATACCATCCTATTCACCTTCACGGCCCGGTGAGGTTCGCGGGGAGTACTCAGCCAGAGACAGCGGTTTGGCTCTAACTCCTAGCATTAATGAGTCTCATACGCTCGTTACCGTTGCTACGGTAACCATTTACCATCAGGTTGGCCGTATGATTGCCATATATACAAGTTCTGGAAAACAAAATTCAGACCGTCGGTCTACCGAGCAATATCACCCGCTCGGTGGAAGATCTCTGTCGTTATTTCCACAAAGATATCATTTGCGATATTACTCAAGTACCAGCCCCGACACAGCCTTCACACGGATAACAGATTGTTTTGAGGACATACTTAACCCATAACCCATGAATATGTTAGAGAAAGTCTGAAAGTGGCACTCGTGACAGAGAAGTTGAGAAGTGCGCGTTTGGGATTGTATGTGATGAGACGAAATGACAATGATGTTGGTAAGAGAGTTTTAAATAGGAATGTGGAAGGCTTTAGAGGAAGATATAGACTGGAGAAAAAATAGAGAGAATAAATCGCGTGAAAGACATGTGTAAGGGGGAGAAGGGCAGGAGAATGATTAATTAATCCAAAAACATCGGACTTCACGAATTAATTCCCTTACCAGTTTCCTCTAAGTCAGGAACCTCGGTTTCGGGTAGAGGATCGACGGCCTCCACAAATTCTGGCGCTTCTTCAGGAATGAGGATCGGCTCTTCAGGCTGAACTGGTGGTAGCGAAGCGTCTACGACCGCTCTCTGCTCCCAGGGCAGGGGACCAGTATCAAAGTCCTACAAGAAACAGGATATTCCAATTGCGAACTTCCCAGATTTCTGTTTAATCATAATACCTCATACAAAAATCGAGAGGTGAAAGGCCATTTGGTTTAAGACATTAAGCTTAATATGTAATATTTATCTTTGTAATTAAAGGTCCGTTTCATTTGATATCAGCATCAACAGTTGGATATTTTTAATCGAACTTCAATTAAGTTTGCTTACTCCATTGGGATAGCTAAAGAATTTTTTTTATCATGATGTTTTTTTCCAAATTTCATATAGTTTTGTTGTACAATTGCAAAAAAGTCGCTTAAGCCAAATACAATAGTTTTTCATACCTCGAAATAAACTAATAAGAAGACTGTCACTAAACGAAAAAAAAATGTGTGCGTGTACTAGTGTACACACGTAAGAAGTGAAACTTCTTTATGGCCTTATTTTTCGAAAAATGATCTACATGCAACTTTCTAGAAATTGGTTAAATAAAGTTAAATTAGATAAAGTTTAAACAAAAGGATTTTATTATCATAGACATGAATACAAAAAAGTTAAATTAGATAAAGTTTAAACAAAAGGATTTTATTATCATAGACATGAATACAAAAAAGTTAAATTAGATAAAGTTTAAACAAAAGGATTTTATTATCATAGACATGAATACAAAAAAGATGGCGCGTAACGGAAAAATGTGACGCGTAACCGAAAAATGTGACGGTAAATTTTTTTCCAACGCCGATAAGGAAGTTTCACTTCAATAAAAATGTTTTTGTGATCCGAATACTACAAATTTGAGTTAACTTTAACACTATCGAGAACGTTAAAAAACTCGCACTAAGCACCCTGGTCAAATTTCGATGGCAAATGGTTGATGAATTAAAGAATTTCAAGTGAGAGTTGAGTGAGAGATCAATTAATTCACCTCGGGTTTGTAGTCTGGGGCAACTTTGGGCTTGGGCTGCTTGACGATCTTGACTCTGTAAGGCTCCTGGAATCAGAAAGGGATACTCTTTATCATGAAAACAGAAGTGGCAGACAGCTCTAATAAGTTCCACCGAGTTAATTCCAGAGAAATACGCACTTAAATCATTACTTAGTTCACCAACTTGCACATAACGTCGTGTATTAAAAATGAAACCCACAATAATTATAACTTGCGTAATCACTGGTGGTGGGACGTCTTGTGAGTCAGCACGGGTAGGTACCACCACCCTGCCTATTTACCTGCCATGAAGCACGAATGCGTTTTGACTTGTGAAACTGGGTTGTACTACTATAAAAATTGAGACTTAGAGCTAAAATCTCAAGAAGGATGGCGGCATTTGCGTTGTTGGTGTACACGGGCTCCACTTAATACCAGATAAGCCATGAGATAATTCACTCTTTATGTTAAGGCTTAAGGACATCAAGAGGCCGGGGCTCAGTTAAATCGTTGTACTGAGTAGCCTCTTTAAGCCTGGTTTGAAGAAGGCCATGGCATAGCGCTCGGGAAACAGCGTCCGTCCAAACATGAAATCCAGACCCGGATGGTACGTACAAAAATTATCTCTATGTACAGCGAGTATTATGAAGAACTCTGCCCTGATGATGCGCTGGTAAGGAGGCAGCTAAGGGAACGTATCCTCGAGCACACTTAAGCTTCGTCTCCAGCACAAGGTTCTTGTGAAAAATTGTGTAAAAACAAAACTTACACAGAATTCACTTGTTTTGAACTAAAACCCATCCACGACTCCCAACAAGGATTAACCCACAGAGTTTTTTGTCGGATTTTGTCACTGAGTCGCGATTCTGATTGGTTAGTAGATTCAGCAAAGCACTGCTCTTGCTAGGGCCAGTTTTAGAATCGGGTGCCGGGTGCGGTGGCGCCTGGTACTCGACTGTTGGTCCGGTGCTGAGGCGGTGCAAGGTGGCTCCTATACGCCACCCATGGCGTGTATCCCGAGACGACACCCTTAGGAATTTTCCCAGGGATCAAATCATCAGGACGGGTACTGGCGAAGGCCGACTTTCGGCGCACGTTGTGGTACCGTAGACTTCGTGGTGTTGTGGAGCTCGATAGGGTGGAGTCGGTAGTTCTGCAGGACAAGTGCCTCTCGCACCTTTTTCTGCGAGGAATTGAAGGAAGTGGAGAACCTCGATCTTTCTCTTCTCTTTCTTCCTCTCTGGAGGCGCTGGAGTCCGACATAACCCGGTCTGCTACCCCCCTCGACCGGAAATCCTTAAAAAGGTTCCCCATCGAAAAAAAGGGCCAGTTTTAGCAAATCCCTCAAGTTCAGCCCGTATGCTCATCTATCTGTCCACATGGAAGAATACCATCATAAGCTACCAGAGAAGAGGTAGGCAAAGAAGATTCTTAATATAATCTCACCTCGTTCGATGACTAGTGCAAGCGAATTCGAACAAAACACTGTCCGGTATACGAGGTTTGCAAACTAATCGTTCATTGTAGTCTCGCCAATTCCTCAAGGATCAACATCGAAATACAATGCCATATCCGCAATTCATAGATCGATGTGTATTTAAATAGAGCGATGCATTCTCCATATTTCAATAACGACAGACGTAATTAATTGGCTGCCATTTGCACATCTATTTTGATGTTAGCATTGAAATTCTTTGATGGTATGACAGAGTCGTTCTCGCTTCCTATCGGATTATTTTTATCGCGTACTCACTGACCAAGTTTGAATAGTTCTGCGTCTAAATCCGCTGGGGGGTAGGGTTAGCCAAGTGAGCCCAAGTAGGTAACACAACCCTGCCTATTTCTGCCACGACGCAGTAATGTGTTGGGATTTGAAGGGTGAGGCACTTGATAGTTGATAGAACTGAGACTTAGACTTCATGTTTCCAGGTCTTTGATGTCTATGGACCCGGTAAACGTCTAAGACGAGGAGAGCCGTGAGCAATAAAAAAAAATTCTCCAAATCTATAATGCGCTCCTCTCTTCATAGGCAAGATAAGAGTCTTGAAGAATCCTCATCGCTAAACAGCTTGGCTGTGCTCGCGACTATGATGATGAAGATGAATCCTTCTACTATTTACTGGTTCCCGTGAAGTAAGCCAATTCCGCTGAGCACCATGAGATTGGTTGATTTTTAGTGCACAGTAAGTACCACTGTTAAGCAGATGTCCACCTGGACCATAGGCGCCGTTCTGATGCCCTTCCAACTATTCAATAAATAAAAACAAACAAACCACATCCGCTTCCGTTTCCTCGACGTGTCCAGGGTGTCCGAGTCTGGTCCCAGGGACCGGCCTCTTCGGCTTCTGCAGGAACGTCGTCCATCTCTTCTCTTCCTTCTTCTTCTTCTCGAGCGCCTTCCTCTCCTCCTCTTCGTTCAGCACCTTTAGCACTTCCGAGTCCTTCAACGAGTCTATCATCGGCTTTATCTTCTTGAAGTCGACGCTGTCGTCGGCGCGGTGGATATGAGAATTTAGTACTCTTGACAAACTGTTCAATTGATAATTGTATTAGTCGTGTTTAGTGGTGCGTGTCTGGTGATCTCGCCTATACGTTTGGACAATTAACAGATTCTGAGTTCATTCTTATTAGACAAACGAATGGACCATAGGACGTAAAGTGGTCACTGACGCGTATGAGATAACTGATCTTGGGCGACGAAATAAAAGCTCGCAAAGCAGTCCATGATTCGCAGATCCAAAATTTTACGATCTCTGGCTTTGTATAAGCATATTTCTGTACTATTCATTTTTTTTTAATTATGATGACGATACAAAAATGTAACGAAAAACAAGAAAAAAGGCGCTTTTAAATAAAAAAAGAAATTAAGAACTTCACGAATATAGTGGAAGTCGAGCTCAGTGGCGTGCAAGTGGACAGGCCAATGTTCGGCCGTGAACTGCTTTAGGCTGATGGTGATGACGATGAATGATATACCTCGAATACCTTCTTCGTCGGACTTCGATGAATGGAATACCAGAAATAAAATAAAGCATTAGAAAAATTGGGTTCATCTCGGAAAAGGTTCTGTGATTGGGAATGTGATAGCACCATATAGATTTTCTTTTTTTTTTACTGATTAGATGGGTGGACGAGCTCACAGCCCACCTGGTGTCAAATGTTTACTGGAGCCCATAGGCATCTGCGACGTAAATGCGTAACCCACCTTGAGATATAAGTTCTAAGGTCTCAAGTATAGTTACAACGGCTGCCCCACCTTTCAAACCGAAACGCATTACTGCTTCACGGCCGAAATAGGCAGGGTGGTTGTACCTACCCGCGCGGACTCACAAGAGGTTCTACCACCAGTAATTAATTATTTCATGCTTCGATAGGCATAGCTTAGACGTATGCATGTATGTACATAATATGTATATGAATTTTCCATAGAAAATGCTAAATCAAGCCAAAAACCTATAAGTAATTTCTCCCCGCCACTCGATTATTCTTCTTCACAGGATTAATGATAAAATTTCAGCGTAGGAAGACAGAAACAAAATTGAAAATGAAAACTGACAATGGCTTCCTAAAACTGTATTTGTGGGTAGTGTTTAATGAAGCAGTGAGGTCAATGATTCATTCGAGAGCATATCAAAAGAACAAGACTTACCCCATGACGTGTGCCTCCCTCAACATCTCCGCTTCCCCGGATATCAGTTCAGCGATCTTCTCCTCGCTCATCCCTGGTTTCCCGAGCTCCTCTGAATTCAACAAACATATTACTTAGTCTGAAGCTTAAAACAACAGTCGTCGTGAATAAGGCGTCCGGTGCATTCGTATGTAGCGATGCACCGGTGTTCGAATCTCGCTGGCGGGTACCAATTTTTCTAATGAAATACGTACTTGACAAATGCTCACGATCGAAAATTATAATTTGCGTAATTACTGGTGGTAGGACCTCCTGTGAGTCCGCACGGGTAGGTACCACCGCCCTGACTATTTCTGTCGTGAAGCAGTAATGCGTTTCGGCTTGAAGGGTGGGGTAGCCGTTGTAACTATATTGAGATCTTGGAATTCATGTCTCAGGGGGCTAGCGCCATTTACGTTGTAGATGTTCATGGGCTCCTATAACCACTTAACACCAGGTGGACCGTATGCTCGACTGTCTACAAGGGCAATAAAAAAAATCATTCCTATCAATATCGTCTCAGAATGATCGCTTAATGATAAAATAAAAGTAAACAATGAACAGTTAAAAACCTATACGACCTTAATTTATGATTCTCGAGTCCAAATGAACACAAATACTCACTAGCCAAATCCTCATCAACCACTGCTTGTTCCAAGCCGTCAACGATGCCTTGGATGGTGCCGAGGGGCTCTCCCTCATCAGTAATAAAGACTTTTGGCTCGCTGTGAGGCCTTAGTAGCTCCTGTAAGAACAGATCATGCAATTTCCCTGAAGTCTGAAGAGTATTTTTTCTTTTTAAGGTTATTTTTCTCGTATATTTGCTGGTGGCCTAGCTATACCAGCTACCCACGGGTAGGTGAGCCAACAGGCTTAGCTTGAGAGAGTTTGCTGTTTGGAATTGCGATCCACAGAGAAAGCCTGACGAAAGACTCAGTGGGCTGTGTCTATAGGTTAGTTTGCGCTTCGAATTCTTGGAGGGTAACAGGTGCTTGAAAAGCTTAATAGCAGCGAGGGTGGATCCGGGGGATCTGACAAGACGAGCTTCGGGTGACGGCGACTTTGGGTTTCCCCTTTATCTGTGTCGGATATGTCTCTTCGTCATCCGGAGGAGACTCTCGGACTTGAACTAGTACCTGAACTACAGGTGGTAGAACATACTATGAGTCCATAACTTAACCATTGACCATTATATAGGATGAAAATTAAACAGGTAACTCCCACGAATTCTATCTATCCAAGATGTATTCTATCACTCTAAGATAGGATTCTATCTACCTAGCATAGTGACGTGAGACAAAATTAACTAGATTCACCTCTATATCTGGTGGAGCCGGTGTTGTCCTCTGCGACCTACACTCTTCAGGATCAAATTTGACGGGCTTCACGAACTCCAGGTAGTCTATTTTAGCATTATCATCAGTAATCTGTTTAGCATTAGCATCGGCAGCTTCTATGTGACCAGCGGGATTTGCACTGTTTTGTTTTATAGCTTGTGGTGTGGCTTCAGCTATAGAAACAAGGACTTCATTGGTCGCTGCTTGTTTCTCTGCGATATCTTTACCTGGTAGCGTCGCCATAAAGTTAGAAACTTCCAAATTCTCATTTACATTAATCTTTTCATGGATTTCTTGTTCTTTATTAGCTACAGCATCTATCTTATCAATATTCGTGACAGCTTTCTCGGCTGCATGTTCTTTGGAAACGACTATTCTTTCTTCGTTGTTATTCGAATTTATTACGCACACTTCAGAGGTATTTTTGTCTGTCTTTGAGTTATTACTTTCAGTGGCTGTCATATTTTCTTGTACCTCAACAGCATTACTTACGATTTCTTCGTCTTGATCTTTTAATGTATTCACTTCATTGACAATAACATTTTTATTCTCATCTTCGATTTTACTAACTTCAGTTTTTGTTTCTTTTACGTCATTAGAAATGTCAACTTTAGATTTTTCGCTTCTCCTATTATTACCGTTAACCAGAATTCCTTTGATCGTACGAGATTCACTTGTTTTGCTGCTCGAATGTTCTTTGACTTCGGTGACTTCTGTCCGCGTCTCCATGCCAACACACTCTTTATATTCTTCAATGCTTTTTATTGTTTCATCTATAGCGGACGCGAGGAGCGAAGATTTCCTTTCGATTTCGCGTATTTCGTCCTGTACGGATTGGAAAGATTTTTTAAAAATACTCTTACATATTCAGTTTTTTTCAAGATGAAATATCCAGTGGCCAGTTGGATAGGGTGAATGAACTATGAAACTCCCGGTGTTACATTGAAGGACTAAATCTAAATGTGTCATACGTGTAGTTGGAACGTAAAAATCTGTTTTTATCTAGAAGTTGCTTTCTTTTGAGATCAGATCAAACACTAATGTTTGTTTGACGTTTTGTGTTCGGATTAAGAGTTTACCACAATCAATTTGTCAATCCGCACGGGTAGGTACCACCACCCTCCCTATTTCTGAGTTGAAGCAGTAATGCGTTTGAAAGATTGGGACTTAACACCAGGTGGGCTGTGAGCTCGTCCACCCATCTAAGCTATAAAAAATAAATAAATAATGTGATGAGACGAAATGACAATGAGGTTGGTAAGAGAATGTTAACTATGAATGTGGACGGCTTTAGAGGAAGAGGCAGACCTAAGAAAAAAATGATGGATTGCGTGAAAGACGATATGTGTAAGAGGGGAGTGAGCGAAACGGTGTATGATAGAATCCATTATGAAAAAACATAGTATTTATATGATATTTATGTTTCCACTATCAACCAATGCGTCTACTAGATCCTTGTCTAGATCATCCTCAGTTGACTGGTAGATAATACATTAAACATTAATTCCAGCAACGCAAATAGTGTATGGAAGGTGGAGGTAAAGAGCGCCATCTTGTATAGGCGACAAGTTGAAGTCCGCCTGTAAACAGCGTGTTATTGTTAGAAGACTCACCGAAATAGCGCTAGTGTAGGAAGTGGGAATGATGTAACAGGTTTAAACAGAGCGAAGTGTGCCGGGTTGAAGTGAAGTGTGTTAGTTTATGGCGCTGTTTGTAAAATCCTCCCACTCGCTACTGTGGCGCCATCTTAATTGGCTGTCTTTTTAGCGGATATTTTTTAATACACTGAGATGGCGCTCCTTACTTCCATAACGAAGCGCAACACGTTGACGAGTGAATTCAAAGCGTTTTTAGCAATAAAAATACACATGTTCGAAGGTACTGTCTCTTGTGTCTATTTTAAACTATGAATGAGGTGATTCAAAAACCCACCACGCGGAATCGTGGAAGCCTAAATACCTTTCTGTATTGGGGACGATCAGCGCCGCCCCTCAGACCTGGTTTCCTGTACACTGGCGAAGTCGGCTTTGACCAGGGCGGGCTGGGCAAAGGTGGGTCGTATATGATGGGGTCCTCAATCTTTATCTCGACATGCGGCACAAATTTCTTCTTCACTATGGCCGGGTCTTCCTCGATCGGGACGGGTTCAGGATCTGGGGGCACGGGAGTGGTACCACGGCTTTTGGGTAGGGGCAGCTCTAGGCGGAAGATGTATTCGTCTGTCAAAGGGGTGGGAGGCATCGTGGATGGACTGGGTGTGTCTATGTCATTGTTTTCGTCGCTCTGCAGCTGCCCATCTACGTCAATTCTTAAAGACAAGTTCTGGCTGGATCTGGCTGTGAAAGACTGTTCTACTGACTGGGTAACGTCGGCCCCAATTTTTTGACTGGTGTATTCAGAATTGCACTGAAGGTTATTCATAGTTGAGTGATCAATAATTTGTATTTGTTGTGATGAAACTTGCTCATTGATTTCGATATGGTTCACCATGGTTGTCTCGGAGCTAAGAGCAGAGTTCTTCTGAGTTAAGCTTTCTAATGAAGCTTTATGTGTGTCACTAATCTCCGACGATCTCTGTTCGAGTTCTTCGACGTGCAAACGATCTAATTTCCGCTCGGAGAGATTCAATTCCGATATATCTTCTTCTACAGTTATAACTTCTACTCCGTCTCCATCATCTTGGTCTATGACCTGGTATTTCGTGATTTTCAACTCTGCGTACTCTTCCGCGCTGGTCTTCGTTACGTGTTTAGGCAAAACTATGTTCTCCGTAATAGTGATGTCTTCTGTCTTCGCCTTCTCAACTTTGACTTCTGTTATTTTAGATATTGACTCCCTTTCTTCCTGTTCGATCAAAACTTTCGCTGTATCTGCCTTTTCTTCTGAGATCTCAAGAGTTTTAAGCTCGTCCTCTGCTACATCCACTTCAGTTATGCTTAGAGCTTGTTGTTCTACTACGCTGATAGTGTCAATTATCTCCGTCTCCTCCTTACTCAAGCTAAGCTCAGAGTATTCATCTCTGGCTATCTCCACTTCAGCTATCTCTATAGCTTCTTGTTCTACAACGTTGACTGACTCAATAACCTGACTCTCTTCTTTCTTTATTTCCAGTTCTTGTAATTCTTCTGCCACTACCTGCGTTTCATTCACTTCAAGAGCCGTGTCAGTTTCTACAAGTATTTGATTGGATTTTTCGAATTTTTCGTCACTAACTTTCAGGACAGACAGTTCGTCTTTTATAGATTCTACTTCGTTAACATTCACAGCTGAACAGGTATCTGATATTGTAACTGTAACATTCTCAGTGTTTGCTTCTTCGATAATAAGGGTATCGTGCGTGGATACATCGGTTATTTCAGTAGACTCGGCGACTGCAATAGCTAAGTCGTTTTCTGTTACAGTTTTTCCGATTTCAGTTTTGTTCAACTCTTTTGTTATTTCCGTTACAGGTTCAATGACCTGTTGCATCTCCTGGACTACGACCTTTTGAGTTTCTTGAACTACTGTCGCTTTTTCCTTTGAGTGGACTTCATGAGTCGAATCCTTGGTTTCAAAGAGTTTCTCTTCGAGAACGCCTACAGTGGCGTGGCTTTTGGCGCTCGTTGTAGCTAATTTATGCGTCTCTTTGACTACAGCCTTTGCTTCATCGCGCTTCGCTGTTTCGATCGCGACCCTTTCTGACGTCACCGCTTCACTGACTTCCGATGCTATTTTAACCTTTTCAGCAGTCTCCACTGTCATCTCGGACATTTCTGCGGCATAATCTTCGAAGATGACATCTGGGTTTGTATATACGTGCGCCTCTACCACGGCCCTGTAAGTATTTCGGTCTGTAATGTTCGTGCTAGTTCTATGTTTTCTATATTCATGTTTACTTTGAACATTTTGATGTGCATTCGATTTAAATTCGCTCGAAAATTGTTTGGAAGTTACTTCTTTTTCCAGAGACGCCCTGCGACTGTCAACCTTATCCAGCCATTCTAAGGGATCACTTTCGCGCGCAACTTCTTCTTCTATAGAACTCCTGCTGCTAGATCTCCTTCTGCGTTGACGCACCTCCAATTCTTCAGCGGCTCTGCTCTCTAATTCCGTTATCACAGTTTCCATCTTCTTTGTTAGTTCTTCGTTTCTTCTATCGCTCATTTGTGCCATTTTAGCGCCGGATTTTCGGCTTTCTTTCATTTCGAACTTATCGAACTCTTTCACTTCTTTACTTTCAAACTCTTGAATCTTTGATTCGTTTTGAGATACCATTTTGTTTTCACGTCGCCTGTTATCTTCAACTTTCGATTTGCGTACCAAATCTTCTCTGTACGACTCATTGATGCTGTCTCTATAAGCACATTGCCTTTCTTCGGTTTTAGATAAAGCCGGTTGTGTTAAAATGAATCTAGAAAGGGCCACCATGACATCTGTTAGGTGGATGAAGAACGTTTTGAGCAGGAGGTCGTAGTGATGGGAGTGCACCACTCCTTTGATGTTGGGTATGGTCTGCAAGCCTATGGCGTACACTCTTTGTTCAGCCTCAATCCTTGCAGACGACTGTTCATGTCCTTTATCCACGTATTTTTGTTTATGATACTCTTGTTTCTCCTCCTCAATGTGCTTCGTAGGTGTCGGTTTTATGACTTTTTTCTCATAAGCTGTAGATTCCGTTTCGAAGGCTGTTTCATTTTCTTTAAGTTCATAAATAGTATTTTCAGTGGAGGCGTGCTCATTCACAAACTCGGTACGTTCATGTTTTTCCGCCTTAGATGTTTCTGCGACGATTTTCTCTTCCGTTTTAGATACCACTAACTCTTCTTGTTCCATTATTTCTTCTTTTAAACTGTTCTCTACTTTTTCTGAATAAGCGACCTTTTGTTCAACATCTTCCTTTAATTTTATCTCTGAATGCTGTTCCTCTTTTATTTCCTTCTCAATCTGCTTTGTAACGGCCACGACTTGTTCGATGGTCTCGTCCACGACCAGCAGAGCTGTTTTCTCTATTTTCTCAAGATCTATCTCTTCTTTCATCTCATCGAGGAACCGTTTCTCTTCTAAAATTTTTTCTTCTTTCGTTTGCACGTCTCTTGATTCTTCTTTGAAGGTCATGCTTATGTCTTTCGAGGATTTCGTGACAGTTTCATCAGAGACAACACACACAGATCTCCTCTCAATCTTATCGTCAAGTACACTCTTAGCTCTTCTGCCTTCAGGGTCGTACTGCTCGGAGATTGGCAATTTGAACTTACGTTCAGGGGCATTCGTGAGTTTCAACGCGAGAATGTCAATATTGTCGAGGCTCTCACTAGATTTGCCGAACTCATCCCGATAATTGGGATTCAAGATGATCGGATCTTCGATTGGAGGAATATCGGGGAGAGGTTCCGTGGAAAAGGGTCGGTAGGGCTTGGTTGGGGTCACGAAAGGGGATGACGTTAAGGACCTCGAGGTTTGTCGGTCTGAAGGGTCAAATAGGTCGATGTCTAAGCTCGGCGGCTCAATAAACTGTTCTATTTTAAACTGTACCTCAGTTGGTTCCGACTGTCGGTCGAAATCTGCCGGTGGAGGCGACTCCAGCAACGGCTCCTGGTCGTCCAAAACCGGGTCGTACAGCCCACTGGAAAATGCAATTGAGTTATAACCCATTGTGTTAGATCGTAACGAATAAGGCATAATAGTGCGCCGGTAATCTAAATAGTTATTTTAAGCTTTTATTTATATTTGCTTAATTGCCTTATTACCAATTTCGCGCACCCGATGATTAACGCCGGTCAGTTCAATTTAAAACTATATTTTCTACCTAAGCTGATAGCCTTGAGAGGCCGTATCAGCGTAACCTAACAAGTAGCTGAGCTCACGGGCTCTAACCTGACAAAGCTGCTAACACTAGTCCTAGCAAGAGCAGTGCTCCGCAGAATCTACCAGCGGATCGGAAACGCGACCCACTGAGAAGATCCGGCGAGAAACTCAGTGGGCTTTGTCTCTAGGTTAATTTACTCGCCGAGCCCTTCGACGCAAGCGACGGGTTCGGCGAGAACGATGACCGGGAAAAAAAACCATAATAAACATTAAATTCAACCATAAATATGTTCATTCAACCCATAATAAGCATTACTGCTTCACGGCAGAAATAGGCGGAGTGGTGGTCCTATCACCAGTAAAAAAACACCGCTAAGAGTCACCAATTAGTTTCGCTCGGGGCTAAAAAATGAAAAGACGATCGCGTTCCCCCCTAATCTACGCTATTACTTAATATGTAAATTGAAGATATATTTACATTCTGATTCCTTCGGTGTCTCGCGATGATAATTGAAATCAGAGAGATATTTCCCGGATTCTCGCAACTCATTCTGTGTTAACTAATTGTTTTAAGTGAGCGATGTTGAAATTAACCCTTTAAAAGTATGAGGCTTGGAGGTTTGGAGGCCTATCTCATTCGGGGGACGGGTTGAGACAGTCTCCAGCTGTGAGTAGACGCTGCAGCTTTAGAGTCCACCATCAGCTTAAGTGACGAAATGTTAATGTAGCTGTCGTAGTCAAAGCCAATCGTGACAACTTTAACAGTTCATCAAAATAACTTTTGGCGTCATTTTAGACATGGTGACGTCTGCGGTGACGTCACCCTAACAGTCTTCCCAAAGTGGGCGATAACGCCCCTTTGTGGGCGCTACCGGCTTAAAGGTGGGCGGTAAGAGACCCAGAAAAAATATGGGGGCGTTGTGTAGAGGCTTTGGAGGCGATTTGTAATTTCATCTAGGAGGACTTTTAGACACGGACTGAGCTCTCGCTATAGTGGATTTAAGTAGGTGAAAAAATGGGGGCGTTAAAATATAATTTATTCTCAAAGTGGGCAGTATACAAAATATGTTTGGGAACTCCTGCCCTAACCGATCCATGTCTCGTTGAAACTGGAATGGCCTCCGGGCCACCAATAATACCTCCATCATAAAATAAAATAAAAACTAACCGATCGCCTAATGACGCTCCATACTTGAAAACTAAATAAATTAAAAAAATGGCCGCCATCATAAACATTACGCTAAGAAACTATTCTAGTCTATTCCATTATTTTTTTATTGCTTAGTTGGTTGGACGAGCTCACAGCCCACCTGGTGTTAAGTGGTTACTGGAGCCCATGGACATCTACAATGTAAATGCGCCACCCACCTTGAGATATAAGTTCTAAGATCTCAGTATAGTTACAACGGCTGCCCCACCCTTTAAACCGAAACGCATTACTGCTTCACGGCAGAAATAGGCAGGGCGGTGGTACCTACCCGCGCGGACTCACAAGAGTGTCCTAGCTCCAGTAAAAAAATTCTATTCTATCAGTCCACAGATGTCCACTGCTGTACATAGGCGTCCCCTAAGCCTCGCCACATGCATAAACGGGCGTAGACGGCCACACTTTTGTTGAGAGCTTACGACTCGTGCCGATTACTATACTAACTAAAACTCATTTAACTGTTTGGTCTGAATACTTCTAATTCTCTTTTGTACTAGAATTTAGTTGTAAACAATATCAAATGTCTTAAACAATTACATATAAACACATTAGATGTAGGAATTTTTATAATTACATAAATGATAATAATTTTATTTTAATAGTTCGCATTATAACTAATATCACGCCATTAGTTTTATCGCTTTTGTGGTATAGAACAATTTGATTTGATTTAAAAGATGCTTGGTAGTTGAAGACATTAGATGCATATTATTAGAATCATGTTGTTTCAAATTTCATGTTTTTTTTTTGTTAGCTAAAACTCAAATTGCTTACGTAAATTTTTTGTTTTGCTAATATAAGCAGATTTTACGTCGAATCTACCTATAGTCTTGTTATTAGGTAAAAGCGAATTTAGCTCATTCTAGAAAAGATCCACAGTGTACGGACCTTAACTTAAAATTTAACCCTTAATTTTTTTTGTTACGGGATCTGACATTTTATATTAGTGGATTCTTTTCAAGTTACGACCGTCCTATTCAAAAATTAGACGCGCTTTGCCTGGGTTACGGATTATTATTTTATTGCTTAGATGTGTGGACGAGCTCACAGACCACCTGGTATTAAGTGGTTACTGGAGCCCATAATAATCTGTAACGTAAATGCGCCACCCACCTTGAGATGTAAGTTCTAAGGTCTCAGTATAGTTACAACGGCTGCCCCACCCTTCAAACCGAAACGCATTACTGCTTCACGACAGAAATAAGCGGGGTGGTGGTACCTACCCGCGCGGACTCACAAGAGGTCCTACCACCAGTAATTACGCAAATTAGAATTTTTGCGGGTTTGATTTTTATTACACGATGTTATTCCTTCACCGTGGAAGTCAAGCGTGAACATTTGTTAAGTACGTCATTATTTCATTAGAAAAATTGGGACCCGCCTGCAGGATTCAAACACCGTTTCATCGCTAGATACGAATGGAACGGACGCCTTATCCTTTAGGCTACGACGACTTCAAAACTAGCATTGTTTTTGTATATTTTTTTTAAGTTATAGTTGTTCTTATGGGAGGGTAAACCGCTTCGTTACGTGACGCGTTACGGCGCCAGTCTGTCTGGCGTCTCTTTCTCTCACGCACACGGCAGCGGTAGTGAGAATGTATGTGACTCCTAACTATTTATATATCTTTTTCAATTTATCTTACACTTTTCCTTACATTATCATATTAACGTACATAAAATTTAAGTAATAACCTAAGCTTTGTCTCAAGTTAAACAGTTTCAATATTAAACAGTTCAACTTAGATTAGTTTAAGTTATCACTTCTGTTAATTTTGTTTTTACAAGTCACTTTCATTTAAAAATTTCCTTTAACCATTTCCGCAAGACATTACAAAAATAAATACAGCCACTAATCAGGGTTAATGTGATTAAGTTCGCCTTGACGTTTGCTATCTGACGGAAAAACACAACGCGGATTTATGATTGAGTCATTACTTATGGCCCGGAGACCTTTCCAGTTTCACCAGGACAGGTGGGCGAGCAAAAGCTCAGCCAGGAGGGGCGGGATTTGCTAACAGCTGCTCAAGCGCCTCCGAAGGAGACCGAGCAACTCAAGAGCAGCTGTTTAGCAAATGAACCTACTACCGGATCGGAATCGCGACCCGCTGAGAAGATCCGGCGAGAAACTCAGCGGGCTGATGTATATGTTAGGTTGCACGTCGACCTCTTTGCCGAGCAACACAAACAAACACAACGCGGAAACACAAACAAACACAAATCACTCACTGGTTTTTGTACACCAAGTAAAATTTCATGTTTCGACCGACAGGGGGACAGTGCTACCGATGCAAGCTTTTAGCGATTGGTTTAGCGAATGAAAAGTAAAAATTTCAATTGCAAATTCGCTACAGGCAGAAGCGAGGTCGTCTTTTTGGATATGGTTCAATGTGTCGATACGTTTAGTTAGAGAATTATTCGCGCTTTGAGAACGAGTGAATCATAACATTTAAATATAATTATGATAAGGTTTTGCGGGATGATTTTTAACGTGTTATTTGTTTTATTTATTATTGGTTTCATTTTTGTTTGTTTTTAATAATTCTGATAAATTGTAATTTAAATTTTATTGTATTTCGATTTAAATGTTATGTAAATGTAAAATTGCGAGAGCATCGGTATCGCAGGATCCGACTGATGCATGACCACGACCACTCTGTCAAGAGTGTACGAATAAGAAGAAGAAGAAGAATTGTATGTGAAATTTTATCGGCTTAAGTTGCCTGAAATATAAACGCATTTCATTTAATTTCAATTAGGTGATGAAGTGTGCGAATGACGGTATGAGAGAGAGAGGAGGAAGTGTTGAGATGACGGCTGATAGAAGAGAATGGAAGAGAACAATTAGCTGTGTTGACCCCACCTAGTGGGATCAGGTGGAGACAAAGAAGATCTATCAATATTCAAATACCGCAAGTAAAATTGAATGCCCCCAATAAGGACACTCGGATCCCACTTATTTCTGTCGGGAGGCAGTCGTTTTTACTTAATGCGTTCGTACTTAATGCAAATTTAAGACTTATATGGTTTTCTCATGGATACCATTATCAGAACTGGACTGAATTGAAATGAGACCACACGGAAAACGTCAGCTTTCTAATAAAAAAAGAATCATCAAAATCAATTCACCTAGTCAAAAGCTATGAGGCAATAAACATAAAATCTTACGTTATGGACGTTTCTCCCCGGTTAGGGTACCCCTCCGCATCGTCCCATAAGGAACTTCATTCCAATAAATTCCACTTACCGCCTCACAAAGAAATCTAGACTCGTAGCCTCTTCGATTGCGTGCCGCGCCGAATCCAGGGGTAGACCAGCCGTGGGGATCCCGTTCATTTTCATGACAACGTCTCCGACCTTCAAGCTGCACATGTCGGCTGCAGAACCAGGAACCACCTGCGCGTCAAATTATTTAGAAGTCCCCTCTTATTCAAGGTCAGGTAAAAGCTAGTCAGTCTCTCTATTCTGGACAGAGCCTGTCAAAATCAAGAATACTTAGAAGAGAAATTATTACTGGTGGTAGGACCTCTTGTGAGTCCGCACGGGTAGGTACCACCGTCCTGCCTATTTCTGCCGTGAAGCACTAATGCGTTTCGGCTTTAAGGGTGGGGCAGCCGTTGTAACTATACTGATACCTTAGAACTTACATCTCAAGGTGGGTGGCGCATTTACGTTGTAAATGTCTATGGGCTCCAGTAACCACTTAACACCAGGTGGGCTGTGAGCTCGTCCACCCATCTAAACAATAAAAAGAACACGTTCAGTTTTGATGATATACTTAGTGTCTGTATTTTTAGTGGACCGGAAGACGTAGCGTGGATAGGCTTCCCATGGCATGGACCGATGACTTATTAAGGTTCGCGTGGATCAGCTGGATGTAAGCAGGACTGATCTCTGTGCCTAGGCTTGAGGGAGGCCTATCAGTCATCAGCCGCCCCTTTCTCAGCATCCAACATATAGACTACATAATGAAATTACTTTAATGCCAACTTTTATCTAAATAGATTTAGAAAAAGAAAACTGTTTTATGCGGTATAGATTGCACCATGCAGTGCAGTCCGCCCGCCATACGTTATTATAAGTTTTTTGACACGATTGGGCCCGCCCTAGGCCCAGGCCTACCGGGCCTTAGGGTAAATCCGCCACTGGTGGTACCTACCCGTGCGGACCCACAAGAGGTCCTACCACAAGTAAAAAGTTGTATTTAGACACCCTAGAACCTGTTTTACACCGTCTACCCTTTTAAATAAGTCGATAAAACAGTGTTAATGTCATAATGGCTACGCGCCAGCCCTCCCGACAGATGTCAATCGTTGATTTACGATAAGTTTATTTTAAACAGAGATCAATGTCACATTTCACTAGTACAATTAGAGCGCGCGTAACTCCGTTTTGGCTGAGTACCACTGGCGGGTCAAAGTTTAACAATAGCTGACCGTTTTAGTGATTGGTTCAATTGAATTTCGTAATTCACAACGGGACAGTCAGTGTAAATAAAAGAAATAATAGTTTAAAAAAACTAAAAAAACATAATATGTTTTTGTAGAAAATCCAACTGAGGGAGTGCTCTGAGGAATTATTCGAGATGATACCAACGTCTCGTTTTTACCATCGCACCGCCCGCCACCGGAGTAGAGTTCATCCATACTACCTGGAGCCACTGCGGTCATCCACAGTGCGTTTCCAGAGATCTTTTTTGCCACGTACCATCCGGCTATGGAATGAGCTCCCCTCCACGGTGTTTCCCGAGCGCTATGACATGTCCTTCTTCAAACGAGGCTTGTGGAGAGTATTAAGCGGTAGGCAGCGGCTTGGCTCTGCCCCTGGCATTGCTGAAGTCCATGGGCGACGTTAACCACTCACCATCAGGTGGGCCGTATGCTCGTCTGCCTACAAAGGCAATAAAAAAAATAAAAAATAGAAAATTTTTTTAATGAATTTAAATTAATAATAGTGTAAGAAAAAATTATTTTATTGTAAAAAAAAGCGTGGGGTGCTTGGTATCAGTAGTTATAAATATTTTATGAACAGATATGAGTAGAAGGGTTATTTTGATAATATCCTGAAAAGCCCCCCACAATTTTTCTATTTTTTAGTTCGATTTTCTATAAAAGCGTATTTTTTTAGTTTTTGAAACTATTATATATTTTTCATTTTTTAGTTAATTTCAATTTTTTCAATATTTTTTTATATTTAATTGTCATCGGACCTTAATAAGTATAGGTACCAAATTTCAAGTTAATCCGTCGTTTTGAAGGGGGTCAAAATCATGTTCAAAGATTCCGTTACAAACATACATACGTCTGAAGCTAAAAAAACCAGGAAAGATGTTAGTGAAATATAATTGATATCTTCGTCTTCTTCGTGTCCTTGCCCCATATTGCGGAGCATCATGTTTTTTTTTATTGCTTAGATGAGTGGACGAGCTCACAGCCCACTTGGTGTTAAATGGTAACTGGAGCCCATGGACATCTACAACGTAAAAGCCAACACCCACCTTGAGATATAAGTTCTAAGGTCTCAGTATAGTTACAACGGCTGCCTCACTCTTGAAACCTAAACGGAACCTAATCCTACCGGACCTCTTGTGAGCCCGCACGGGTAGGTACCACCTCCCTGCTTATTTCTGCCGTGAAGCAGTAATGCGTTTCGGTTTGAAGGGTGGGGGCAGCCGTTGTAACTATACTTGAGACCTTAGAACTTATATCTCAGGGTGGGTGGCGTATTTACGTTGTAGATGGGCTCCAGTAATCACTTAACACTAGCTGGGCTGTGAGCTCGTTCACCCATCTAAGCAATAAAAAAAAACATAAAATTCAAAGGTTCAACTGTACTATATTGAATTGCAGCGCCATCTAGTTAATGCTGAATTAAAATGTCTATTTTAGTATTAAAATACTGTGCTACATACTGATTTAATATCCCAAAATATAACACAGATGGCAGTAATCTATCGCATTGACTAAGCAAATTGTTTTATCTAACGGCAGGCAACGGTGTGCCCTTGGCATTGCTGATGTCCATGGGCGACGGTAACCACTCACCATCAGATAGGCCGTATGGTCGTCTGCCTACAAGGTCATAAAAATATATTTATTAAAAAATATCACATTTTTTAATCTTAATTTTAAATAAACGACAACGGTGACCGGATATCCGGTTGCCTTATGACCCTCCTTAAATACCACGCTGCATACAGTTTGCGTGGCTATTTTTACAGAGTTCTTTGTGCTAACCCGTTTTCGTTATTTATTACCTTAATGACCTCAATAGGAGCATCTTCCGAGGGTCTGCTAATCTCCAGGCCCCAGTCCTCGTGGCCACCTCGTTCTAAGTGCACCACCAGCTCCATCTAAAATAGTAATGGTCTATTAACTTACGCTTCAGTTTAAACCTTTGAAGTCGTCGTGGCCTAAATAATAAGACGTCCAGTGCATTCGTGTTGAGCGATGCACCGGTGTTCGAATCCTGCAGGCGGGTACCAATTTTTTTAGTGAATTACGCACTAAACAAATGTTCACGATTGACTTCGACGGTGAAGGAATAACATCGTGTAATAAAAATCAAACCCGCAAAATTATAATTTGCGTAATTACTGGCGGTAGGACCTCTTGTGAGTCTGCGCGGGCGGGGCAGGCGTTGTACTATAAAAATTAAAACTTAAAACTCATGTTTCAAGGTCTTTGATATCTATGAGCTCCGGTAACCACTTAACACCAGATGGGCCGTGAACTCGTCCACTGACCTAACCAATGACTAACAAATGCGTTTGTTATCTTACAAAGGATGTAAAAGCCTTCAAAAAAGCCGTGAGATTTCGACTTGAAGACTAAAAATGGACTCCAATAACCTTATAACAAATATATTTTCGTTCAACCCTTAATCTAATCAACAAAAAGAGGATGCAAATTGCTCAGTCTTAACCCCTTGTAAGCCCCTTGTAACATTTCTGTAACAATCTATAAAAAATCCAAAAATAATATTCACACAGGCCAAACTAATTTCCTTTTAAGCCCATTGTTACTTCACTGTCACATTCTGAAAAACGTGCTTCATCTAGATATTAATAGGTGAAGCAAAAACTTTGCACCTCTCTTTACGAAAATTGCGCGGACGGAGGAGTATGTTTCCCACACTCATATAGAATATAGAGAAGGAGTGCAGAACGCTAATATATTTTTTTAATTACGCATTAAAAATACAATAATTCAAGAAAAAAAAATTACACACACTAAGATAGTACTTGACTGATACTGAGATAGTATTTGACACAACACATGTATATTTAGACTCCTTTTATTGTCAAACTTTGCCTAATTAAGCAAAATTTAAAGATTTAAAAGTTTGGGATTGAAATTGAGAATGTATAGTCTTGGCGTAATCTGTGATTAAAGAACTATAATAATCTTTGACAATAGAAACATAATAATGTTCAAATTTATAATTACAATTAATTATAGTCGTATTTCGGTTACTGGGTGACCAACATTCAAAATTAACATTACTATTTATTGTCATTATTATTAAGGAGTCCAACGCTCATATAAATATTAGCCTATCCATTAAGTACATGTGTTTTCTACATGGATACCAAGTTTCAAGTCAATCGGATGCATGGTTTAGTTGTTGTAACGGAACATCCGTAAAAACTATTGTAGATTTATATATATAGTATAGATTAGCCCTTAAACATAATTTATTTTAGAATTTATGATCATGGAGTTCTTATTCTCGCTTCGGTTTCCTCAATACCGAGGGTCGTGACCACCTCAAGGCAACAAGGGTTTGATCTGGATCATTTTACGCCATTTGATCCTATCTGCCGCCTAGTATAATTATGTAGATCATGGGTTACAAGGGGTTAATTACGGGTTAACGTCAATATCATCTACTAGCTTTTGTTCGCGTCGTCGTCCGCATGGAATAGTTACTTCGGCATAACGCTAAATTTTACCCGCCTCTTCATTTACGTAGAAAGAGAAAAATGTTTTGTTAATAGAATCTTAAGAAGCTATTTATGGTACCAAAATCAAGCTTTTTAACTGATTTCAAAAAAGGAAGTTATCAATTCAACCATAATTTTTTTTTATCTCGAGAATGCTTGAACCGATTCTATAATTATTTTTTTCTTTTTTTGTGGACCAGTGGTTCCTGAGATTAGCGCGGTCAAGCAAACAAACAAACTCTTCAGCTTATTAAGTATAGATTACACGCACGCAAAATTGCACTTACCGTAATTAAATGTGTATAGATCTCTATCCGAACGGAGCACCGGTTAGTCCGCCAGTCAAATTTTAACTGAGACTTTTGGCTTGAACCGATTTGACCCCATTCGAGATTTCAGCACGACTTCAGCAGCTCAAAGAATCCGGTCATTGCAAGAGTGCGAATTGTCTTATAGCTTGTCATGAATAATGCTTTCGTATCAATCAATAAACAGCTGGAAACAAATCTGTTACTGGTGGTAGAACCTCTTGTGAGTCCGCGCGGGTAGGTACCTCCACCCCGCCTATTTCTGCCGTGAAGCAGTAAGTAATACGTTTCGGTTTGAAGGGCGGGGCAGCCGTTGTAACTACATTTGAGACTTCAGAACTTATATCTCAAGGTGGATGGCAAATTGACGTCGTAGATTTCTATGGGCTCCAGTAGCCACTTAACACCAGGTGGGCTGTGAGCTCGTCCACCCATCTAAGCAATAAAAAAAAAGAATGAAAAACAGTCGACGTCGCCTTAAACACGTTATTACGGATCCTCCCAATCCACTAGGGGTGTTTTTAGGTACCTCAAGCACCGGTCACTGTTCTCGTCGAACCCGTCGCTTGCGACGAAGGGCTCGGCGAGTAAATTAACCCACGGACACAGCCCACTCAGTTCTTGCCGGATCTTCTTAGTGGGTCACGCTTCCGATCGGGTGGTAGATTCTGCGAAGCACGGGTCTTGCTAAGGTTTAGTGTTAGCAAAGTTCTCAAGTTTGAGCCCCGTGGGCTCACCTACTTGCTCGGTTACGCTGACATAGCCTCTCAAGGCTACCAGTTTAGTCAGAAAAAAAATCTAATTACTCTAACGCTTATCAATTGCATGTCGGTGACGCGAATCCATAAGTTTTTGCCGCTACCAAAAACTACGCAATGCGACTAAAGAACTTTTCACTTGAAACAAAAAAATATGTTTTTTGTCACACAAAAACAAACTTAATACCATCTAGTTTCGTTCGGCATATCTAGACGGCCGCGACGATACGTTGAGACGAAATGCGTCTAATTCATTTTCTTGTTCTCCTAACGATCCATTTGGCCGTCGCGAAGAACAACAATGTTAAGACGCTGACGGAGAGCCTGGGACGGGAGATAATTGAAATCGACAACCCAATAAAAGGTATGTAAGAGGTAAGGCTTTAGCTGGGATGAAAGAAGGTTTAGCCCGTGGGACCTCGAATGGAGGCACAGATGAGTACCAGGAGCATGGGGGTCCTCCGAACAGGTAGACCGATGACTTAGTGCGCACGGCGAGAAGTCGTTGGATGCGGAAGGCGGAGGACTGCATTCTGTGGAAGGCATTGGGGAAGGCCTTTGTCCAGCAGTTGGCAGATAAATGACGATGATGATGATGATGACCGGCTTCAGACCTTAGCTTAGTCTTCGGACCGCGTTTCACACCAATGCGTCATCAAGGTTCGCTTTTATTGTCCTTTTTGTACTGGCTCCTGGTCTCATATAAAACTATAATTTCACACAACACGTGCAACATGAAATACTTAACAAATGTTCACGATTTACTTCCAACGGTGAAGGAATAACATCGTATAACAAAAAACAAAGCCGATAATTTGCGTAATTACTGGTGGTAGGACGTCTTGTGAGTCCGCACGGGTAGGTACCACCGCCCTGCCTATTTCCGCCGTGAAGCAGTAATGCGTTTCGGTTCGAAGAGCAGGACAGCCGTTGTACTATTAAAACTGAGACCTTACAACTCATGTCTCAAGGTGGGTGGCATCAATTACTTTCTAGATGTCTGTGGGCTCCGGTAACCACTTAAAACTATAAAACAATCAAAAAGTCAATGTAAATGAAGTTCTATGAGAGGAGACGCCTTGAAAATACGAGCAACCTCTGTTTATTTCGGTCCTTCCTTTAACAATCAGCATCTCATAGCGTCCATAGTGCTTACAGCAGCAGCCATCGGCCATTTTCCCTTTTTCTTCCAACTCGCGATTCTGATGCAATATGCATCTACATAAAGAAATAACCTCTGAACTATGAGGTCTCATTTGAGGGCGCTAGGGCAGATGCTAGCAAGTTCTTTCCAGCAGAGCCGCCGAGCTCACCCACTCATTCAGCTGAAGCAGAAGACCACAGATCCACCATACCAATCAAAAGAATTTCGAAAGCATTCCATGCTAAAACTATTCCTTGACAGAACTACCCCCGGGCCTCGAAGAGGAACCGTCGGCTGAGAATGACGAAGACGGAACCAGCACCACTTTACGTCCAGGAACGAAGGGGGGAACCAATAAATCCATCACGGTTCGTCATTTAGAACTTCGTGCTATGAGTCTGTTCAAGACAATATTTCCCGAGCGCTATGACATGTCCTCCTTTAAACGAGGCCTGTGGAGAGTACTTAACGGTAGGCAGCGACTTGGCTCTGCCTCTGGCATTGCTGACGTCCACGGCGATGGTAACCACTCACCATCAGGCGGTTTTTGTGTTATTTTACCGACAAAGGCAATAAAAACAATCGAAAAAAATCAAGTCACAACCAGTGTACCTATTTCTGCCGAGGAGCAGTTACGCGATCCAGTTTGAAGGGCGGGGCAGTCGATTGAATCTTCGACCTCATGTCTCAAGGCGACAGCAGCCACGTTCTAATCAATATGGCCTTTGAGAAACGCTTATCTTCCTGAGTGCTTAGAAGGCGTCACATCCTTAATCAAGTTCTTTACGGGATCCCAGACATTTAACTTTGCCGCAGCCAATCCGAATCTTTACGTTCCATTCATATAATCACATTACAGATGCGTCTGCTGTTAAGTTCTTCTTGTTTCTATCTTACCGGTTCTTACTGGTGGTAGAACGCTATGTCAGCTCGGGTAGGTCCCACCGCCCTGCCTATTTTCGGCGCAAGCAGTAATGCATTTCGGTTTGAAGGGTCAAACAGCCGTTGAACTGTAAAAATGAGGCACAAAATGTCGTCCAACTATCTTAGCAATACAAAAACCGCTAAGGATCCCGTACACATCCAAATCAAACCTGCAAAATCATAATTTGCGTAATTACTGGCGGTAGGACGTCTTGTGAGTCCGCACGGGTAGGTACCACCGCCCTGCCTATTTCAGCCGTGAAGCAGTAATGCGTTTCGGTTTAAAAGGCGGTGCAGCCGTTGTAACTATACTAAGAACTTAGAACTCATATCTCAAGGTGAGTGGCGGCACGTTGTAGAAGTCTATGGGCTCTGGTAACCGCTTAACATCAGGTGAGCCGTGAGCTCGGCCATCCATCAACGCAAAAAAGATATCAAACGTCAATACGCCATTCTGTATAGGACTTGCAATCGAAGTCTGACGTTATAACCAGTCCCACCAAACTAATTCGTAAGGAATCTCGGAGACCAGCACCACGCCGTCAGTAGATAAACCTGATTGAGCACTTTACAGACTGCGACGGCTAAAGCTATGAGCAGAGCGGAAACGACAAACTCCTCTGTCGACGACGAGGCCAAAATCGAGAGGGAACTAGCTGAGATGTACAAAGATAATTCGGGTGAGCCTTGCGGAAACTAAAAACGCGCCCAATACTAAAACACGCTAAAACGAAATACCCACCATAATTTAGTTTTTAACCTATCTATTTCTGGTAACTTCGATGGATTATACTGGCTTCACCAAAGGTAAGCTCACCAAGGGGCTCATCCTTGGAGAGTTTTCTAAGATTGGGCCTAGCAAGAGCAGCGCTTCGCAAAATCTACCACCGGATCGGAAACGCGACCCACTGAGAAGATCCGACGAGAAACTCAGTGGGCTGTGTCTATGGGTTAATTCGCTCGTCGAGCCCTGGTGTTGTGTGATGGTGACTGGTGCTTGTGGTACCTAAAACACCGTTAATGGATACGAACAATGCCACATCAAAGTCAAATCAAAGTATTATACACAACACTGCCTGATGTGTTACTCTTTGTTATCAGATATCATAAGCTACGCCAGAACCGATAGCTATACAGAAGTATGAGCAATATAACATAGTAGTGTTACGCACTGGGTTTCGGGATAAATAAAAAATCATCCGAATTACGAATTAAAACTGTATTCAACACTTAGAACACTTAAAACACTTTAAAATTCTCAATTCGCTTCTTCCGCTTCGCTTCAGGTGATCCGTTCGCTGTTTCGCTTCGAGTAGTTCCGATTACTGACTGACTGCGTGCCATCTCTGCAGCGCTTTTATAGCCGATACCACATCCCTAGAATTATCTCGAGTGTTCCACGCATTTCGAGTATTGTGTATTTCCGCAATCTGACAATAAATGGCGTTGTACCTCTCGAGCGTTCTAGATGCTACTATAGTAGAATTATTTTGTCGCTGCAGTTTGGTTCATAAAAAATCGGAGCGGTGAAGCGAGTATTTCCCTCTCTCTTCCACTCACGAGCCTTATTGAACGGCCATAGTGAAGCGCATTATTGTTGTCGATAAGCATTATCGATAGTGTATTTAGTTTTGTCGTTTTGTGGGTTAGTGATAAAAATTAAAGAAAAAATCACTAATCGAACATTTACACCACATATCGCCGCAGCAAGTTAACGAGAACGGCAGAAATTAACACTTTGTAACTTTTCGGGATTTATTCTTATTTCAGTGAAATTTTTTAACACATTGTTGATAACAACACGTGCAAATATTATTTTGAATAAATTCTGCCGTTTTGATACAAGACAAAGGAGTAGCCATTCTGTCACTAAAGAAACTCAGATATCAAATGCATAAAAACACATTTCTCCTCGACATAATGTACTATGACTTACAGGTAACTACAAATGACTCTTAACTTAACAATGTCTCACCACACTTCGTATACCACCCCCCCGCCGCCGTGTACCTGCCTTCGATGACTCATTTGTTTTTATCGATAATGGCGTTGCGCCCGCGCAACATGCTCACTGCCCTAGCCGGGCTATGTTTTATGACCCAAACTGCAGCGACAAAATAATTCTACTATAGATCCTTCGATATTCGTTCGACTATTCGGCGATAGATGGCGTTACTCTTACCGGCGTAACTGCAGTATGGCATTTAAAGAGCTTAACCCTTAACGCCTGTATATCTAGTAGACTCTGGGAGACCAAGATACTTAAAAGACCTACATTAACGAACACAAGAAGGTAACTTTAGGCAATCCAGGAGCTTTAGTAATGGAAAATAATTACTTCAGTGCGCCGTGTAGGGCACCGGTGAACTACATGACCGTGAAAAGGTTAACTAAAACCTTTATATTTTATTAGATTACCAAACAGATCGCTCGGAAGCGGATAGTAGCTCCACGACTGTACACAAGGAGGAGGATAATCTGATCGCCAGGAGCAGAGCGTCGGGGTCAGTATATGTAATTGAGTAAATAAAATGTAACACATGCTATTTTAACCGACTTCAAAAAAGGAGGAGGTTCTCAATTCGACTGTATGAAATTTTTTTTATGTTTGTTACCTCATAACTTTTGACTGGGTGAATCGATTTGAATGATTCTTTTTTTATTAGAAAGCTGACGCTTCCCGTGTCCCCATTTCAGTTCTGATAATGGTATCAATGAGAAAATCACATAAGTCTTAAATTTACATTAAGTACGTGCGCGACAAATAGATGAATAACTCAATAACTCAATATCACGCCAACCGATTTCGATGATTATTGTTTTTAGTGTATATTAATTTGTTTTGAAATTAAATTGAAAAAATTAAACTTAAAATGAAAAAAGTGTCACGTTCCGCCCGAGTCTGAGCGTGCGAGCGAGAGCACGGAACGAGCGATAGAGAGGCACGATCGGCCCGAGATTGTGACTCATTTATTTCTCTCCTCGCGTGACGTCAGATCAAACCGACATTGCAGACAATCAATATTTCTCATAGCTTATAAAGTAGACAAGCGAAGATCTCGCCTCTCGTATTAAGACCATTGTCATCAGAATGGCCCAAGTTTTAAGCTCCACATCTTATTTCTCAAATTAATTAAGTTAATTATAACTATTGTAGGTTATAATTCTTCTAAAAGGATTTCGTTTATCATGTAAAATATTCTTGAACCTGAACTAAGAAGTAGTTAATTAGAAAAATTCGGTTACCGCCAGCAGGATTCGAACCCCGGTACAGACGCTCACTTACCAACACGTGGGCTGGATGCTCGTCTGCCAACAAAATAATAATAAAAATAACTAATTTTGGGTGTCATACGCCCGACACAAGTGATAACTTAAACTAATCTAAGTTGAACTGTTTAATATTGAAACTGTTTAACTTGAGACAAAGCTTAGGCTATTACTTAAATTTTATGTACGTTAATATGTTAATGTAAGGAAAATTGTAAGATAAATTGAAAAAGATATGTGAATAGTTAGGAGTCACATACGTTCTCACTACGCTACCGTGTGCGTGAGAGAAAGAGACGCCAGACAGACTGGCGCCGTAACGCGTCACGTAACGAAGCGATTTACCATCCTATAAGAAGATATCACTTCAAAAACCAATTGGGTGTTCCAAAAAAGACTTATTTCTTTTTCAGCTTCAAGTTTCAACCAAATTTGAACAGTCGAGAGGAAATCGAAAGGTTCCGGACCTCAGTCGATGACATTAGCTGTGATAAAGTCACACAGAGATTGGGATTGGTAAAACCTTACTATGACATTCGCCTCGAAAAGCTTAACCATAAAAAAATCAAACAAACAATTGAATGAATCGTTAAGTTTTTGATTGATTCAGTGAAATTAACGAAATAATATTGTATTTCTTCGTGGCTTTAGGGAGCTCAGGGCTGCCGGTACGGTAGGCAGCGGCTTGGCTCTGCCCCTGGCATTGCTGAAGTCCATGGACGACGGTAACCACTCACCATCGGGTGGGCCGTATGCTCGTCTGCCTACACGGGCAATAAAAACCGTTCATGAATTATCATCAAACGTCAAATTCAACTGTCAATTGTCATAACGTCAAACGATGCTTAAAAAAAACATGTGTGAAATTCTCACGTGGTAGTAGTGAAACCTTAAAAAATTAAAATACAATTATCCTAAATGTATAAGTATATGTAAAATTTTGTCATTAATAAATAATTGTAAATCATCTTTTATAGTATGAGGTGGCGCCCTCTGTGAATTGATATTTTAACTTCACGTATAATCCTAAATTTAAATTCACCACAAGAGGTTTAATACACACGTTAGTATTAAAAAATCTCATAGATGGCGCTGTATTAAAAAAACACTACGGACTTATTTTTTCGTTTCATCGAGTTTGAAATCACAACGATTCTAAAGAAGTTTCACTTCAAAAACTATGGAGGGTAAGAATAAACAGTGAGCAGCACCATCTCAGTGGTGGTAGGACCTCTTGAGAGTCCGCGCGGGTAGGTACCACCACCCTGCTTATTTCTGTCGTGAAGCAGTAATGCGTGTCGGTTTGAAGGGTGGAGCAGCCGTTGTAACTATACCTGAGACCTTAGAACTTATGTCTCAAGGTGGGTGGCGCATTTACGTTGTGGATGTCTATGGGCTCCAGTAACCACTTAACACCAGGTGGGCTGTGAGCTCGTCCACCCATCTAAGCAATAACAAAAAAAAATAGTTTGGTATCTTCGTTCGTTTTTAACCGCTCAACTGGAACATTCGGTGGCGCGACAATTACTGATGACGATACAACAGCTTTATAGCTAAGACTAGGTGATGGTTGTTCCATCGTAACTGATATCCTGATCCTTCACCAGACCGAGCCTCCAGTAGCAGACTCCTCGTCGGGACAGAAAATGGCGGATCTGATCTCAAAACATATCTTCATAATATATCTGTTGTTGCTCAAATAAATTCCTTGGTGTATTTTAACTTGTTTTTTTGATACCTTCTTTTGTATCGGGGGTAGGATCTTCGCACGCGATCTACTCGCTGGGGGGAGGGGGGTTTCTATTGCTATCTTATCGCGATTGACGGAGATGTAGGCGCCATCAAAACTATCAACGGTAAGACGTATACTATTAGACATAAAATCCCTCATAGATCAAAATGAAGGCGTCAAATCCTCTCAGGTCAACTTCCTTCAAGTTCTCCAGGTCGATCTAGTGGATGCCTACCCGCACTTGTTTTTCGCATGTTTTTATTAACTAACCTGGTGTTAAATGGAGTTCACAAAACCGCCACCCACCTTGAGACATGAGTTCTCCATCTCATGAATCCTTCACCGCCGGAGGCCAAACCCACTAGGTGATCCCCGTGCCTAGGGGGCGCACGGGGTATGTGGGACTGAGTAATCCGCAAACATTGGGAGCCAGCCGCGGGCATGGAATTTAAGACCCTATCCACTAAGCGATTCCCCTATACTCTGGCCCAAGCGTCTGTCCCCCCGAGGTCAGAACCTAAGTGGGCAAGGTCTTACCGCGACTAACACTGCATCAAGACAGCGCAGCTCACCCCAAGGATGCCCTACCACCAGTGATTACGCAAATTATAATTTATGACGGGTTTGATTTTGATTACACGATATTCTTCGTTCGTCGAGTGGCATTAAGATTCGCAGTTCAGCAGTGAACCGACCTATACTTTCCCGGGGGTGTCGTGTCGTGGAAGGTGACTAAGTGATTTCTCCTGGTTACCCTATTATAATACCAACGATATCATTCCCAAGGTGGGTTCAGTCGTCAAAATCAGGTGGCAAGTAGCACTCCTTCCAAATTCCTATACAGCATGAGAAGGACAAACTACGCAGACTTCACGTAATGTCGGAAAAGGGCACCAGGAAATCCCTTCATCGTGGAAACAGTTCGCGGTCATAAATCAAGCATTCCCTTAATTTGTTAAGACTAAGACCGCCCTTACTGGTGGTAGGACCTCTTGTGAGTACGCACGGGTAGGTACCACCGCCCTGCCTATTTCTGCCGTGAAGCAGTAATGCGTTTTGGTTTGAAGGGTGGGGCAGGCGTTGTAGCTAAACTAAGAAATTAGAACTTATATCTCAAGGTGGGCGGCGGCATTTGCGTTGTAAATGTCTATGGGCCCCGGTAACCACTTAACACCAAATGGGCTGTGAGCTCAAAGCTTACTTATAGCTCAAAGTACACAATACAATAATATCGATCGCTTCGTCGCGCAGATAACAATTCATTGTGGACATTAAAGATAATATTTCTAAACTGATATGTTGTAGGGATGTTATCCAGTGTGGGTATGATATATATTTATCATAGACTAGCGGCACGCTCCGGTTTCGCTCGAGTCTTTAACAAAAATTTCAAAATAAAAAATTATAATACACACACATTAATCCTTATATTTGAATCAGGTCTCAAAAAATACTTAAACCTTAGAACTCATATCTCGAGGTACGTGGCGGCATTTACTTTGTAGGTTTCTATCGACTCCGATAACCACTTAACACCAGGTGGGCTATGAGCTCGTCCACCCATCTAAGCAATAAAAAGATGTGTGGTGTCGTGGGACACCGGATAGGAACGAAGTTCCTTATTATAAAACTATGAATTTTAACTATGAAAATAAAACTGGAGGTTTCGCAACAACCCACGGTCATTCGGTAACGTGCGAACTTATTATGGTACACTTCATTCACGGTTGTTTGCATAAGAGTTAGTGTATTGCGCAAACGAACGCTCTGAGATCGTGGTCAATGAATGATAAAAAAATATGTTATTTTTTGTACGTTATTACATAGTTAAGTCGTACACTGTGTGCATTACTAATAAAAATCTTACATTACGGACGCTTTTTCCTGGTTAGGGGTACCGCTCCGCATCGCCAAATAAGGAACTTCGTTCCAATAAAAGACATATCTAGAGGTCCTATTAGTTCTATTTGCTATTGGTTGCTGTAAGACCCACTGAGCTTCTCGCCGGTTCTTAGCAGTGGGTTTGTTATATGTTTATTATATATTTTATTATATGTTATTAATGATTACAATTCAATGTGCAATCTCTTCCGCGAAATGAAAGATAGCGATAAGACATTTGATTTGAGTTCGATTCCCGCTTCGGTCAATGATGTTTGACATACTTTTAAGTAGATTGTATTTATATATACATTAATCTCTAGTTTCCACAGTACAGAGAATCCAAGTTTGAGATCAGATGACCGCGTGTTATTTTAGGCAGCGGCTTGGCTCTGCCCCTGGCATTGCTGAAGCCCATGGGCGACGGTAACCACTCACCATCAGGTGGGCCGTATGCTCGTCTGCCTACAAGGGCAATAAAAAAATATAAAAAAATAAAAAAATTGACCCAAAAAAATAATAATTCAAAAATGGTTTTCTGTGTTATACGTGAAGCAAAAACTTTATACCACTACTTTAATTTAATATTTAATTCACATAAATATATAAGACTAGCCGTACTGGCCCGCTTCGCTGGACATTTAAAATTAACATTATTATTTATTGTCATTATTATTAGGGAGTTCAACACTGATATAAATATTAGCGTATCCATTAAGTACATGTATTTTCTACATGGATACCAAGTTTCAAGTCAGTCGGATGCATGGTTCAGTAGTTATAACGGAACATCCGTAAAAACCACTGTAGATTTATATTGTTACGCCGGTAAGAGTAACGCCATCTACCGCCGAATAGTCGAAGGAATATCGAAGGATCTAGTAGCACCTAGAACGCTTGAGACGTACAACGCCATCTATTATCAGATAGTGGAAACACAATATTAGAGATGTGTGGAATATTATCGATAATTCTAGGAATGTGGTATCAAAGTAAACTAAAGTCTCAATCAGAGAGCTCAGACGCATACCTACCTGGAACGTCTGTGGAATGCTAAGCCTGGGAAAGTTAGATATAGTGGAGAATCAAAACTAGACTTTCCACTATATGCCTTCGTAGGGTACTGGAATTCTTCGGATATATTGCTCGTAAAGAGGGTCACAATCTAGAACAGCTGATGGTGACAGGAAAGGTAGATGGCAAACGTCCCAGAGGACGCAGTCCCACGAGATGGTCGGACCAAATACGATCTTCTCTAAACATCAACTTCTACAATGCCCTTCATGAAGCTAAAGATCTCAGCAGATGGAGGGAAATCGTTCGAGAGAAGCTGATGCAGCAGGGGAGTCACGACCCTCGGTAATGAGGAAAACAACGCGAGGAGGAGGAGAGGTATCGACTGTAAAAGCATTGCAGAGATGGCACGCAGTCAGTTAGTAATCGGAACTACTCGAAGCGAAACAGCGAACGGATCACCTGAAGCGAAGCGGAAGAAGCGAATTGAGAATTTTAAAGTGTTTTAAGTGTTCTAAGTATTGAATACAGTTTTTAATGTATATTTCAGTAGAATTTTATTTATCCCAAACCCCAGCGTGTAACATTACTCACGTCCGTTAACGATATAACCTCACCGCTCACCGCTGCATAACCATAAACTCCTCAATTTTAATGTGCTAAAAATAAAAATCGTCGGCACTTTATTGTCATGTTAATATCAGAGCTAAAACGATAAAAACGTTTATGCATAAAGTTACCTATCTCTCCTTCATGATATAAGATAAGATTAGCGGATGAATCATTGCGTTATCCATATCGCAGACGTGACAATGTTTTTGTAGTCACTAAACGTTTGGCCGGTGTCGCTATCGTTCGGTTGTTGATGAAAATGGAGAATCCGGTGTTTGAGGAGGCAGGAAACCAGGCCGGCATAGAGATCTGGACTATTGAGGTATGCGCTTAATATAGAAACTACATGTTTCGCTCTAGACAGACTTCGTGTGCGGGTCTTACGACATGAATACCGGTGCTTGGATAAGAAATCGAAGTTACAATCGTATTTTATGATGAGCTAAGTATTTTTATAGCATAGATGGGTGGTCGAGCTCACAGTCCACCTGCTGTTAAATGGTTACAGGAGCCCATAGACATTTACAAAGTAAATGCCGCCACCCACCTTGAGATATAAGTTCTAAGGTCTCAGTATAGTTACAACCGCTGCCCTACTACCCTTCAAACCGAAACGCATTACTGCTTCACGGCAGAAATAGGCAGGTCGGTGGTACCTACCCGTGCGAACTCACAAGAGGTCCTACCACCAGTAATTACGTAAATTATAATTTTGCGGGTTTGATTTTTATTACACGCTATGCTATTCCTTCACCGTGGAAGTCAATCGTGAACATTTGTTAAGTACATATTTCATTGGAAAAATCAGTCTTATCCTTTAGGCTACGCCGACTTCACACCCGTTTGTAATATTACACGTTCCCTTGCAGAACTTCGAGCCGGTTCCTTTTGATCCCAAATACTATGGGAAATTCTACAACGGCGACTCCTACATCGTGTTGAAGGTGAGTTTTTTTAAGCACAGCTTTATTAGCTCGATATGTTTGTTTGTGTGCGACGCAAACTTTGAAAGCCCCTTCCACCGATTTCATGACGTCCGTACAACTTGAACATCTAGTTAACTCGTCGAACTCGGCAAAGAGCTTGACGTGCAACCTAACCCATACATCAGCCAGCTGAGTTTCTCGCCGGATCTTCTCAGCGGGTCACGATTCTGATCCTTAGGAGATGCTCGGGCAGCTGTTATCAAATCCCACCCCGCCTGACTGAGCCTTTGCTCGCCCAACTGTCCTGGTGAAACTGGAAAGGCATTCGGGCCACCAGTAATCCCTCATTCATAAAAAAAAACTAGAACATTCGGCCGCGCATCAATGACCGAGCACGAGACATCAGTTTTATAACTACCCTCTGATATCCTAACCAGTATGTTATAATATCCGGCAAACTTCTTGAGCATTTGTTGACGTAGTGGGGGTAAGTTTGCGCATGGTACACTCACGTGCAAAAACATTATTTACTCTCCGTCATAATGCAATTAAATTATTAAAATCAACATATGTATTTTTTTATATATTTATTAGAACATCAACAAAAAATGTAGGTTAATAATTGTAATGATTTAATCTTGGGGTAAAATAGATATTCCTTCTATTAAGTCAAAACTAGAGCTGTTGCCAGGTCTTGGTTCAGTTGAAGCGAAGCTGGTATTTGTATATTTTTTTTCGTTATCATAATCTTGACCATCATCATCATCACTGTTTTCATCACCCGAGTCGCCATCATCGTGATAAGTTGACATAGGGCTCATCGGTGTAGTTTACGACTCGGTCGGTTCGATCTTCTTTTTTGTCTATAATTAATTATTTTTTGAAGATATTAGATTCGTAGTAATCGAATGTTACTTTTTTCAATTACCAGCTTCCGATTATTTTCTGTTCTTTTTTTCCATCTAAAGCCTAGCTCTTTCATAATACGTCGTAAGCTTCATTCCGAGCAATTAAAATTTATATCTTCTTTAAAAATTTCGAAGCCTTTCTACGGTACGGAGTTTCGCTGCTTGTTATGTAGTTATTACATCTTTATATTACAGATTGAACGAAACTATCCATTCCGGTAACTTTCTTCTTCCCTGATCTTTTCTTACCCGGAGTCCGAAACACGGCGAGCAAGCCAGAGCCTTTAGTTTCCTTAATAATGCACCTAACAGTCCTCACTGATGGTTTTGTTACTTCCGAAGTCTGTTTTAATTTTTCCATATGATTCTTCCCCTGTTTTATAATGAAGCAATATACGTCGTACACAATTTTTCTACCCTTTCTGTTGAATACTACACCGGTTTGTCGCGGCATAGTGTATGTTTTATAAAAAATCAACAAACACTCAACAAATAGCAATGGCAACAAAGTCCACAAGTAATTATAACAAATAACTTAACGATTAATAACGATAGACTTTAATAATATAATAACTTTCCACTGTACGCAAGCGTACTTTTGGGAGAAAGCGGAATGAGGGCGCGGTGCGGGACGCAAGGTTCGACTGATCTACCAATAAAGCGCTCGATACGATTTCCCCTGCCGTCGCGCCTCACCCTCACCACCAAAGTGATCTAAAATTCGATTCTGCGCAGTCAAGGTCATTTGCTCAAGATGTTTGCCGGTTACTATACTGGGATATTAAACTGTAAAAATAGATTTTAATTAGGCGCTTCACGAAAATCTACCCCAATAAGAAAACAAATAGTTCAAACCAAAAATGTCATCATCAGCGACAGACTTAAGCCGCTCCGAAACTCTTATTTCAGACCACGGAGGAGTCATCCTCGCTGACCCACGACGCCCACTTCTGGCTGGGCAGCAAGACCACTCAGGACAAGAAGGGCTCCGCTGCCATATGGACGATCACGTTAGACGACATGCTGGGCGGCAGAGCTGTGCATCACCGCGAGGTCCAGGGACACGAGTCCAGTTTGTTTCTGAGCTATTTCAAGCCAGGTAAATGAATGAGATTTCAACCCTAAGCTTCGGAGAGAGGATATTTATGCTGTGACCTAAGCTCTGGGTGAGCTTGTCTTCAAGAGAGGTTCTCAAACACGCCACCTCCCCCTGGCACGGTCTGTGTCAGAAGTGAGGGTTCAGGGAGTATCCATCCTCAAACAAGGCTAGAGAACAATCCAAAGCCACTGCCACTAACAATGTCTATTAATCTGAATATCGGTCGTTCGGTGGTCTATTGCCATTTTATTGAGAAGATCTGTCTGTACCAGGTACTATGCAGATGTGATTTGTCAATATCTTTTCACTTTGCATTAGGAGCTCCATACAAACGAATCTATATTACTCATTATTCGGGATATCTTAAAAAAATTCACCGAAATCTATTTGTTAATATAAAACAATGTATGTTGTTAAAACTCTAGAACCGAAGAACCATAATGTACCGTACCGTAATGCATTGCATTGCATTTTAATGCACTGTATCGCCTAGTAAGGAACATGGCATTGTATTGCATTCCGTTGCATTGTATTGTAATACATTAAAATGCAATGAATTGCATTTATTCCATGTTAATGTATTGCATTGTAATACACTGTATTGAATTGTTATGCATTGTATGGCATTGTAATGCATTGCATTGCATTTATTCTACAGTAATGCATTATATATTGCGTTGCATTGTATAGTTTCCATTGACTTAGCCATCAGATACCTCGAAGGCGGGAACGAGTCTGGCTTCAACGAAGTGCAGACCAATGCTGGTGCTGAGAAACGTCTCCTGAAGCTGTCCGGATGCGACAACATGAGGATCGAGGAGGTGAGCACTGGCCACCAGATCCACGACCCCGCGGTGCAGTAGATTCCAGTTTGGTAGACAGAATCCTGAGGTCAGAAAGTTCTTTTTTTATTGCTTAGATGGGTGGACGAGCTCACAGCCCGCCTGGTGTTAAGCGATAACTGGAGCTGATAGTTAGCCTCTCAATGCTAACTATCAGCTTAGGTAGGAAACAAAAACCCATCACAACCTCCTCCTTAACATACATATAAACTCGTTTGAACCGCTCCAGGTCGCAGCCGAGGCCTCGTCGCTGACAAAGAACCACTGCTTCATCTTGGAGAACGAGCACGACATCTTCGTGCTGATGCCGGAGGGCGCGAAAGCCACCCAGAGGCGGAAGATCATCAGCGTCGCCAACAAACTGAGGGACGAGGAACACAACGGGAGAGCCACTATTGAAATCATCGGTTAGTTGTTTTTTTACTTTCCATCCACTTAGGGGAGCTCTTCTTCTTCTTGCTTCGGTTTCCTCAATACTAAGGGTCGTGACCACCTCCTCGCAACAAGAGCTTATTACGGACCATATCACGCCATTTGCCTCTATCTGCCGCCGAGTGTAGAGCATCGTGAACTGTGGTGTCGAGGGTAGTGCGGATCTGATCAATCTAACGTGTCGGGCCTCTACCTCGTGGGTGCTAAGCATCCAAAAAAGGCTCTCTTCCATCTGCCGGGAACGTGTTATGAGCTTCTTCGGACACATCATGCGGTCTCCCAGACATGAATTAGGAAAGCTTATAATTGCGGGTCGCATAGAGGCAAGCGCGACGCGTTCAGCTCTAACACTAGGAGCAGGCTTAGAAACCCCGGTAACTCGTCGGACTCGACCCATGCATCAGCCCGCTGAGTTTCTCGCCGGATCTTCTCAGCGGGTGGCGATTCCGATCCGGTAGCAGATTCGTTCGCGAAGCAGTTGCTCTTGAGTTGTTAGGTCTCCTTTGGAGGTGCTTGGGCAGCTGTTAGCAAATCCCACCCCTCCTGGCTGAGCCTTTGCTCGCCCACCCGTCCTGATGAAACTGGAAAGGCCTCCGGGCCACAAGTAATACTTCAATCATAAAAAAAGGGCAAGCGCGTCGTGGACAGAACACCAGTCAGATGGTCAGATGTAGTAAGAGAAGCACTTGGTGGTAGTCTGTACCAGGCAGTCCATGCCACCCATGATCGAGCACATTGGGAAGAACGTCACATGAGGTCGCGATCCTCAGCAGTGAGGGGACGATATAGAAGATGGAAAATCCACATCCATCCTTGAGATATGAGTATTTAATTATTTTTAATTATTTATTATATACAGAGAGTAGGTGTGGGTGAGTATGGCTGGAGATCGAACATTATGGCATAAAAGTGACTTATGACTTCTTCTTCTTCGTCGCTTCCTCATTACTGAGGGTTGTGACCACCTTGATCTAGTTTTTGCACCAACTTCCTCCAATGTTGCCTGCATTCGGCCTGCTTAATGGCGCCCGGGTCGCTGATGTTTGTGGCCTCCTTGACAATGTCCGTCCACCTGGTTGGCAATCTTCCTCGACTTCTCTTTCCTTCCACGTGACCTACAACTATTAGTTTTTCCAAGTTGTCAGGATTATTACTTATGACTTAGCGCCCCTGATTTGCGTCAGAGATCGTGGGTTCAATTCCCGCATCGGGCGAACATTTTCATGAACAGGCTTGTTTGCTCTTCGGCTGGGTGTTCATTATCTATATACTTATATATTTAAAAGTATATCTGTCAATCTCTGGTACCCGTAACACAGGGAACCCTAAATTAGGACCGGACGGACGAATCTACGTGATTTGTTCCCGGTTATTATTGTTATTAGTTATAGCCCAAAAGTGGGCAAGGAAGAGTTAAATATGATGTAATGTTACAATTGGTGATGTTGTTAAAGTGTTACCAACCTTCCTATTTTTACCATGACGACCAGACATGCGTTCTTTCACGAGATCTCTTTGAACCGGTAGTCAGAGTGGTAGCACGGTGAGGGGAGTGGCGAGATCATTCAATCCTTGAGTTCATTCCACCGCGAATATTTGCAGATGAATTCTCGTCAGATGAAGATGTGAATTTGTTCTTCGAAACCCTAGGATCCGGCTCAATGGACGAATTAGTTAGCGACGATACTTCAGAGGTATGTTTGTATTTTTTTGTAATATTTCGTTTTTAAAGTGATTACTTGTTATAGGAGGACAAACCGCTTCGTTACGTGACGCGTTACGGCGCCATTCTGTCTGGCGTCTCTTTCTCTCGCGCACACCTAACTTCTAACTATCTACATATCTTTTTAAATTTATGTTACAATTTTCCTTACATTATCATATTAATGTACATATAAAATTTAAGTAATAATGTAATAATAAGTAATAACCTAAGCTTTATGTCCAGTTACAGTTTCAATATTAAATAGTTCAACTTAGTTCAACTTCTCCATAGCGTAAAAGTTAACTCAAATTTGTATGGAGTTGGAACAGCGCCCCTAGCGGCAAACGAAGGGAAGCTCTTCCAACTCCATACAAATTTGAGTTAACTTTTTCGCGATCGAGAACGTTAAAAAGCTCTCACTAAGCACATTGAACATATTCACGTTCCACCCGTTCTTCGGTAGCCCGCAGAAGGACAGAGGTGACGCTAAATTATTGTCGATTGTCTTTTTTTTTTTATTGCTTATATGGATGGACAAGCTCACAGCACACCTGGTGTTAAATGGTTACTGGAGCCCATAGACATCTAGAACGTAAATATCCCATCTTGAGATATGAGTTCTAAAGTCTCAGATTAGTTACAACGGCTGCGTCCCTCTTCAAACCGAAACTCATTACTGCTTCACGGCAGAAATAGGTAGGGCGGCGTCACCTACCCGTGCGGACTCACAAAAGTTCCTACCACCAGTAATGTCTCTTTCACTGTTTATCTCCCTCTGTCTCTCTCTCTCTTTTCTTCTTCTGTCTTGGAAAGCCAAAGGTCAATGTAATCTCCGTACCGCAAGTTTGGTCGCGTATCATCTCATTTCTACTAACGGACATGTCTTAAAGAATATCTCTCAAAGGACGTGGTCTTTTAGCTCCAAGCTTGATTCACAACAATACTTTAATACTTCCACAACTAATACACCAGATCAGATATTTCAGCGGTGTAATCCCATTTCTACCAACGGGCATGTCTTAAAGAATATCTCTCAAAGGACGTGGTCTTTTAGCCCCAAGCTTGAGATTGGAAACAATACTTTAATACTTTCAGAGCTACACCAGATCAGATATTTCAGCGGTGTACCTCTACAAAGTGTTGGACGGTGATGAGCAAGAATTAGTCTCCATGAACAAGCCCTACAAGCAGAAACATTTGGCCAGTGACGTGAGTAGCAACAGCGTCGGAGCCTCAGCAGGTTCCATCCCATAACCACCAGTGAAGCCATAGTATAGCCATAGCTTATAGTCGACACTATTCTACAGCTACGACTATTCTACAGCTATCGAAAACATTCCCCGTAGTACTAGTCGTTTTGATGTGTATTTCCGCTATTTGATACTAGATGGCGTTACACTTGTCGTGCGTTCTCGATATTCCTAGTTCTTTTGATATTAGTTTCTGCTATTTGATGACAGATGTCGTTACTCTTACCGGCATTACAATGCAGTGTATAAGACTTAATATAATAATAAAGAGTGCTTCGAGGAAGCAATTAAGGTGGTTTGCAGTCTGGACAGAATCCGTCCACACTGCCAAGAACCGCTGTGTTAATGAACGCAGTGCATTTCCAAAGTTCTTTATTGTTTGGATTGAACTTGCTTCCAATGTGTTAGCTGTGAAATGTCAATCTTAAAACGGGGTTTGAAGAAATCCTTCGGCAGTACAGAATACTTGATCAACATTTAAATAGACAAGGGTTTTAATACTACAAATCGCAAAATCGCAAATCGCAAAATTTCTCCCAGGCAATGTACATTCTGGACACGGGAGACACTGGTGTTTACATCTGGCTGGGGTCGGACCTGGACGCTGAAGTGAAGAGGACATACCACGAGATCGCTGGAAAGTATTTAGAAGACAAGGGATACCCGAGCTGGGTAAGACTCTAAGATGTTCTTATTTCGCTAATAGACGCAGAATATGGGCAGTTTTTCTGCATACTATCAATCTAGTATTGAGTGGTCAGTTTGGCCTATAGACGCATTGATTCCGTCACCAATTTTGAGTTACGAAATCTTCCCTTTATGGTCCAAAAGCCGCCCCACCCTTCAAACTGGAAAGCATTACCGTCAAATAGCTAAATTAGGATCGTTTATTTCAGTGTGAGAAAACAATTCGGAAAAAACAACATAACAAAAAAAAATGATTGTTTGTAAAATTGATTTATGGACTGTAGTAAATTACGTGATAATGTCAGTAGCGTAACGCGAGAAGAGAGATAAATGTGTCACACACAAGTCAACGCTTGGGCCGATCGTGCCTCTCGATCGCTCGTTCCGCGCTCTCGCTCGCACGCTCAGACTCGGACGGAACGTGACACTTTTTCGTGTGTGCAGCCGCAGTTCATCGATTTATAAGACGTTCCACGTCAAAAACATCTCCGGCTATTTAAATGGCGTAAACTTAACTATAGTTCAATTAAAAACATCGAACTGTCGATACTGATACCAAATAAACCAGACCTTTAATCACACTAGACAAATGGCGCGTGTTAAGCGAAATGTCGCTTTAACCAAACAGTCTCTCAATCTTCGATGAAAGGACCGCAAATGCGATATTGATTGTGTTTCCTTTTGGTCAATGTTCTAGGTCCACGTGACGAGAGTGTCGGAGGGCGCGGAGAGCTCGACCTTCAAGCAGTACTTCCACAACTGGGACACGGTGCGGACCGGGGGCTCGGTCAGGGGAATCATATCTGAAATCGGTTAGTGGAAAAGTCTTCGCGTCGGCAGCGACCGCCACCTTTTATTAAATTTAATTAATTAAAAAGGTTAAAATTAATTACAATTAAAAAAATATTGTTAAAAGGGTTAAAAATTGGAGCGGCCGCGAAAAGCTCGGTCATTGAAACTCCCTACGATGTTCGATCACCAAAGCTCAAACTTTTCGCGTATAGTCTTTTTTTCCTACTTAAGATAATGGTCTATAGCAGGTCTGGGCAAATGGCGGCCCGCGGGCCGAATCCGGCCTGCGGTAGAGTTTTGTCTGGCCCGTGAAGCATTGTATATATTATTATTGAAAACACAAATATTAGTTTTTGTCTAACATAAATGCCGGTGGGAGCCAAAATTTTCTCCCGGACAACCGGTCTTTTCAGCGCCTCCTATTCGAAAATATAATTAGGATAATTGAACAATTACAGCGTGTATAATAGTCGCACAATTTTATTAGTTATTATACTTACTATATCACATTATAACATGAATAAACAAAATAACTTAAATCTAAAGCCGCCATTTTCTCCTGCGATATATTATAGTTATTTTATATTAATTTTAATTTGAAGAAATATCTTTCCGCAATAAATTCGCGGAAAATTGAACGAAATAAAAGCAGATATAGATCTACTGACTTAGAACCAAGAACTTGATTAGAACCAAGATGTCCTGTCTACTGACGAAGCACTCTGCGATCTACCAATGACTTTTATTGAAATTTAATGAAACAATGTAGTTCAGTATACAAATAAGTAATATATTTTCTTTTATTAAAAAGATTAAAATAAACCTGAAATTATATAATAAAAGAGAACTATTGTGTGGAAGAGATGATAAATAATGTGACGTAATGGTCATTAACAAATGATACATGAGGAAGATGATGCGTGCAGCAATTGGTGATTACATTGCGCAGTCTGCTCTACGTATTTATATATTTTTAGTCTTGCCACGATCGACTGAACTAATAGACACGATCGACCGGTCGATCGCGATCTACCGGTTGACCACCCCTGGTCTAGAGAGACCATAACAGCGTCGCCGGGCTAGTAGGTGAGCTCACGGGGCTCAAACCTGACGATGTTCCTAAGACAAACCGTAGCGTCGTGTGAGTAAAACCTGTCTACAGATTCGGGGTACTTCTCTGGGGACGCTGAGGAGTCGGCGGCCGCGGCCAGGACGATCGGCAAGAGCGCCACAGCACGGGGCTACATGCCGGACCAGGGCGAAGGGAGTCTCACGGTGACCAGGTACCTGACCTTACGGAGTTCACACCGAAATTCATTGAGGTCTTCTGTGTCGGTATTAGCTGAAGGTTTAACTGCACAATAGTTGGGATAAGCCGTTCCATCCTTCAAACGGGAAAGCGGTATCAATAGGCAGGGTGATGATCTGATGGTACCTATGCCTACTTTTGGCATTGCTGGAGTCCATGGGCGACGGTAACCACTCACCACCGGGTGGGCCGTGTGCTCATCTGCCTAAACAGGCAATAAAAAAAAGACTGTCAAGCCCCACATACCCCGTGCGCTTTCTAGGCGTGGAAACCTCGTATGAGGTTCGATCGACGCCCAAAAAAAAGTTTTGGTGGTGGCACCTACCAGTACTCGGGTGGTTCTAAATCTAGGTCCGATCCTTTAGACCTATGTATTTGCCGATAGGATCTCTGGTGATCAAGAAGACGTGACAGACAGATTCCAGCAGGGGACCTCCGTGCTGTACCAATCAGAGGTCTACGTCATCACTTACAAATACCAGAACGAGAACGAGGAAGATGCCTGGGTGGTTTACTTGTGGATCGTAAGTTGATTTTCATTGTACCGCCTCAAACATAAGTAAATTCGCACTATGTGGCCTGCCCACTGCCACTTCAGCTCGCTAATCCTACGGGCTATGTAAAAAGAGAGATGTTATTAATGTCTAACTAATTCCAGGGCTCAGAAGCGAGTGATGACGACAAAGAGGCCGGGCAGATGCTACTGTCGCAGCTAGAAGAGGATCTGGAAGGAAATGTTACATCAGTGAAGGTCCCTCAGGGCAAGGAATCGAAGCACTTCTTGAGCATATTCAAAGGTGAGCCCCGCTGGATGCTGGGGAGCATTCGCTGAACTCGGATGAGTACCGGCTGCTCTATCTAAATGTAGAGGAAGTCTTATATCAATCAGTGGCTCGATTGACAATAGGATAAGTATTAATGTGCTTTTTTTACTGGTGGTAGGACATCTTGTGAGCCCGCGCGGGTAGGTACCACCACCCTGCCTATTTCTGCCGTGAAGCAACAATGCGTTTCGGTTGGAAGGGTGAGGCAGCCGTTGTAACTATACTGGAGTCCTTAGAACTTATATCTCAAGGTGGGTGGCGCATTTACGTCGTAGATGTCTATAGGCTCCAGTAACGGCTGTGAGCTCGTCCACCCATCAAAGCAATAATTTGTAAGGAGTTGGAAAGTTGCTTACGTTTGCCGCTAGGGGCGCTGTTCCAACTGCATACTAATTTGAGTTAACTTTTACGCTATCGAAAACGTTAAAGAACTAAGCGAACATTCGTGTGATGAACAGTTTTGTTTGCTCTTTATCTAGTGTTTAATGTCTTTATATGTATATAGGGTAAAAAGGTATTTGGTTTGAGCAACATTTTTGCAACTACACCGGAGAGCCATTTAAAGTTTAAAATTTGTTAAAACTATCTTAACAAACAAAACTCCATCAGCTATTCAAATGAAGTAAACTTAATTGAAGTTCAATTAAAAACATCGAACTGTTGATGCTGATGCCGAATAAAACGGACCTTTAATTGCAAAGATATATGTCGCTTATTAAGAGAGTTGTCGCTTAAACCAAACAATCTTTCGCTCCTTCAATATATCTTCTTCAATTTAACAATAGTGTTGCCAGTGTCGAGTTTATAATAATCTTCTTTTTTATTTCTATTGCTTAGATGGTTGGACGAGCTCACAGCCGACCTGGTGTTAAGTGGTTACTGGAGCCCATAGACATCTACGACGTAAATGCGCCACCCACCTTGAGATCTAAGGTATAAGCCTATAGGGTCTAAGTCTATAGGTCTATCTGAGTTCTAAGGTCTCGAGTATAGTCGAGTATACTTTGTTTTTTAAAACATACTTATTGATATAGGAATACCATTCTTCCAAGCTATGAAGCCAAATGTGTTGAAGTCCGGGATCATTAGACCGCTTACAATCTCCTTGGACAGTAACACGATCCACTACTCACGGCTATTTTTGTTTTAGGAAGCCTCATAGTGCTTTTTGGTAGCAAAGACGATGATTACCAGCCGCAGAACTCCAAGAAATCGTATGAAGAAGACCAGACGCGGTTGTTCAGGGTAAGCGACCGGGTTGAGGGGGTGGAAAAGCCGCTTAGATCTCTACTTGTGTCTCGGTGGTGGCACTCACGCCCTGATGTCCATGGACAGGAGCGTTGAGGAGTTCCATCAACTGGAGTCAGGAAGCTCATTCATTCCCATAACAGAATCTAATTTAGCTGCGATATTTGACTTTATTTAACAATATATATAAGTCCTTCTCAAGCTACCGTGATGACGTTGGCTGATCTGCAGGTGGAGGGAACGGAGACCGGAGTCGACATGAGAGCGGTCCAGGTGGCGGAAGAATCGAACGTTCTAGAAGATGACGACGTATTCGTTCTGGAGACCGGCAGCGGCGTCTATGTTTGGAACGGAAAGGTATTTTTCGGAGATCGGTCTTACCTAAAGAATGGCACCTTGAAGAGCTTCACCTGGTGATGGACACCTTGAGGAGATCTTGGCGGTCACCCAATCTTAGATGATGTGGGATCTACCAGTAATCACGATCACGTGTAATGACGCTGGTGGTAGGCCGTCTTGTGAGTTCGCACGGGTAGGTACCACCACCCTGCCTATTTCTGCCGTGAAGCAGTAACGCGTTTCGGTTCGAAGGGCGGGGCAGCCGTTATACTGTTAAAACTGAGATCTTCGAACTCATGTCTCAATGTGGGTAGTGGCATTTACGCTGTAGATGTCTATGGGCTCCGGTAACCACTTAACACCAAGTAAGCCGTGAGCTCGTCCACGCATCTAAGCAATAAAATAATAATAAAACATATGCCGATTTGATTTCTATTACACAATGTTATATTCCATCAGCCCATTCGTGAGCATCTTTGTATATTTCCTTAGAACTGTTTGTGGGATCTAAACCTTGATAGTAAGCCTGGACGTTTTCTTTTTCAATACTCTTGTAGACGGACAGGCGTACGGCCTAATTGATGGTAAGCAATCACCGTTGCTCATGGACGTCATCAATGCCAGTACTGTCAACAAGCCTCGTTTAAAAAAAGACATGTCATAGCGCTCGAGAAATACCGTGGAGAGGAGCTCATTCCAATGCCGGATGTTGCATGGGAGAAATGATCTCTGGAAGGATCTGTGGAACGTTGCGGTTATAGGTAGTTTAGATTAACTCTACTCCGATGGCGAGAGATGTGATGGTAAAAACTTCATGACGGAATCATCTCGAACAAACCCTCAGAACACTCCCCGTGGAACATACGGTACGAAATACAAAGAAAACCGAAGTCCTTCCACGGAGCCAGAGCTTCCGTCTTACTTACACGTTAGGCCCACGAATACAGCACCATCTAGATTCTGGTGCACGAACTCCTAAAAACCATGACAATTTAAATAAAGTTGTTGATGAAGCAGTTCCAGAAGCAGCTTCTCCGATTAATAAGAATTCTTAAATGGTCTATGGCATACATCTCACATTTTATCACTCTTCATTTAAGTTTCATTTTAGAGCCCCAGGACCTCAGCACCCGTGCCGTAGATGACGCTAAGCTTAAACCAATATCTGAGGCATTTATGACGATATTTTCAGGATTCCGACCCTCAAGAACAGGAGGCGGCTCTGAAATTCGTTGAAAATGTGGTCAAGGATAAGGACGTGACGGTGGTGGAACAAGGAGACGAGCCCGAGGAGTTCTGGGAGGCTCTAGGTAGGAAGTTGATGTTGATCTTATAACTAGGGGTTTGGCCCTGGCCTTGCTAACGTCTCTGGTCGACAGCGACCGCTCCGATTGGCCCTAGAGTCGCATAGTCACCCTATAGTCCGCAGTTAAAGGAAATAAACAAATAGCCCTGTTATAACCCAAGTCCATAGAAATAGCGCTAGTGGAGGAAGTGAGAATGATATCAATATAGCAGTTTTAAGCAGAGCGAAGTGCTCTGGGTTGAAAATTTTAATATTTTTCATGACTTGCATTAATTGCGTAGTTATAAAATAAGCAGTAGGGAGACCGGGGCAAGATGAAGTTCGGGGCAGGACGGGAAATAAGCTTGTGTCCATGAATCGTAATCGTGTTCGGACCGGTAACGGCGCCATTTGCACGAAATTCAGACTGCGCAAGTGCGTCCGAGCAGAGCGAACGTGTTGGATCTCGTTTTTGCGTTGTATAGGAAAAAAACTGATTTTGCAAGTGTTTTTATCCGGTTTTTGGTTAAGAAACTGATGTGCAGACATGTAAGTACTTGAATTAATATAATGTTTTAATCCTCAGCGTGTTGTAGTACTATAACACTTTAAATTCAGATTAGATTTTTGCGCCGGTAAAGTTAAGATTAGAATTGCTTCAACTTATTTGAATACATGTGGGTCGGGGCACAATGATCGGGGAATAACGGAATACTATCCCGTTTTGCCCCTTCCTTGTGGTTTAAATAATGCCTTCTGTGTACCTATCGATAGTATTGCAACCTGGTTTTGCAAGCGTCCATAGGCTACGGTAACCGCTTTCCATCAGGCGAACTGTAAGCTTCTTTGCTGACTTAGTGGTATAAAAAAAAGTATAAGTACATATTGTTGTCAAGATATATCGTTGCTTTTCTCATAAAGTTTTCTTCTCAGATACAGCGTTTCGGAGCTATAAACGAAAAACAGATCGTGCAAATGGGACCCTGAAGTTCTGGGTCTTATGGGTTCTTAATAACAGGATGGAGCTTCTTCGAGCGTCAGCTACATATGATGTTCCGCCGCCGTGTAAGAAAAGCACGTGATACTGTGGATGACGACACTGATTCCGATAGCTACTAAGTATGGGGAAAAGCATTTGTGACGATTCAAAACTGTTTTTACAGCAAAACATGAAGATGAGTTGGCGCAATGTGTGAAATCTATGGAAGCACGGTTAACCGGAAAATAACTTCGTGTAATAGCTTATCAGTTGGCTCAGCGAAATCATATAGATAGCCCAGTTAATGAAGAAACCGACATGGCAGGAGAAGATAGGCGTAAAAAACGAATACATAAAGTTGGAAATCAGAAGATAAAAAGAACTGAAAACAAGCGTCAAGCCAAAACACTCGCCAAAGAAATCGAATCGGAATATAGTTCATCTTAAGAGGAGGACGGTGACTGGGCCTGCATCTATTGTGGTTACTTATACTAAGAGTCAACCGAGGGTTGGGCTATCTGCAGTAATTGCCATGGTTGGGCACACGATTCCTGTGCCGGAGTAGATGAAGAAGACGACGAGGCAAACATTTGTGAACGCTATCTGCCCGATTAAAATACGTACTCCTTTTGCCCCGTAGCATTTCCCATCTTACCCCGTCCATGGGGCAAGACGGGAAATTCGCCACATTAACGTTAATCATTATTTGTCAAAAAACTTCTGTGATTTTGCTTGATAAAATTATTAATTTTAAGAAACAAATGTATAAGTGTTACTTATTTTCATAAAGAATTTAATTAAAGAGTATAATTGTATTTGTACAGCGAGTTTTGTCTTAGCTATCTCATCTTGCCCCGGTCTCCCCTACTTAAAATCTGAACTATTTATTGTTATTCACGTAGGAAGTGCTTCTTTCCTTCTTAATTTAGTATCCTACTCTAATCGTTAATGGCACTGTTTTTAAAATCCTTCCACTCGAACGCTAGTCTTTATGTTATCATTGTCCGTTATTTAATTCATGTCATGTTCATAGGTTAACATACGAAAGTGATCTTCTACCATACGATAACAGGTTTGTCGTTGGATATAGCTTTTGTTTGATCACAGACCTAATGAAAACATTTACGATTCTATCTCAGTGCACGCATCAGAAGCGCAAGGCGTTTGAGGCTATATTATGCTAGATTTATTGACTTACTAGTTTGGTACAATGATTTAATGAAATCGTATCTTAAAATGACCGGATCAATAGACCTGAGGGAGTCCGTATAGAGTCCCCTCTTGATTTTGCGGGAAAATCGTGTTTTTGGATCACTCGTAATTAAGACCACAGTTGAAGCAATAGGAGTTTTATTGTTGCAGCGGCTTACACAGTTCTAAGTTATACACATTCTTTTTATCGTCTTATTTATTTTCGGCGGTAAAAAGGTCCCGTGTCACAGACTATCTTCTTTTTTCCACCTCTCGTGCGTTCCGGCTTACGCATTATAAAAAGGTGCGTTCTTAAACGCCACAGACCTTATGACGTGTATGAGTGATCAGCATCTATTTATTAATACGTGAAGGAAAAACTTTGTATCCCTTTTTACGAAAATTGCGCGGACGGAGGAGCATGAAATTTCCCACACTTATAGAGAATATACAGAAGGAGTGCAGAATGTTAATATTTTTTTAAATTATGCATAAAAAATACATTGAATCAATAAAAAAATCATTACACACACTACCATGTATTTGAAGCACACACGCATGCATACATATTTATGTCAGACTTTTGTTCTTGACGTCTGTGGTCAAATTGCGTATAGATTAAATATTATTTGACTTTATTAATATTTTTCTATTTTTTGGCAAAATTTGTAATTATAGAAGTATAATAATCTTTGTAAATAGAATCATAATAATGTACAAACTTACAATTTCAATTAATAGTCGAATTTCGACTACTGCGGGACCACTAGTATCTCTTTAAAGCACTAGAGAGTACAGTCGTAGATTAAACTACCCTGCACATTCCCAGGCGGTATACCCGAAGAGAAAGAGGAGCCGTCGGCGTGGCGTATGGTTGTCAACAGACGCGTGACGGCGACACGGACCCTGACAGCTGTCAGTGTCGGCGTCGCCGGGAGGGTTAAGTTCGAGGATCTGGACACGGAGTTCTCTCAGCAGGTTCGCTTGAACATGATCAGTGTGCTCAGTGCGAGTTTTTAACGTTCTCGTTAGCGTAAAAGTTAACTCAAATTTGTATGGAGTTGGAACAGCGCCCCTAGCGGCAAACGTAGACAAACGTTCCAACCACATACTTGAAGTCGTCGTGGCCTAAAGGATAAAAAGTGCGGTGCATTCGTATCTTGCGGTGTTAAGTGGTTACTGGAGCCCATAGATATCTACAACGTACATGCGCCACCCACCTTGAGATATGAGTTCTGAGGTCTCAATATAGTTACGACTGCACCACCCCACAAATCGAAACGCATTACTGCTTCACGGCAGAAATAGGTGGGGTGGTGGTACCTACCCGTGCGGACTCACAAGACGTTCTACCACCAGTAAAATCGTCTTGTCGTTCCCCACAAATATATTGATGACGTAGATGTCTATGGGCTCCAGTAACTACTAAACACCAGGTGGGCTGTGAGCTCGTCCACCCATCTAAACAATAAATTAAGAATAACAACAGACAGAGCAGTGGCACCGGCCCGCGCCTTCCCATAACACACCCCTCCACTCTGCTTCTTAAAAAAGCATAACTTTATCTGTGGTTTCAGGATCTTTCTGAAGATGGAGTTTATATTTTGGACACGGGCGAGGAGCTGTACTTCTGGCAGGGAGCCGACGTCACGGAACGCGTCAAGTCCTCCAAACAGGAAGTCATCAAGGTACGCTCTACACCGTAACGCTTTTACGTTACGTGACGAATCACTGTAACACAAGACGGATCTTAACCTGAAACCTCTGCGACTTCCAGAAGTACATAGAGGACGACGGTCTCGATCGAACCGTGGACTCGGCGGTGGTCGTGACCGTGAGGCAGGGCGCTGAGCCGCGCGTCTTCAAGAAACTATTTCCCGACTGGGACGACGGAATGTGGAGTGTGAGTGTAAAAGTGCTATTAACACTGCACCTAACCCATGAATCAGCTGAGTTTCACGCCACATCTTCTCAGCGGGTCGCGATTCCGATCCGGTAGTAGATTCATTCGCGAAGCAGCTGCTCTTGACTTGTTAGGCCTCCTTCGGAGGCGCTCGGGTATCTAGCATGGTCCGGTATCTAGCTTACAGCAGCTACGTTAAGAGGACTATACATGTTGGTTCTAAAGCTAAATCGCCGCGGATATTACATTCATCACATACCACGACGCTTCAATGGGGATGGGGATGTCCGGTTTTATGGTATTAGCTGATGTCTTACCACATCCTGTGCTTTTTTTTTATTGCTTAGGTGGGTGGACGAACTCACAGGCCACCTGGTGTTAAGTGGGTACTGGAGCCCATAGACATCCACAACGTAAATGCGCCACCCACCTTGAGATATAAGTTCTAAGGTCTCAAGTATAGTTACAACGGCTGCCCCACCCTTCAAACCGAAACGCATTACTTCTTCACGGCAGAAATAGGCAGGGTGGTGGTACCCACCCGCGCGGACTCACAAGAGGTCCTACCACCAGTAAAAGAGTGCTTAAGATTAATGGCTATTTCAGTCTCATCCAGCGGTAATGGTCTCTATAGGCTCAAGTAACTACCTAGGATCAATTAAAGCCGTTAGCTCGACCCCATCTGAGCGGATTTAAAAAAAAACAATCTTAATACTTTTCAGAAACTATCATCTTATGAAGACATGAAGAATAGCACTAAAGCTGCAAATTCTAAATAGTTCCGAAAAAACAAGTTCCTTTATATATAAGTGAACATAGATGTATGTATTTAAATAACAGTACCCGCAATGAAAAGCAATGTTCCGTGCGTTGAACCCGTTAATTTAGTTCCCTTACCATTGCGTGCTGTTCAAAAATACGTTATCTAGAGCCAATCATGTCATTTTTATGTTTTTTTTTTTGTTTAATTAATCCAATTTTCAACTGCTTAATATAAATGTGATCAATCTTTGCGAGCTTATTGCTTGTCTTGTGCGATGGTTACCATCCCCAAGCTACAGATGGCGCTCGGGTACTGATCGCGACAGAATAAAAACTATTTTCTTAAATACTTTTTAATTTCATTCCAATCGATTAAAGTCTCAAATTCAATCAACTTCATTACATTTCGCACAATAACATTTATATAACTGAATGTGATATATTTTATACTTGGACATTTTGTATAATTTCGATACTGGCAACAATGGCATCGCAAGCATCCGATTGCCATACTAAAAAAAATGTGGAAGAAGAAATAAACAGATGACAGTATTACACAGAGTTTTATTGTGCATTCCTTAAAACATTAAAATTGTATTTATCTCAACGAACGCACACATTAAATGCTACCATCAATGAACCTATTAAAATCTAATCATATCGAGGGGTGAAAGGCGATTTTTTCAACTTTACAGGAGAGCTATTTAAAGGTAAAAATTTTAAAAAAATATCATAAACAAAAACACTTTTTCAGCTGTTCCAATGGAGCAAACTTAATTGAAGCTTAATTAAAAAAATCAAACTGTTGATGCTGATACCAAATAAAACGGACTATTAATTACAAAGATAAATGTCGCTTGAAACAAACAACATTTCACCCCTCGATATATACATTTAAAAATGTCGTAAAAAAAAATAATAAAAATAATCTAACGTGCCCCAGAAAGGTCATTAGTCGGTATATTCGATATCCGCTATAAACGACCTTATCTCCTTCGCTTTAAGTTTGATTTTGAGGCCGTCGTCCTCTCCGACGTCAGGTCCGTCGACGGCTTTGTTCACGGCCTCGAAGCTCCCGTATTTCTTGTTGAAGCTTTCGTAAAAGTCTCCTTCCCTATTCCAAGTCCACTTATCATAGTCGTCCAGCCACTGGTTTGCGGCTAGCGTTGTCTCTTTCACGGTTTTGATATGGATACCGTTGAATATGCCCTGCAGGTCAATTTCGATGGTCGAATCTTCGGCACCGGTCTTGTAGTTTTCGACTCTCAATAGGATCTGGTCGCCCCAAGGCTCCAGGGTGAGCAGATGGAGCCCGTCAGGCATCGGGGTCTTGACAAACTTCTTGCAATTCTCCAACCTCATCCATTGCTCGTAGCTGAGGCCTGAGGCGTCGGAAACGAAGACCACGGGCGGCAGGTGCATTTGGAAAACGCTTTTCGCGATCTCAACCGGATCCTTCGAGCGCAGGATACGGTGTTTCCCGCGAACCACCAGCCCCGAGCCGAGAACCGTTTCGTTGAGGGCCTCACCGACGCCGAACGCATCGTCGTGCAGCAATCTCCTGTGCAGCATCAGTTCCACTTCGCCTTCGACGAGCGAGGTTCCGCCTTGCGATCGGTCCGTCAAGACCGTGAACCTCTCCCCGTTCTCGATGTAGATCTCGTTCGTGACCGGATAATAATTCCCGGGCACCGGCTCAGTCAGCGTCAAGTTCCATTGAGGACGCGCGTTCAGTTTCCTCTTCAGCATCTGTCGGCCGTTTGAATCCGTGTAAAACTCTCCATTATTTATTATATCCGTCTGGTACTTGACCACGTACTCCTTGCCGATGCCGTCGTCGACGCTTATCGGGCCCACGAGCCACTCGTGCTCAATAAAATCGAATTCCTTGTAAGCACGCTTGATGCTCAAAACGTTTCCGCGTATCTTAGTTCGAACCTCGCTGAGTAGGTCGCCGCTAATTTCACTCACAGATTCCACGTTCAGACCGATTGCCTTTGTCGAGTTCGGCCTGAAGATGTACGCGCCTGAACTGCGGTTAGCGGGTACCTCATTGTTCCCCAAGCAGCCCGGGTAATACGCGAACGATATCTTAAAGTCGTCCGTCTCTCTTTTCTTCATAGTCCCTTTGAAAGCCGCACCAGTTCCATTTGCGTCTTCCCACAAAGGTTCCTTGCCTTCATCAGCAATAGCATCTAGGCCGAGATTCGTGAGGTCTTTGGCGTCGGCTATCTGATTGAGCCTATCTAAATAGCCATCGGACCGGACCCCCTCGCTACTGATCCATTCCAAATAGCTGCCGTTAGCGATTGCCCTTTTCGTTGTCGAAACTCTTTTAACGTAGAACGATTTCACGCCCAACGGATGTAAGTGCGCAATGAACACCAACTCGTGAGTGGCCTCAGACCGTCGGTTCGGTATGCGCTTAACCTCGTCCGGTATCTCGACCAGTTGCGTCACGATTTTATCGCCTACAATAAAAAAATGCCCTTGTACAGGCGAACAAGCACACGGCCCACCTGATGGTGAGTGGTTACCGTCGCTCATGGACGTCAGTAATGCCAGGGGCAGGGCCAAGACGCAGGCTACCGTTAAGTACTCTACACAAGCCTCGTTTGAAGAAGGACATGTCATAGCGCTCGTAAAACACCGTGGAGGGGAACTCATTCCAAAGCCGGATGGTACATGGCAAATGAGCGCACTGTGAATGAACTATGCTGAGACCTTAGAACTAATATCTCAAAGTGGGTGACGCATTTACGTTGTAGATATCTATGAGCTCCAGTAACAACTTAACATCAGGTAGGTTGTGAACTCGTCCACACATTTAAGCAATAAAAAAAAAAGTCCACTAAGTTTCTCGCCTCCCAGTGAGTCGCGTTTCCGATCCGGTGGTAGATTCTGTTGCTCTTACTGGGGCTAGTGTTGCCACATTCTCTCAGGCTCTAAACAGGCTACCAACTATTAGGTAGGTGAAAAATCATCGTCACACGGTAACTTCGCTTTACATTGCGTGGACGGAGATCCGCGTCCAGCAGTGGGACGAGCAACCAACAATCTATCGCAGGACCCAACCTATCTCCAGATCGGAATATCAATGCGATCAATTTGCTCAGTGGTTCGAGCGTGAACATATTATACAGTGTGCTTAGTGCGAGTTTTTTAACGTTTTCGATAGCGTTAACTCAAATTTGTATGGGGTTGGAACGTTTACCTACTATAATTTATGTTGGTTCGTAGGTTCGTGGAATGCACTAACAGAGGTTTTTGTGAGAAAAATATTTATTATCTATAGTGGCGTCGGATGACAAAAACTTTAGCGGTTAGGAAGCGCGCGGCGTTCGTTGCTTTGGTCACAGCACTGACTTCGTTCGCCTCAGGTCATCGGTCCGAGGCCCCCTCACCTCTCGTTGAACCCCGCGCACTCCCTCTTACAAATCTTGTTAATTTAAAACTAAGCTAAAACTTTTGTTAACTTATCCTAACAAAACGAATTCATCATACAAACAAACATACACCAAATATACTAATCACAGCTCCAAATTTATATTTAACGCATCGCTAACACCNGTTCGCCTCAGGTCATCGGTCCGAGGCCCCCTCACCTCTCGTTGAACCCCGCGCACTCCCTCTTACAAATCTTGTTAATTTAAAACTAAGCTAAAACTTTTGTTAACTTATCCTAACAAAACGAATTCATCATACAAACAAACATACACCAAATATACTAATCACAGCTCCAAATTTATATTTAACGCATCGCTAACACCTACGTTTAGGGGCGCTGTTCCAAACAGCATACAAATTTGAGTTAACGCTATCGAGAACGTTAAAAAATCACACTAAGCCCACAGTATAGTTACAACGGCTGCCCCAACCGATACGCATTACTGCTTCACGGCAGAAATAGGCGGGGTGGTGGTACCTACTCGTGCGGACTCACAAAAGTTCCTACCACCAGTTGACTGTGTCTATGGGTTGAGGACCAAACTCGCTACCAATATGGCAGCGAGTGAACTGTCATTTCAACTGTCTTACCATTCGGAGCGTAGACCTCGTAGTGTCCATACGTGACCGGCAGCTTCACCGCCTCCCTGACGCCCCAAGCCAACGGGTTGTAAACGGTCACCTGCAAGACAGCCGGCTTAGAGGCCGCATCGAGCCTCTTGGTGCTGATCCGGCCAACAACTGACCCTGACTCTGACCCTCTTTACCGCTGAATGAGCTCACTGTCCATCTAGTTTTAGGCTGTTGAAACCAAGGGACATGACCACGGGAATACCGTCACCTAAAGACACGAGGCTTAAGTCTCTATTGCCGCCCCACCTTCCGAACAGGAATGCATTACCGCTTCGCGATAGAATAGGGCTGAGTGGTGGTACCTTTCCGTGGGGCGTTACCTTTGACCTTGAGGACTGAAGGTGGAATTTGAAGAGTATACGCCGAACGGTATACGGTAGTTAGAACTGAGTCAGACGGACCCCCGTCGAGCCGGTGCCACTTGTCACGACACGACCCCGACCCAGCAAGGTGTGGTCAGAGAGAGACAGAGATACCACCTCCTCGCCTATCTAGGTCTCGAAGCAATCGCGTTCCAAATTCTTGGACAAAGCTTTTGAGACGTCAATCTTTGATCTCGGGATATCCGTCACGCAAAGCTAAATGCAAAGTAGCAATTCATTCAGAAGCGTAAAGCTTCGACCTGACGTCTCAACTGCATCGATTGGTCGTGTGAGCGTCCGTGAGCACCGATGATCCTTCATGAGCATCCGTGAGCGAAATGTCTCTCTCACCATGAACGTTTCGCTGGTCTCCGACGTGTGGCATCTGGATTCGTTGAAGTGACACCTGTCGTAGCTGAACAGCGGGGCCTTCCCGGAGTCGCCCTGGGCGGCTTTGCTGAAAGAGATCGTGCGGTTGAGGCGCTCATATGCTATAAGTTGCTGGACCAACCGATCGTCCACTGCGGACCTTGAACCTATCTGAATAATTACTGAGAATGTGTTCTTAAAATCCTAATCATATTACTGGTGGTAAGACTTGTGAGTCCGCCCGGGTAGGTACCACCGCCCCGCCTATTTCTGTTGTGAAGCAGTAATGCGTTTCGGTTTGAAGGGTGGGGCAGCCGTTTTAACTATACTGAGACCTTAGAACTCATATCCCAAATGTACGTAGCGGCATTTACGTTGTAGATGTCCATAGGCTCCGGTAATCACTAAGCAGCAGTTGCAAACATTTTAACACATTTCTGCAATAAAAAAATGACTAGCTGCTACCCTCAACTTCGCACATGTGATCAAACGAAAATGTCAAGTTTCCCGGGGGAACGTTCCTGACATGACATTGACACTGTAAAGAAGTACATGTCAATTCGTTGCTTCGTTTCGATGTGAATGAAGGATGAACAAACAAACAATCACTCCCACATATATCACGGCAAGGTTAGGTTTTTTTTTAATTTTATTTCCCTTGTAGGCGATCGAGCATAGGGCCCACCTGATGGTGAGTGGTTACCGTCGCCCATGGACTTCAGCAATGCCAGAGGCAGAGCCAAGTTGCTGCCTACCGTTAAGTACTCTCCACAAGCCTCGTTTGAAGAAGGACATGTCATAATGCTACAAAACACCGTGGAGGGGAGCTCATTCCAAAGCCGGATGGTACATGGCAGAAAAGATCTCTGAAAACACACTATGGATGAACGTAGTGGCTCCAGGTAGAATGAATGAAGGTGGTGGTGGCGGTGGGACAGGGAGAGAGGGTTCGGGGACGTGACGTACTTGAAGGCCTGCCTGGCGACGAGTAGAGCGTCATCAATGGCGGTGCTCAGGATCCGCTCGTAGTCATGAGCGACGTGCTGCTTCTCGGTGCCGGTGATGGCGTCGTGGTGCTGCATTATGCCTTGAAACGCAGGAGGAGTTGACAAAGGATCCAAATCCGACAACTGCCTCTTTAGCCCAACGGTCTAATGCAACGCGCAGTGTATGTTAAACAGTCAGGGCCGGGTCGCCAGAGGTCACCGACCTCTACAAATGTACTAAATGTTACATTGCCGACGCCTTTTAAGCGACGGCGACTACTTACCATCAGATGAGCAATGTGCTCGTCTGCTTACTAGGTAAAAAAGCCTACTCGAATTTAATCAAATATAAAGGTAGGCATATAAAATAATAAAATTTACTATTACCTATGGAGAATCAACCGTGTATATGAAAAGTTTCTATCGAAATGTTAATTGAATTAGGGCGGCGCCACATTCGCATAAGGGTAAATTTTAAAGTTTTAAAGGAAGCGTCAAATATCATTAAGAGTATGTCTGATATCTGATAGATACTTCTTCATAAAATGAAATGTTAATAAATCAATAATCGTAACCATAAATAAAATCACTATAGACGCGAGTTTTCGTGTAATAATTCTTTACTACATTATTTTGTACAACGTAAGTTGTTGAAATATTCAATAATTAACTAATTTAGTCGAAATTATATTATTTTTTTTAACTTTGCATACTTCTGTTAATTTTCAATTGCTAGATTCATACCATACCATTTGTCTACACCAGCGCGATTGTGTCAGATTTTTGAATTGTTATTTATATCGTTAAGCTGGACGCTTTTTCAACTTTTCTCTTCCATATGTGATAATTCTCCTTACCTTTATCTACCCTGCATACTATTACCCATACTATTATCATTACAACTCAAAGTCGAAGAATTTTATGACAGCGCCATCTATCGATCGGGTGTCGTGTACTTATTGCGAGCTCTTCTCGACCAGCAGCGCCCCTAGCGGCAAACGTAGGGAAGCTGTTCCAACTCCATACAAATTTGAGTTAACTTTTACGCGATAGAGAACGTTAAATAACTCGCACTAAGCGACACTATAAGAAATTTGTTAAGTGAATAGTGACGTTACACTCACCCATTGCGCTCTTTAGTTCGTTCAGAATGAACTCGTTGTGCCTTTCCAAATTCGACAACACCTGCAGCTGTTTCACCATCTGCAGGATGAAGAAGAAATACCAGTAAGAACTGGTGGTAGGACGGTCTTGTGAGTCTGCACGGGTAGGTCCTACCACCCTGCCTATTTCTGCCGTGAAGCAGTAATGCGTTTCGGTTTGAAGTTTGGGACAGTCGTTGTACTCTACTGAGACCTTACTCTACTGAGAACTCATATCTCAAGGTGGGTGGCGGCATTTACGTTGTAGCTGTCTATGGGCTCTGGTAATCACTTAAAATCAGTTGGGCCGTGATCTCGTCCACACACCTAAAGAATAAAAATAAAACAAAAAATTCCATAACAATGATCAGCCAATAGAGGTCGAAAAACAAAAATCGTAAATCGGTACTTATCAGGACAATTAGTGCCGCACACGATCCGATGCGGGGCGGACAATGTGCGTCAAATGTAAACACTAAAATTGTGACGATACATCTCAGGATAGATCCTGAGTTCGCATACCTGTATGTAACGTCAAAACTAACTACCCACATAATAAACTAATTCGTGCAAATGTTATCGTAACACGTTGAAGGCTATACGAAAATTGGAGTGTGTTCATTCAGGCAGCAGTGCTCACCCGTGAGCCTCATCTTACTGAGCCTGTCAGGCCATGAGGGTCACCCGTGAGCCCTTTAAAATATCTAAGCTAGACAGTGATAATTGATAACGATCCCATAGACACAGCCCACTGAGTTTCTCGCCGGATCTTCTCAGTGGGTCGCGTTTCCGATCCGATGGTAGATTTTGCGAAGCACTGCTCTTGCTAGGGCCAGTGTTAGCAACACGCCCAGTTTGGGTCCCGTGAGCTCACCTACACGTCAAGGAGAAGCAGAAATAGCCTCTCAAGGCTATCAACATAGGTAGGAGAAAAATAATAATACACGTTTCTTAATTTTGGCCTGGCCCGAATGGTAAAACCGCCGGTTTCCCGAAAACCTGACAATACATTAAAGATCCTTTGGTGATAAGTGAAACCAAAACTAATAGACGACCGCACAGAAGCCTCACCTGCAGGTAAGCGTTCCCCTCTCTCTCGAAGTACTTGGTGGTCGGTCTCGAGGTGAAGTACCCGGTCCAGTAAGCGGTCGGGTCGCTCGCGTACGGGAAGAAATCGTCTTGTTTCGTTGGCAACACCGGACTGCGAATTTATCGGTTACGTGAGACCTTGAAGGTAGTCTGTGATCATCGTCAAGAGCTCTGCAGAGACCTTGTCGTAATGAACGTCAAAGCACGCGCGAAAGTCTTGCGAGTCCACAAGTTTAGGCACCAACACCCTGCCTAGATCCGCCGTGGAGGGGAGCTCATTCAAAAGCCTGATTCGCCTCAGTTTGAAGGGCGGGGCAGCCGTGTACTGTAAAACCTGATCTGTCTACAGGTTGGTGGTGGCTTCACGTCTATCAGCGACGATGGCGATTTAAGAAGAAGAAGTTCCAAACAGCAACATAATAAACCGTCATGTTAACATCACTTGCTCAATGAAAGACCATTCTTTTGTCCCCACCTCCCAAAATTTTTGATTTGAAGACTCAACCTTCCAGAGAATTCTTTCTTGTATCCCCATATTAAAATTCTTAAACAAACAAACTATTAACAAACAAACAGACTTACTTCGCGTCCTTTATGGCTTTCAGATAACAATTAGGCGTCGAATAAAACAGCTTAATCTTCAGATCGTCCTTGGCCGCCTTCAGATTAGAATATCTGAAATTGAATTAACGTATTTAGTTCAAAAGCAAAAAGTCGTATATCCCGATACTGTGACAACGATAAATATGACTTATGCTCCAAAAACTTTCCCCCCCTTTTCGCCCCCACATGGAAATACTCTATATTATACCAATACAAGAGAAAACCTTAATATGTATATATAAATTACGTGTCACGTTGTTTGTCCGCGATGGACAGCTAAACTACTGAACCGATTTTAATTTTTTTTTATTTTAAATATGTGCTTTGTTCCAACTTAGGCCATAAGATGGCTTTTATTTCGATTAATGGTCAAAATACTTATTACTTACTAGAGAGATAAAAAAATGTTCATTGGCTAAGCTAAGTTTAGAAGCTAATTTTGTTGACATGCAATAAATATATAAAGAAAAACCTCCATTAAATAAAACGTTTAAAACGCTTTAGTTATAAAAAAAACGTAATTGAGAAATAGGAGCAGTTTTCAATTGCACATAATTCAATAAAACTATTTAAAAAATAATAACATAAAAATGGAGATTTTACGCTTTCAATTATTTTTTCTTAGTATTGTTACAGAAAACGCAATTACGTATTTCATTATTACTGTTCAATCGTTCTAGAATAATCCATATCAATATATCGAACGGTGAAAAGCTATTTTGGTTAAGCGACATTACTTAGCTTAACACGCGACATTTATCTTTGTAATGAAAGGTCCGTTTTATTTGGTATTTATTAGCATCAACAGTTCGATGTTTTTAATTGAAACTTCAATTAAGTTTACTCCATTCAAATGGCTGAAATAGTATTTTTGTTTATGATATATTTTCCAAATTTCAAACTTTAAGCGACTCTCGTGGAAAAAAAGCAAAAATGTCGCTTTAACCAAATAGTCTTAACCAGTCGATACACGATAGGTAAATCGCGCTAATTCATTTCGAAATCATTCTTATCCATCTAATGGTTGTTTGGAAGAGATCGCTCTTAGCGATAAGATCGCCAATTGTACTTTTTTGTATTTAATGTTTCGCATTGTTTATTTATTTTTTGTTCAATAAAGAATACTGTCTTCCTTTCTCACTCCCCTATCCCCCTCTCCCCCTCTCTCCCTTTCTCTGCCTCCCATCTAATACCCCCACAGCCCTTAACCATGCGCACTTACTCGATCAGCTTGTCCAGATTCGTGAACCACATCGCGGCGTCTTGGTAAGTGAAATCTCCTCCCATCGTGATGATGACATTGTCCGTTCGATAATGTTGCGATTGCTTTTTAACGTAGTTCAGAAATAGGGTGATCTGTTAAACCAATATGATTTACGTTCGTACGTGCGCCCACAACGGAATCTAATCATAGGTTAGTTTGAAGTGCGGACGCAAAACACAACCCCATCATGAATCGGTGATTTAGTCTAGGTCAAGACAATATTTATGTGTAACACTGTAAGATACGCAGAAACCACTGTACAAGAATTGGCAATTTAAAAGAAAAAACAAAAAAAAACAACGCGTTATCAACAAACCGAACTAATAAATGATTTAGACTTTTAGTTTTTTAGTCTTTAGTTGTTATTAGGAAAAGCATTGAAAAATTTTTTTCGAACCCTAAATAACAGATGGCGCTACGCTAATGTAAACTTTCTTTTGCGGCGTTCGCGCGACTATAGACTTTGTTTTGTGCTTTATAATATATCGGCGCAGCGTCACTATTTAGTTAACTAAAAATGGGTTAAGTTGTCGCACAAGCAATTCCGGCTCGAACAGTCGAATGGAGCGGAGCTCTCTCTGTTTTTATCGCCGTACACTTGAAATATAACAAACTGAATTCATTGGAAAAGAGTCTTAATTACTGTCACTACAGAAGGCAATGACAATAATGATGTCGAGAATGGTGTCAGCGACGATGACGTCTTCATTTTAAAAATACCATGGAACCACAATACTCCTCCAAAACTGCCCAATCCTCCATGTGCCTGACAATGTGCCTAATCCTTCATGTGCTTCCAAAATTGCCCAATTCTTCAAGTGCTTCCCAATGTGCCCAATCCTCCACGTGTTTCCCAATGTGCCCAATCCTTCATGTGCCTTCAAAATTTCCCAATCCTCCGTGTGCCTCCACGGCAGCCCCTCGTGCTCCGCGGTGATAGACACTATCAGTTTTTGACCTACTACTATCAGATTTTCGAGGTTATCAGAATGTCCGGCAATATGTCCAGAGCAATATAACATGTTTTAAATCAGCTGACGCGCCGGAATGTGACACTGGAACACTCTGGCATTTTAAAACACAATATTCTCTCCAGCTAAATGATTTTCAGTTTAGCAAATGAACATTTTAATTTCTCATTGATTTAACGAATCATTGAGTTATGGGGGAAACTGAGTTTCTATTCTCGAATGGTACATGCCGCTAAAGAAATTTTAGCGTTTACGATCACGGACATTCCCAGGACTTACGCGATTAGCTTGTCTAGATTCCTGAACCACATCGTGGCCTCTTGATAGTGGAAGTCGTCGCCCATTGTGACCAGTACGTTTTGAGTGCGGTACGACGAGGCCATGTTCCTGCAGATGTCCAGGAACCGATCGACCTTGCAGAGGAAATCGACATTTTATTAAACTGTACAAGTTCCGAGACTTTCTTCGACATATTTAAACTTTAGCAGGTGTCAGTGGGAAGAATTTTGTTTTTTTGCCTCTGCCTAATTGCTGGTGACCCAAGGGGCTATTCCAGCTCCTTATAGACCGGTAGGTGAGCTTAAGAGGCTCAACCTGAGAGAAGTTTTAACATTGGCCTTAGCAAGAGCAGTGCTTCGCAGAATCTACCGCCAGACCGGAATCGTGACCCATTGAGAAGATCCGGCGAGATCAGTCAGGTCAATAGTTTTCTAAAGGCCATTACAAACTGTAAATTTCCGCCATTTGAATGCGAATATCGTTAAAGATTCTCCAATACTAAAGATTTCATTTACGTCCGGCGCACCACCATAGCTCATCAGGTGATCAGACCTCAAAACGGTATTCGTCAAGTGACCGTTCTTCAAAAACATATATCTTAAACTTGACCTCGCACTAAAATTCATTTCTGTTTGTGGTCCATTGCGCGTAATGCAAACACGTATTAGTTAAAATTGCGAGTGGTGGAGAATTTTTTATTTATTTTTTATTTTGTGTCCCCATAACTCTACTATGAAGTATTTCAGGAATATCCATTCTCTCTGGGACACCCTGTGTAGAGGTAGTAGTGCCAAGCCCAGCCTCAATATAATCCGGATAATATAGACCATCATCCACGGCACCATCGCCCCGTGCGAGACCACATTTGAATTAGAAGCATTCATTTGCACTTCCACAACAGCCCTAAGATGCGATTATCGATTCCAATTATTATTCGCCTTCAGAATATCATATCGCAATCAATACAAACATGGTCGATCGAATTTGCGGGTACCATTTTGAGAGGTGAAGGATATTTGGTTGAAGCGTCATTACGCTTCACACGCGACATTTATCTTTATAATTATCATTAAGTCATTTAATTTTACCATTGTAATTAAAAGTCTTAACGCAGATTTTTTTAATAAATACATATAAAGATTAAACTTGTACGATTTAATTAGGAATATTGCCTTTAAAGTTCAATTAAACCAGCGGACCACTTAGTGCTGCACTACACCAGGCAACTGACCGGAACCGATGGAGGCTGACAGTCGACAAGCTAAAACGGAGTCACGATCCTCAGCAATGAGGGAGCGATGGAGAAGAAGAAGAAACCGAATGAAATTGCCCAAAATTAATACCGCTACATAGATACATGATAAGCGAAAAGATTTTTGTTGGTAAATCATGCTGATTAATGTCGAGAAATCTGTCAGGCATGCTAATGTAACCCATGCTGACTTACTCGATCAGTTTGTCTAGATTTTTATACCAGGCCGAAGCAATCTGGTAATGGAAGTCCTCTCCCATGGTTACGAGAATGTTGTCGGTTCTGTGACTGCGGGACATATTCCTGCATATTCCTAAGAACGTTGTCACCTAAAATCGAAATTGAGGTTTCTTTTACACCTAATCGATATGCTTCAAGATTATCGTAATTAAAGCAATATAAAAATATGCGTGTCAGCTTCTTTTTTTACGAAGGAAGGATTACTGTTGGCCCGAAGATCTTTCCGGTCTCACCAGGTCAGGTGTGCGAGCAAATGCTTAGCTAGGAGGGGTGGAATTTCCTACCGAAGGAGATCTAACAACTCAAGGGCAGCTGCTTCGCGAATGAATCTACTATCGGATTGGAATCGCGACCCGCTGAGAAGGTCCGGCGAGAAACTCAGCGGGCTAATGCATGGGTTAGGTTGCACTTCGAGCTCTTTGTTGAGCTCAACGAGTACGGTTACCTAAGGGTCTCTAAGCCCGCTCCTAGTGTTATAGCGTGTCAGCTACGCGGGACTGGAGTTTGCTCTCTACAAGTAGCGCCATCTGTTGTCCGTGACCCGCGACAACTATGTTATGAAAATTAATTAAAATCGAAATATTTCGCTTAGTGTCAGCGCTAGCTTACTCAACGCTCGTCGTCACTCTCGCTCGTCCTAAAATTATATATTTTCTCTCTAGCCGTAACGAATCTGTCGCGAATTACATTTTACTCTCAATACACCTGAACAAGTTTCACTTCAAAAAATTTGGAACGCTCAAATATTTCTCTGCGCTCACATTAGACGAGCCGAGGCAACGTTGAGGCTTGAGACAGTCTCAACAAAATTTATGAAACGGAATGAGGTTGCTGGCAAAAATTCGTTGAACCTTTCTAACAGCAAGATTCATCTGACCAAAAGCCGTCACTTCTCTGTAGTCTACCATCAGGTATATCCGGATATTGACCGGATCTTAGCCGGGTAGAGCAGTATTTAAGACGACGTATACAGAATACATAAAAAATTAATTATAATTAACATTTCTAGAACAAATCTAGCCTCTATTTGGATGGCAATAGGGTGTGTTTTGAGTCCGCCCGAATGGCTTATAATAACGCTGAACCCCCCTACCCCTTTGCAACACTATTGAGGTTTCGACCTCATACCTCACGTCACGATCTCGGGCCAACGTTGCCCTCAAAATCAAGTGATCCAATCTATACATGTAACCAAGTTAACAGACACACCTCACATCTCTGCCAGCCTGGTACTTTCAAAAGCATTCAACGCGTTATATACCCATCTGGACGAGCGGACAGCTCACCTGATCAAAAGTGTAATTGATTTTCGGCGTGCTCTCCCAACGGCGAACCCCACTCGGACCTCAAAGTCGAAGCCGGTTTGAGACATAAGGTCAAGCTTTCAAACAATATTAATGGCGGCATATCGTGCTTCACTTGAAAAACCCCGAGAATTTACTGGTGGTAGGACGTCTTGTGAGTACGCCCTGATAGGCACCACCATCCTGCCTATTTCTGCCTTGAAGCAGTAATGCGTTTCGGTTTGAAGGGTGGGGCAGCCGTTGTAACTGTACTGAGACCTTAGAACTTATATCTCAAGGTGGGTGGCGCCATTTACGTTGTAGATGTTTATGGGCCGCGGTAGCCGCTTAACACCAGGTGGGCTGTGAGCTCGTCCACCCGTCTAAGCTATAAAAGATATATATCGTTGGCGCGGTCGGTACCTTGTCGTCGACATTGTACAGCGGCGAGCCAGCGTCGTCCACTATGGGCTCGTCGTCACACAGGACGTCGAAGCAGAACCCGGCCGGCGGAGAGTATGTGTTGTACAAAGCGCCTGTGAAGATGTCTGACTTCTTGCCTGCCAACAACAGTAACAGCATTAGTAGGTTCGATCTCGCTATGTAACTCAGTAACTCATTCATTCGTCGATATCAGCCTATACTAGCTCGGTCACTCATGCATTCAGCGATATTGGCCCATACTAGCTCGGTCACTAATTCGCTCAATCACTCATTCATTCATCGATATCAACCTATACTAGCTCGGTCACTCATTCGTTCATCGATATCAACCTATACTAGCTCGGTCACTCATTCATTCATCGATATCAACCTATACTAGCTCGGTCACTCATTCATTCATCGATGTCAGCCTATACTAGCTCGGTCTCTAATTCCCTCAATCACTCATTCTTTCATCAATATCATCCTATACTAGCTCGGTCAATAATTCACACAATCGCTCATTCATTCATCGATATTGATCTATATTAGCTCAGTCACTGACTTTGTTCTTCATTCGCTCGCATAAGTATTGATTAAAAAAGTGAATGACTACTCTGCTATACTAAAGCTACACTCCCAACACAATGAGTCATAGAACGAGTGAATGAACGAAATATGTATTACAGATTAATCATATTCTTACCCAAGTCATCGTCGCCCCTCCATACCATCTCCATGGTCTTGTCGCGGAGTCTGGTCCTCTTGTCTTGATAATCGATCCTGCCCAGGAACAAACCGTCATACCCCATGGCGGACAGCAGCGAGGCCAGCTCCCTCGAGTGCCCGAACGGGTCAATCTGCCAGCCAACCCGGGGCAAGCCGCAGTAACCAAAGGTCTCGTTCAATTTGCTGCGTAGGCGAAACACGAACAGGATATTACGGATGCGTTTATTTGGTGGTGGCTAGAAGTGGCCGGAATCCTTTATGATGGAGAGGAACAGAAGCCAAAGACAGCGTGTAGACCTGGTGAGGGGTCATAGAATGGCAGAAAAAAAAACCTAAAATCTGTAGCGCGCATTGTAATACGTATGACGTACGAGGTTATTCAACCCGCCCTGTTTTGATACGAACTCGCTAACTCGACAAGTATTTATGCTTCCCTTATTAAAACAATTATATTGGCTTTATCTATTTATTTGGGAAAGGTGCAACTCTAACAGAATTGGATTGCACTGCATAGCCGCATACTGTGATAGCGGGAGCCATCTCTTGGCGAATCGATACGACAACCAACCACCAACGCCATCTAGTATCTTTATTCTAGTATCTAGTTATCTTTGAGTCGCACAGAGGGCGCCACGCTCGCGTCGAAATCCACGTACCTGAGACCCCAAGTGAATTGATCGATGGTACTTTGGTAGTGCACTGCGGCCTCATCGTTCATGGACCACGCCCCACCTGCGGACACAGACGAATAAAGACGGAGCGTTTTTAGCGTCCTGAGCATTCGTGAGCAATGGTGAGCGCTTGTCAGTACTTTGTGATTTTTTTATTGCTTGGATGGGTTAACGAGCTCACAGCCCACCTGGTGTTAAGTGGTTACTGGAGCCCATAGACATTTACAACGTAGATGCGCCACCCAACTTGAGATATAAGTTCTAAGACCTCAGTATAGTTACAACGGCTGCCCTACCCTTCAAACCGAAACGCATTACTGCTTCACGGCAGAAATAGGCGGGCTGGTGGTGCCTACCCGCGCGGACTCACAAGAGGTCCTACCACCAGTAAAAAATCACCAGTAAAATCTCATCATTCGCTACGTCAGCGTCATGATAATAATTCTCTTTACTAAATCTCCCCATAGACCAGGGGTTCCCAAACTTATTTTGTCTACTGCCCACTCTGAGAATTGATTATTTTGTAGCGCCCCATTTTTTCACCTACTTAAAAACCACTATAGCGAGAGCTCAGTCGGTGTCTAAGAGTCCTCCTAGATGAAATTATAAATCGCTTCCCAAGCCTCTACACAACGCCCCCTTTTTTTCCTGGGTCTCTTACGGCCCCCCTTTAGGCTTGCAGCGCCCACAAGGGGGGCGTTATCGCCCACTTTGGGAAAGGCTGCCATAGACGGTGGATATTCATTATCAGAACTTATAGAGCTCTCGTAAAACAACAAAAAAGACCATGCCGTCTGCCTTCAAAGACTTACCGACGAATTGAAGCCTCCCCTGCCTGACGAGGGTGTGGACCTTACTCTTGACCCGACGGGACTGCCTGACCCACCACTTCCAGAAGAAAGCCGTCTCCACGTAGATAAACCTTGGATATTGAAGGCACCGTTCAAACATGCCCTAGAGTCGCAAGCCCCCGACGGGCTCGTGAGCCTACTAATTTTTATGCGGATAATGGACTGCAGCGTACCCAGAGCACTATATTCGCATTTACTGGTGGAAAGGATTATCAAAAGCATGACACACCGATATCATATCTCAAAGCAATCCACGTTATGACATCTATGCATTCCGGTAACAACTTAATACCAGCCGATAACTCAATTACCCACTTAACAGACTTGGATTGTCTTCGGTGTCCAAATTGACCAGCATCGATCGCCCTTGCACATCAGCAGCGCTAGGAGCACCAAAAAAAGAACTTCAGCGAGTACTCAAATTAATTACTTTAGTGACTGACCTAAAAATCGTGAATAAAAGTCGAAACCTAAAAGTAAATTATTCAAGTGAACCTAAAAACTATAATGCATTCAAAACTAATCAAAAAAGCTAATAAAAAATATAAATATGTAAAAATAACACCAAATCTGTTCGTCTTCTCGATATCGGTTAGATATCAGAGGGTAGTTATAAAATTTTTGTATCTTCAGCGGTCATTGACACACGGCGGAATGTTCCAGTTGAACGGATGACTTGGAGACGATGGAAGTGATACGAAGCTATGCTAGTAATACTAAGCAAATCTTTCGATTGATCGTGTTTATATGGCATGGGGGAACCTCCCATGGGGGGGCCGACGATCGACAGGGGGATCCGCTGGATATTGGAGCTTTTGGACGTACCCTCCTATTCCGCTTATATAGCATGGGACGGCCTCCCACTGGAGGCCCGACGATCTACAGGGATTTCCGCTGTATATTGAAACTTCTGGACGTACCTCCCTATTCCTGTCATTAACATCCAATCTGGACCCTACCATCAACTTGTCCGGCCTAGAAACTCAACTTACCGTCGCTTCGGGTCTTCCCACAGCTCCTTGACAACCGAATCCAGAATGTATTGAACGCCAGCCTTCTGTATGTTGTTCCTGCCTGCAATAACGCAACCACTACAGTCAGATGCGGAAGGAAATTCGTGTTTAGAGCGCGAGCCGTCGATATATCGACCCTCTATTAACGCGCATAAAGGGCGAAGCGTCGGAATACCGACTATTGCGCGGTTCGATTACAGGTATTATGTATAGACCTGTACGGACGTATCTTAGTGCGTCCACGTATGACAGTTTTAATGACTTAATTAACATTTATAAATAACCAGTTAAAGTTATTTAACTGTGAAATCAGTAGCATTGATTTGCGTATTTTTTTGAAAGGTTTTTTTTTTTTTTGATATGGCACTTTTTTTTCAAAAATCTTTAGCAATTTCTGCAAGATATTTTTCTTTTCCCTACTTATTCACTGGTAACCTAGGGGCTATTCCGGCTATGCCGGACTTCCTTTTTTGGCGGGAAATAGGAAGGCGGCAAATTGAAATTTTTTTTACAAAAAAATTACATTTATTAGTTATAAATATTAAAAGTTTATAAAATGTCGTCAGAAAGTGACGGCGATGATGAGGGAAAAAGAAACGAGGCGAAAAAACGCAGATATCATGGGGACGACGGACAACCAGATTCGGACTGCAGATATAAACCTTTTCTCAAACCTGGGTACCGTCGTAGTTATCCTGATAACTCTCTTAATGACGAGTTTCCTGTCTACATCGAAGGTATCAGTAGAGAAGATAAAATTGGTAACAAAAATCCTTTACTTTTATCAAAAATTTTTAAGTCGGTGAAGGGCATTAAAGAGAACAGGCGCATTAATGCTAATAAAATAATGCTTATATTTAAACAGGCAGTGGCTGCCAATGATTTCATAAACCATAATTGCCTTAAAGAAAACAACATGAAAGCTTACATTCCGGCATCTTCAGTGGAGCGTGTGGGGAAGATAAGATTCATTCCTACAGAAACGAGTAACACTGAACTCTTCGACAAATTAATATCAGATTCAGAAATCATTGCTGTTAGACGTTTCACAAAAAAAGTAGGCGGAAATATAGTCCCAATGTCCATAATAAGTGTGACCTTTTCGAGTACTGTTCTTCCAGATTTTGTATATTTAGATAATTGGAGATATAAGGTATTCCAATATGTACCACCTTTGATGCAGTGTTTCAGATGCCTTAAATTTAGACATAGTGCCAAAGTGTGTCGGAATGAACAGGTCTGTTCTAAATGTTCAGGCAATCATTCATACAAAGATTGTTCAAGTGAAATTCTGAAATGTTGTAATTGCCAAGGCGATCATTTAGCTATCTCAAGATTTTGTCCAGTGAAACAAGCCCTTTATGAAAAACATAAAAATGTTTATTTAGCAAAACAATATGCTACAGTTGTATCTAAAGAATTTCCACCTTTGCAAAGACTTCAGAACAGACCAGATCATTCAATACAAAAGAATCAAATTAAATCACAGGCCTTAATAGATAATCCTAATTCTGTTAAAAAACAACCTACTAAATTAAACTCAACTAATAATGTATCTTATGAAAATCTATTAAATGATAAT